ATGAGTTGGATCTTTGCCACGAATTCTAGATATGATCACGTGGTCGTGACGTTGACGAAGACAGCAGTCGATATGTCCAAGATGAAGCTGTTCATTTGCCCGAATTTGTGGCCGGTAAACGGAAAGTCAGAGTACAACTATACGCAGTCGCGCTGATAGCGGCGAACGTATAGCGTCGGCCGTCGATCAAGTGATCATCACTCGGTCACATCGTCTTTCAGAAATCACGCCTCGACCTTTCAAGCCTCATCACTGGTGGTCGCGGTAGCTCTGGAATAAGCGTGGGTGTTCGCGTCCTGCGCGCAATCTTAGCAAAAAAAAAAAACCCCGACCACATCGCGATAACGTGCTTGACAATACGGTCAACTATCTGGAATTTCGGCAGTGTTATTATTGACTACGCAAAGAACGTGTATACGCCACCGTCGCAGACGATACCAGTGTAGCTTCAGTGCTTGCAGGGTCGTCGGAGGTTTGTTGTAGCCTGGTGTGATAAAACGAACGCCCGCGTTGGACCTCTGACGTTATCACGCACGCGAAGGCTTATGAGAGAGTCAGTCCAGAACAATGAGTTGCCGGTTTGGGAAGAGCAGTCTCTTCTTCTTGTACAGGAAAAAGGGGCAAGCACTGCCCGGGCCTACAGGCAGGTGTTTTGGTTCATTGTTCTCAGCTTTCTGCGGTGGCCAAAAATGAATCGAAGCCTTCGACACCCACAATAATCGTTGTACTACACGCGAACGGTACGTTGAAACGCCCGCAGTTTCGTCCGCAATGCTCACAATGAAGAAACAAGGAGAGAACGCGGAAGTTTTGAAGAAGTGCGCGCGTTACTCAAACATGTACTTGGCAATGTTTCGAAACCTTTTAAGTGGTACCTTTTGTCACTGAAAAATGTTTTCATCCAGAGTCCTCAAACAAATGTACCTGTTACCGCCCCACCCTCTTCTTGTATGCCCACTCCTCATGTAATGTCCCTTCAGTTAGGGACCCTTGAGGAAAATAAAATAAAAAATAAAATGTAGACAGAACACACATCGTACACTTAACTGCAACTATACTACACGTACTACACGATGTGCAACCTATGCGAAACTCACATAAACAAAACACAGCATTATTCGGCATTTCGTGAAGCGGTATGTACCCGATTTTTTTTTCTTTAAGGCATGCCACGCCTTAAAGAAAAAAAAATGGGGGCCCAAAGTCTGACCCGATATAGTGAGGGCACACATAATAGGTGTTACCAGAGTGCTTCATTACGCTTACACGCACTTATTATTAAGCGTTTAACTTCGCGTCTGCATTTAAATCTTCACCAAAAAGACACAGCTTCAATAAAACAACTACCCAGAGCCATTGGCGTGCGCACAGGAAGGCGGGGCGAGGGTGGGGGAGGGTGCAATGCTAGCCCCATAAATTGGCATGTTATAAGGAGGGGGCGCTGCGAACGAACCTTCGCCACCCCCCCCCCCCCCCCAAAGGGAACCATGCGCACGCTTATGCCCAGAGCATCGGGCAGTTTTGTCTCGCACAATGTCTACAATATGGCATATAGTTTCTGTCAGGAGGACGGGTTCATCAGCAATCAGCCACGAAAACTTTCGGCGCGACAGGATACCTACAACACTGTGCATAGCGAAAATCATGCGGTCACCAGAAACCCGAGTGGTCTCACTCTGCTAAAAAGTGAAAATGCCTGCGGCGTCCTTTCCTTTCGCGAAGCACTCACAGAGCCCGCGGCTCTTCAAACGACGTCCTCTTTAGGAAAGTCGAGGCAGACTAAAAATAAAGACAAAGGTACAAGGTGCGCCAAGTCCATTCATAGCTTTTCGGCTGCCGCCGTGACACGCAGCAAACCGATCACAGAGAGGAGCGGCCGTCGGTCGTGAGCCTCCGGACTCGCGTGCGGCCGTTATGCTAAGCGGGAAAGCCTCGCGAAAAATAAAGCCACCGCGGCCTGTCGGGATAGCTGACCGGCCGTACCCACGCCCCACCCGATCGTGAGTGGCCGCAACGACCAAGAAGAGAGAGAAGGAAGGGGTATTAAAGCAACCAACAGAACAAACCTACGGTCACCGGTTTCTTTTGGGTAAAAAGGGGAAGGCCGATCAAGAGCCGATAGGCGCACAGCGTGCCTGTTATGAGCGGCTTCGCCCATTGTGCACTCAGCTTCGCGAGCCATTGAACTTAGCGAGGTATCCGCCTCGTGGACCTTTAAAAGAAGCCGGTTCCTTTTCTAAAGAAAACATTCTCTTTTTGTCTTCTTAAAGAACACTTCCTGGCTGCCGAGGCGCATTGTCGTCGCCGCGGGCTGCATAGACCACTCATTTTGTAGCCGGGAGGACGTATTTTTTGTTGTTGTTGTTATCTATGCGTTTCTCTTTTGTATAGTAGTGCACGCACGCCGTAAGGATGAGTCAATGCACTCTTTCCTTACTTATGCTTCCGTGCCGACTCTCCGTCCTGTGGTTAACGCGTTGCGTTACGAGCACGCTATAATCTCCGCATCGTTAAGTACTTCACGGAAGCATCACCAGCAGCTATTCCCGCCGAATTTTTCTGCCCTTTAAGTGGAAACAAGCGCTTAAACTATTATACATAGGCAGGACGTCAAGTGCCTCGTAGTTTTGTTATTCTTCGACGCTTTCTATTTTGTGAACGAACAAAGCCAGAATCACACGAATACCTTTACATGTGGAAATTGTCACTCGCCGGCGAGAGCGAGAAAGAACGAGTGGCCAAGTTGGGAAAATGATTTAGCAAGTGATAGACGGGGCCGCTGTGCGAACCAGAAGCCAATTAGTGTGCTACTTCGCATGGCTACATGGTTAAAAAGGCAAAAGAAAAGTAAAAATGTCGAAAAAAGTGACCGAGGCATACCCTGTTTTGTTTTGCCCATTTCAAAGGACGCCACCGCCAAAACTACGGAGGGTGTCCCTATATGCTACCTCTGTACATATGGCGCATTCCGCAATTGGAACTGACGGGCTGCTTTCTGGTTAAGAAAAACGCAGTAAGTCTCGAAAACAGAGAGCAAAGCAAATATTTATTTTCAAATGTGGGAATGGTTACTTGCTTTTGTTTCAACTTCTTTGTTTGCACTCAGATGTGGTTGAGTGTCTTTTTTTTTTCACACTATATGCCATGGCGAAAAAAAATTTCAAGGGGGAGGAGGAAGGGGGGATGCACGCCATTGTATTCCTCTTCTCTTCCACCTATGCACGATATAGCGAACGTAATGCACTATCATGCAATAAAACAGTGGTGTCTGCTCCATATCTGGACTTCCTTTCAGCCGTTTTTCGTCAGCGCAAAGCGACATGTACCGTGGAAACCAAAGAAATCAAACAGATGCACATTGAACAGGGCTGGCAAGGAGCCAACCACGGATTCGATGTATAGCGCGTCGTGGATATGTTGACACCTCCCTTCCTGTAAACGGGGCGAAGGGATATACGCATCTATTTTCCGCTGTGAGTCACCGCTCCGAATGAACGAAGAAAAGTCAAGGTTGTTGCCACCGGATTTTCCTACCGACATATCGCTCCTTCGACGTGCAGCGCTTCTGATCTTGCTTTAGCGTGCAGCTTCACATCGGCGTCGTGCGTCACGCTAATCAGCCCAACTAGTCAAACTCTCTTGGCTCGCTATAGTCACCGACACGTTATTACAGTGGTTTCTAGTTGACAACGCTAAAGCCAAGGTCTAGCCTGGGGAGAGCAGCCAAACAGGTATGCACTGTTAGAACCTAAGAGCTTCTTTTTGTTTGTTTTGTTCGTCTTTTTCTCCATTCGATAAAGAAGCTCGCTTTGATGCGAGGAAATCGAGTGCGTCGTGTGACCTTCTCTGGAGGACAACACGTGGCGTAGGATGGAGGAAACGTCGCGCGATTTTTATCGCAAAGCTATACATGTGAACGGCAGTGAGACATCGGCTCACAAAGAGTGCCGCCTGATAATGTCTTCTAGGAGAGTATTGGCACTTCCAGCACGGTTCCCAGCGGCGGAATGAAGTATAGTTGTCACCGCTGCAACGTTGTTCATGGCACAGATGCAACCTTGCAACTCGATCCCACTTGTGTGGCCTTGACGTTAAGTTGGTCTGTTGTTTTGGTTATGTCTTGGCAAACTACGTGAATTGCTTATTGTTACTCGTCACATGAAGGTGCAGCCAGATTTTTAATGAGGGTGCATCGATAAGTATCGAGAGATAACCGAATACATTCGCCTCACGGCTCTGAAACGGACATCGTTACATGAAGGCTTGGATATGAAGGATACCTAGTATACAAACGTCCTGTTTTAAATTGCTCAATAAGGTATCAGGCAAGGTTTCTTCTTTCCTTCAATGCCCTTTTCCTCGATGAAATGTACACTTCATTAGTCTCAGGCATCTAACAAGACGACGCGCATGCCGAAACATGTGCCGAAAGAATATCGCAATATCTCGCCTACATCGCAAAATAACGACTTCACCACCCACTGGCAAGTGGGCAATTAAAATCGCAATGTAAAGCTCTCAAGCTGGATTTTTCGTGTTTTTATTTCACAGTGATGCGGTTACTGTGATCCAAAGTCCCAGCGGGTTGCACCCTTGCCCGCTGAAGACTAACTTACAGACGGGGCTTTTCTTAAGCTTACAAATCCCAAAGACGAAACGGCCAGCTGCACTTGAATTGTTTCGCTTTCGGCTAACTTTTACGCGATCTGTCATTATCAGGGCTCTCCCGTAGAGCGAGCAAGCGTGCACCATTAGGCTTATATGTCCCATGAAATAAGCAGTCCCATCCAAAACTACGAGGAAAGACGTGTCATCCAAGAAAGCGTATTATCCGAAACGAAGTTGAACGCTAACGGATACGAAAGAATGCGTTACTACAAATGCCGAACGCGGCACACTTTACCAGCATCTTAACTGATTCAGTGTTGTTAACAATGCCCTCACCCTTTGCCTTGGTCTTCGAATACAACTTGGGCTTCGACTTTACCTTTGCTGCACAGACGATTCCCTCGTCGAGGGCGATGCGACCACGGAGCAGGCGGCCAGCAGCGGTACCGTGATGGTGACTACGCAGACCAGCACAGGCACCCGCGTGCTGATCAGCTCGCACGGCCGACTCAGCGGCAGCTACCCAGTTCGTCGCAGCCCAGCTAAGCGCCGGCCGCGCATGCGGCACTCGGCGCCACAGCTGGACGGGGACTCAGCGCGGGCGCTGTTCGCCCCGCTCAGCCTGGTGCCGACCGCCGATGCCAGGCAGCGACGGCCCACACCGACGAAGGTATCATGCAAGCATAGGCCACGCGCGTTACTGTTGTGTGAAGCGAGTTGCGTGTTTATCGCTAACAGATATAAATATTTGATAGCGGTCTACAGACCAGAAATTTCATCGACTTCAGGGATGGGTGGGGGGCATCTTTGGGAAGGGGCTGCGGGTGAGGTAGAAAGGACTGACCTGATATCGTCCTGCTCGATCTTTATCGCATGCTGTCAGGCCAGTTTTCGCTCGTCCATCAGCAGTTACATAAGCTAAGCCGCAGCCCCTACGCTGGCCGCGCTAGCATTTGATGAACTGTGGTCAAGCTATGCATGTTTGCTCTAGACATGGGTAAGAGAGTAAAAATAATCGGGTTTGTAGTTAATGCACGCCTATGTCGCTTCACTAAGTGTTTATTTGTGCATTTTCTAGCAGTGTGTTAGTTTTGCTTTTTGTGAAGTGTATCAAGAGACTAACTACTGCCTAGTAAATCGGATGCTATTACGTTTCACTGATGCAAACCTCATCGGAGCATCAACACATTAAATCTTAGATGCATTTGCTAACGCTGTTACAATACAGAAAGCGATGACATCAAATGATTTTCGTGTCCGAATAACATCCAGATAATAACCTTACAAGAAAACGACGGCTACTAAAAAAGAATTGCACCAACCGTAGTGCTGCTCCGAACAGTCGATCGCTCACATATAAGGCGCCAGCCTCACTGCAGAATCGTGCTGCTCGACGACTTCGTCCTGTTAGTGTCGCTTGTTTCAGCGATGCACAGTGACATTAGTTACCACACAAACAATACATATGCGTAATAATCATTTCTTGCACATTTTCAGTGAGTGCTGAGTCCTTATGCACAACAGAGACATGCTCCTCAAGTTCCGTATTTGCAGCTTAGCCGAACCCTCGCTCATAATATCATGCGTCCTTCGTGAAGACCACACTCGTCGCTGCTGGCAGAGAGTCAAGTTACCCAACCGTAACGAGCTTCCCGAAAGTGTGTTTCATTCAGCTGTACCACCAACAGCTTTTATGACTTTACAGAACGGTCGAACGGCACCGTGACGATACGATACGCTGAATGTATCGGGCACGAGTTCCGTCACGGAGCGAAACATGCTTCTAACAGACGGGGTCGCTCGCTTGTTCCAGGAGAGCACGTCGACCTTTTACGTGTCGCTGAGCAGCAGCAGCAGCAGTGGCGAGCTCAAGAGCGAGGAGGAGTCGGACCTGCCGGTGGTGGGTCGCAGCTCCGAGGACGAGGACGAGCCTGTGTACGCCGACACCCTGCCCACGGCAGTGTGCCCACCGACACCAGACGGCCCCATCTACGACGACTGCGAGGTGCCACCGGAGCCGGTGTACGAAGAGCTGCCTGACCACCCCCCGCAGCTCAGTGAGTGACCGAATGAGGCCGTCCGTTCGCGCATTGGCAAGCACTGCAAGGGCGCCGTCACACTAAAGCAGAACACGCGAGGTGCGCGAGCTAATTATTAGGCAAACGATCGAGCGCTTTTATGAAAGGCCTGATCGAAAGATTTTTAAGAGCGGGGCTGCTCAAGTTTTTCCTTCCACCGGTTTCGCGTGGCCAGCAGAAAGCGGGTATGTGCCAAGCGGCTCCTAGCGTAAATAAAAGGCGGGAAAGGTAAGGATGAGGACGGGTGTTAGGGGTGAGCGGGTAAGAGGAGCAGGTGAGAGGGTGGAACGTGGCATAACCATGCACAATCTAGCATAACAAGGTGTGGGAAAGAGAAGTAAGGGTGAGTAGAGTGGTGTGAGATAAAAAGCGAACATTACAGAAATAATCATGATCATAACTGGGAGAGGGGGGGAAGCTGACGTCCCCAAAACAAGATATGCTTATGAGAGACGCTGTAACTACAGAAAGAGGTAAATAAATAAAGGAATGTGAAAGACAATTAAGAAAGACGAAAGAACTCTCTTCGCGTTCGCCAAGTGGTGGCGTTTGCTGCTGTTTACTCGGATTGCAGAGGCGTGGAACCGAAATTTTTCTTGTTATTACTCCTTTGTCACACACACTATAGCGGCGAGTGTTTTATGAATGCTAAACAGACCTTGAAGCGCAAACAACATGCAAGCGCGTTTTTTTTTTTTTTTCGCTTCCATTTTCTTATTGCTCTGAACTGTTGTCAGCGTGTTTGATGCCAACACTTCTTCACTTGATGCTCAGTCAAATTAAAGTGCTAAGCGAGAGAAATCAGGCACAGACAGGACAAAACCACCGTGATCAGCAGTTTTGGCGGTAATATATGACGAGTTCTGTGGACACGCTACAGAGCTCTCTTTCTCAGAGACAATATGGACTACACGTAAAGCAATCAGAATGTTACGTACGTCACGCAACGCAGTCAATGAAACGTAACTGCCTCTCTCGAGTAGGACTGAAACTGCAGATTCCCCTTGGAGGCAGGACAGCATTGCTAAGTGGCTACCTGACTTCTGTATACACGTGCGCAACAATGCAGGGGAAGACCGGCAATGGTGGGCCCGTGCAGAACACGCGAGACCCGTCATCCTTAATATGTTCGACAGGCTATATACACTTCCGCTTAACCATTAGCACCACTTTTCACGTGCGGGCTTCCCATGGTCAAATCTGGCCACCATCGACGGACTAGCAGGCGAATGCGCCTTGCTTCTAAGCCTAGCCCGTTATTTTAGAGCCCGCTTATGTCCTCCCTTGACGACTGAACGCCCGTCGCAAATGTGCAGGAAGCGCTCCGATGAACAACAAACTTTCACCGCGAGGTTGCCCCATCGGTGAGCGGCAGTCAGCGCCAAGGCTGCTAGCAACCGCATTCCGGCACCCTGATCGGACCTCGCGTGCGCCCCTTTTACGACCCGCCTCTTAATGGTCCTTGATGGCTGCCGGGCAAGGCGCAGCCGCTGGAACCATTGTCTGGTGCCGCGGACGATGCATGGTCAGAGCAGTTGCACGCGCGCCCTGTGTGCCGGAAACCCTTCTGCTGAATGTTCGCGCCGCAAACCACTCTTTTGGAGGCAAAAAGAAAAAAAAGAAAGCCTCCTTCGTATAACGACAACGCGATCAAAACGACCGAGCAGGACAAGCCAGTCTCGCTTTCGTTGCCTCGTTTGCGGTATCTATCCCTCCGTGGCAACTGTTACGCCATCCCGTAACGTATACCGAGCGACAAGCATCGAGGCTATCGAAAAGGCGGTGGCGAAGAAGTATGTGCCACCGACTTCTTTTTTTTTTCTTATTTTAATCCACGATGTTAGACGATGTTCTTCGAGTGATGACAGCGTAAGCTGTATGAGCGGCGGCGTATATAGAGAAGGCGCCGCGCGAATGTAGGGCGCCTACTGGAACAACGCGTCCTATTTGGGACACGTCGGTGGTCACTGAAGTCACTCGGATCTCATCAGTCAAACACGGCTCCTGGATTACTTTTGAAAGGTCATTACCGCTCTGCCACATCGTGGCGCTCGGCCAGCCCCATTCCGTGCTCAGCAAACGATCAAAAGATTATCGTGATGAATAGACACGTTGCGCCCGACGGATGTCGGCCGAACCAACTGCGCCGCATTTCGAGAAGTCAAACCAGCGTCCAGCAACGTGTAGATAGGAGATATATACGTCGAAAAGTGGTAGTTCGCACTCAAGGCACTCAAGTTGGCCGTTTTCGAGTGGGGCATTTCCGAAGGTGACGTGTTAACGTAAAGTTGCGAGCGATGTTGCATCTTCAAATTTCATTGTGACCGATGGAGAAATCATAATTCAGAAGTTACTTCACGCATGCTGAAAGGCACCGTACCGTTACAGCTCGCTGTATTAACCGGAGTGCGTGAGTGACCAAAAGACAAACTTTGTGAGAGCACACTTAGTCATATCGATACGTTTGCCCTTATTTGCGCTCAGAGTTTTGTTAATAAATCAGCGTTGACCAGACGCGCCAGCACATTTGATGTCGAGGGTCTCAGGAAATCAGCCGACACTTGATCACCATGCACGAGCTCTTACGCGATAATACTGGTCTTACCAGCCTAGTCCCCAACGATTCTTCGCACTAAAAATTCAGGCATATGGATGAGAGAATGTAACGTAAAGATATCTGCGCTCGAGCATACCATCTGGAACTTGCGTAAAGCGATGTATGCTATAGGACCGCAAGAAGAACAGGACTTCATTCCAAGCAAAAATCGCATGTCCGTGCGCTTCCTGTCCTGGCAGCAGCTGTTTCGTTTCTGTCTTGCCGGAGAAAGCACGGTCGGTCCAGGCCGAATCACACGCTCAATTACAACACGCGCGTGCCCTTTGTTCGCAGGAGAAAAGAAGCTGCTGTCGTTCGAGAGCCCGCAGAAGTCGTTCTTTGAGGGAGCCTCAAAGGCAGATATTCTGGGGTACCTGGAGGACGCCAAAGAGCGAGGCCTCGAGAATCTGGTCGGGGACACCGTGTCCTTCGAGGCCCTGGCTGAGGATGCTGCCCTCGACAAGATCGTGAGTACCCATAAACCAGCTATAGACAGTTTTTTCACCACTATCACAGTTGTGAGGCATAAACGAATTGTAAATGTCCATAACTCTCCAGTTGTCATGCCGTTTAGAGAAAGGCATGACACGTGCACGGATGCAGTTAAGCTTTGTGACAGCAGGTAATTTGGAATAGTCGACATGCGCAGGGCTCCTACTTTCACATCTTGAACAACGACGGTATTCTGGTCATATGATGACCAGTGATCATCAAACATGATGGTTAGTAGTGTAATGCAAAGAGTTTAGAGATACTGAGAAAGTCCCGGCACTGATATATTTTAATCGTCTTCTCTCGGTCAAAGAACCCCAGGTGATCGAAATTTCCGGAGCCCTCCACTACAGCGTTTCTGATAACTGTATTGTGGTTTCAAGACGTTAAACCCCACATATCTAACATCTGCTCATGGGTCACGTGCACGCCGCACTAAAACACCGGCGTACATGTCCTTTCTTGTGCGCATTCTTAGGTCACGCAGATGCCCCAATCGCTATAGCGCCGTAAGAACAAGCGGAATAAACTGAGCCATAAAATGTTTACGATATCGGAGCAAGCATCGTGCAAGCTTCTCTGGTAGTGCCATAAAGACCAAGGCAAGTGCGTTTGAAATGGTTGTAAAGCCTGAGCTCCGGATGTATACCGTTAATCCTTTCTTCCAGCATGCGCGCGTGCTTGCCAAAAGGAAGTGTCCGAAGAAGGGCATGGGTTGCGCGAGTGGTGGGGAACGGGGGGGGGGGGGGGAAGGTTGCGAGAAAATAAAACACCTGTGCTTGGTCCATGCAGATCTTCCATTCCAGAAGCGATTATAGACGTTTTATTTCCTCTTAAAATTCAAGAGAGATCAGCCACGTTCGCATAGAGATGCTAACCTGTATGCACCAACTAGCGTTGGTGCAGCTTTCGCTCTAAGCAACGGCTAACGAGAAAGTATCGGGCCAAGCGCCGACATGGCGAAAGACGTGTCGGAACTGGCGTCGGCTTGCACTAATGGGCGATTAATTGAGGGTCCTGTTTGGCCTCGCCGCAGCCGACGGGCGCCGACGTGGAGCGCAACGACAGTGGCATCGGAGGCGACCGGTACAGCGAACCTCTGGACCCACCAGCGGCTGGCAACAACGAAGAGCAACGATGTGCTGACTGCGACCAGCAGGTGTGGACGCCAATTAGATCGCATTGTTTATACAATAAAAACGTGCGCTGTGTATAACTTCAGCGAAGGCGGTCCATTCCGAAAGTTATGCGAAAAACCTGTTTAAGGGCTGCTTCATAAGAGCTGCTTCATACCATGCATATGGTATGAAGCAGCCCTTACTCTGCATACACCAAATGTGAAATGCGCGAAATTGGGGAAATGACAACACGAAAGAAGACACACCGCACATAACATAATCGTTTTTTATAATGCACCAACTAGCCCATGGAAGATGTTCTGAATTACCTGGAATTTGATGTATTCACACAGGCTATATAGTTCCCATTGTTATAGCGCTCAGTACTCAAAGCAGCATGTTCGCGTGGCGCATACAGGGTAGTCCAGCATGATATGAAGTGCATAGCATGTATAAGTGCCATATAGACTGCCATGACGTCTACCTAAACGCACTATAGTTCCATAAAGCAATGAAACATGAGTTTTATTTCAGCTGTCGCAATGATCAGGTTGACAGGAATTATCATTTTTAAACGCCTTGAACTCCTCTCAACGAGCTTTTTACACACGTTAAGCTCTTGCAGATTGATAAGTCTATATGTCAAGTACTTTTAGGAAGCACGTAAAACCCACAATCATAAAAGTTAACAAAACACAGACGTCATGAGACGCCTTTTCCAGTTTCTGTTACTGCGGCACAGCACTGTCTATTCATTCAAACTCAGTAAGCTCGCCATGCAGATTACAAAACACCGCATGTATACGAAGAAATGCAGTCAACAAAGGCTCCTTTTCCGTATGATATCTGACAGCTCGCGTATTATTCGCTTTTCTTCTTACTGGTGCAGGTAACCCTAGAAGAGGAACTAGTCTGTCCCAAGTGCGAGAAAAAACGCACCGAACGTCGAGAGATCATCACGGAGATTGTGCAGACCGAAATCAAGTACGGCCACGACCTGCGCATCGTAAAGGAGGTAAGCCAAAACAATAAATATGCCCGAGACATTGGGGCCGAGCTTATCTTTAACCACGGTACCCATGCCGAGTGAGGACCAGTCATGAGCAAGTGATAAGTCATTCTATACTGTGCACTATCGCGGCGCGCATGATCAAACTTGCACGGAAGATAGACAATATAAGTCCATTGAAAAGCAAGGTTTTACGACGGATGATCGCTTGTACATGCGATAAGGAGAACAGAGGTCACTGATGACTTAAAATAAGGCGACCAGCAGAAGATCGATAACAGACAGAGATGCTGAAATTGATTTATTTTACTACAGTTTATGTCAAGTTTATAACAATTGAAAAAACGACAAACCTACAAAGGAGAGTGAGCAAAAGCTTTCTTTCTAGGACCAGGTGGCGAAAGCAAGTCATCTAAGGAGAAGACCAGTATCACCAAAGAAACGAAGCAAATATGCTGAGATCGTTGCACTGCTCGTATAAGCAGACTAAGTACGTCCTAACCCACGGCAATCTATATATGTCCGCGTGGAACTGCTATAGGGTCCAATCGATAAGCTGTGCTTATAGGGTGAAACCTTTTTGACCACATCTCGTCACTTACGGCGCACAAGATGTGACCACGGCAATCAAACGAACGTGTCATTACCAACATCTTTCGACACCACAGGAGTTCTACAAGCCAATCGAGACGGCGGGCCTGCTGACGAAGCTGCAGCTGGAGGAGATATTTCTCAACCTGGACGAGTTGATCGAAGTGAACGCCAGCTTCTCCGAGAAGTTGCAGGACGCACTCGACATCGCCAGCGAGCAGGGAGACGAGGTATATGCCTTGTAGTAACGACAATAAGTTGCATATTGCAACATTGCCACGGCTTCTAACGCTGGCACAACCTTGGTCACTGTAGCACTCCACCCCCTTCCACATTATTGGACGAGTCCGAAAGAAAACAACTTACGCAATGGAGTGAGAGAGAAAGAGAGAGAGAAGAAACGCTTATTCGGTGGTCAGTGAGTGAATGGCTCACCTTTGGTTACCGGCTTTACTGGAGTAAAGACGAGAAGTAAATCAGTTCTTGGAATGGATTAGGAGTCGTCGGCCGCCATTGTGGTAGGAAAGCCTCAAGGTCATAAGTAACCTAGCACATTAAACAATGACCTGACATGACCGACCTGAAGAGAGATCTGAGGCTGACCTGGCGTCCCCTTATTTTATTATAAGGAGAAGGGGGTGGCCCCTTGTGCGCACGTCAATGGGCATAGGGTGTAGTTATTCAGTTTCTACAACATTACTTAGGCAGGCGTGCAAAACGCAAGTTCTGTTATCTTTGTGCGTTGACCGTATGCAGATACGGGAAGGCGGCACGTCGTCGCCCAAATGTTATCCTATCGCCAATCAAATAATAGTGATCACATAATCCTACAAGAAGGCCACGCCTGCTGCTATATTGTTCTGAAAGTAGGAATGTTTGCCTCGCAGGAGTACACTACAGTGGACATTGGCAAGCTGTTCCTGGGAGCCACGGGCATGCTGCAGGCGTTCCAGACGTACTGCGTTCGACAGGTAAGACGACACGCTGTTGATACTCTCTCTCCCAACAATGAATCAGATATGTTTCAGAACCAAAATGTTTGATATATTTACTCCCAGATAGTGGCAATGCAGCTTCCCTTTCTTCCCTTCTTTTTTTTTCTTGCCTTTTCTGTAGCCTTTATTGGTTTTCATTGGCCTAGAACAAGTTCCAATTAACTTTATCGGACAGTTTACTAAATTTACATGTGCTAATTCGCGAAAAAGAAAAAACTCTGCAACATCCATCACATGATAATTGAGGTTGCGGGAAAGTTAAAGGAAAAGGCGTCCCCATTTTGCGGGAGCACGACTCGCTGTCACAGGAAGGGGAGAAGGGGAATAAAAGGAGATATAGAAGCTGTGTATTCGAACCAGAAGGCTGGCCTCCCTTAATTCAAAATTCGGTTTTTCACTTCAAATAACTTTAATATTAAAATGCTTGCTCTGCATTTGTCTGAATACATATATTTCGTCCGATAATGGTTTACAAGGTCAATAACGCTGAGACCTGAAACGAAGACAGATAGAACAAAGTGGGTAGAGGTAGCCAAGGAAATGCTACCATGTTTGAAAGAGCAAGATACCTATGCATATAAAGAGATATTCGCGAGTAGTTTCAAAAATGCGTGAAATGAGAAACAGAAGGATCAGTTCGGGACCTTGAGTTATCGTACGATTGCGGCTAACTGAGCTTTGTGTGCCCGGTTACTCGCAGGCAAGCGCCTCGCTGAGCCTGATGGCGCAGGAAAAGGAAAAGGAGCTGCTGCGCATATTTCTGCGGGTATCCCAGATGGAGAACACGCTGCTCCGAAGAATGAACCTTGCTGCCTTCCTGATGGCGCCCGTCCAGAGAGTCACCAAGTGAGTGTCCCGCTCTCCTTACCCCGTCCGCTTGACGGAACTTCTGGCGCGACGAATGCCTCTCACTACGAAATGATCTGTATAACAAAGGGGGCCATAACCATGCTGACCTATTCCATGTTTGTAAACAGCAGTAAGCAGCGTCGACATACCGAGGCGCCTGTAGCAACGTCGCGGTGCGTAGGTTCCGCCCAGCCCAAAGCCCCGTCTATGATCACGTGACAACTGGCACAGCAGCTGAATTCTAGCCACCCTAGCAGCTGCAAAGGTGCCTCGAGCACAGTGCGTCGAGGGACTATCTCGCGAGGACACGTAGGAGGCTCCCCCACCGTTTTATTATTATTATTATTATTATTATTATTATTATTAAACGACACTGATTTAAATAATGTTCGGTGACATTCAGCGCATTGCGCCTCTATAAAGCAGCACAGAACTTCAAAGTGATCATTATTCATCGAAACCGGAGCGAGAAGCATACTTCTTCGCGCATATGTGCACTGCTGATGGCAGGACTCCTCCAGAAGCGCAATGTAACAAAAATTCAATCCGGAAAACTGCGCAGGTATCCTTTGCTGCTGAACCGGCTGTTCAAAGTGACGCCGTACTCCCACCAGGATAGGGAGTCCCTGAGAGACGCACAACTGCAAGTACAACTGCACCTCGAGAGGATAAACCAGGTAAGCTTAGCATTGTACAGTTGCATAGACTCAGAAATTCGTCGATCACTTACTTGTCAGACAGCCACGGTGTAGAGCGGAAAATCAACTTCCCAAGTCTTTAGCACAGTGGTGCTGAGGTTGCCCGCAGGTCGAAAATACAGTGAGGCGTGCACCCCTCCCCCCTGCACCAATTTGTGACCCCCCTTCCACTGAGGTTCATACTTCAGCACACAGTGCAAAGACGACCAATGAGAAGGGAGAGGGGGGAGCCACTGCACCCCATGCATTCCCTCCCCCCCCCCTCATTGCACACGCCTATATGCCAGCACACCTTCGCTAAGATGATGCGCTATTACCGAGTCAAATGCAACCACTTCGTTACAGCCACTGATTCACTATATCTGTTATTATGGCTTTACTGTGCCAGAGCCACAACAGTAATCTCCGGTTATCGTTTCGTTGACAAGGAAAACTAACAAAGAAAACTATTATTCGCAATGCGATGTACTGCCACTAGCAAGTAGTATTGATCGATGTGGTTTTCTTGAAAACGTGCCCATTTTTCACAGTTGACTCGGGAGGGAAACCCGACCAAGATATGGCGTCGCATCTCGAGCATTTCCGTGAACCCTCGGCGAGCGCAGAATAACGTCGGCGTGGGAAGCATCAAGCTAAGAAAGGTGAGAGAGTGCGAAATAGCACTTAAGCTGCATACCTTCGTTTGCATACGACCAAAAAAGTGGGCGTACAGATCCCGCTTTCGTTTCTTGATACGTCGTTGATGAAGAAAATGTAATGAATGTCTACGGTAAGACAAGTATTGTATTTTCAATTCCACCATCATCACGAAAGAGCGAATAGAAAGCAAATAATTCTGTATGTGTGCACGTAGTTTACGTGCACACACAAACACGCAAAGGATGTACATAAATAGGTGTCGGGCGCGGCCTACCTCCCTCCCCTGCAAGGGCAACGAAATCCATTTCTCTTTATCAAAGCACATGCCAACAAAACCCAATTCCTATTGCGTCGGAGCCATTCGCACAGACTTGGCGCCATCTTCCCGCGCTTCTCTGGCGTATCCAGGAGATCGCACATCGTACTCGTGCCTCCAACCCCCGAATTTTTTTTTTTTGTTGTTGTCAATGCATACAGAGCGAACAATGACCCTCTTAAGGTGGTACCCCCGAAAAAATCAAAACAATGTCCCCCCCCCCCTAAAAAAATTCTGCTTATGTCCCTGCCTCCCCCTGAAAATTTCTGGCTGCACCTTGAGTTCCAGCGTTTATGTCAACCATACATTGAGTGTGCTGGACCAAAAGTGGTTGCAACACAAACCTGTCATGTAATTATTAAGTGTACCAAGTCTGTGCCAAGTCTACTACCAAGTCTGTGCAAACGGCTCCAGCAGAATTGATACGAAACTTCGCTTAATATCTCAGGTGAATATGCGTAACCAAGTGGTGCCAGCATGAAAGAAAAATGGTTCCAGTTGCAAGCCAATTGGCAACCCCCTGGTTATGTAACAAGACCCACCTTGAGTCGAGCTGGAACATGTTCTTTGAAAAAGGTGAAATTGGTCTCATCGTCTGTGTGGGACACCCATTACTAAGGGCACGCCGTACATGACAATGTGGCATTCGAATATATGGTTTGTATACCAAGGAGTGTAGTAGCTGCTCCACGGCAATCAGCAAGGCGACGGTCGAGTTGGATACATAACCGTGTCGTTTACTAACTGCTGCAGATGGCGTTAGACCTGCTCAAGTGGAACAGGGACGAGACGCGATTCGTCCTGGCTGGCCGCCTCCTCGTTGCCGAGCTGCCGGCCAGTGGCAGCAGCGGCAGGGGCGTGCGCTTCGCCGCGTTGCACGGCTTGCTGGCCGTGCTGGGCCGGCCAAACTCCAACTACCGGCCCGACCTGGCGCACGACAACTCGCTCCTCTTCCCACGAAACACGGGCATCCGTGACGGCGCCCTACTGCTCGCCAAGGAGAAAGCCGGAAAGTTCGTCCTTCCAAGGGTGAGTGCGCTAATGCGTTCCGTTGAGCCCATTGACCGTCACGCCCACTCCAGTACTGAAGAGTGCACACTACTGCATCCTTGGGGGAAAATGGTAACTTATAGTAGCAGGCGCAACTTGAATGAAATGTCTGTGAGCGTGACTGACAGTCGTAGAGTCTGCCACTAAAGAGAAAAACGATCTTGCTTGTATGAAATTACTCTTTCACGATAACAAAAGCACCACGCTCGGTGCAAAAAAACACCTGGTGAGCGACAAAACGCGCAAAAAGAAAATGCAAGTGGTGACGCCACTTTGAGGTTCCCGCACCAACATACCAACTTTCAAAAATTTTGTTGAGCCAGAGCAGGCGAAAGACAAATAAGACATCGTGTATGAAGATTTCGGCATGAAATTTAAAAATTGAGGTGGGTCATCACCTGCAAAAACACAATTTTGAAAAAATAAAACTATTTTGTGTAAGGGGGGGGGTAATCTTTTCAAGCTCCCTGTCTATCCCAGATTATTTAGCCAAAACAACTGTGCAAGTACCCTCAGCCACTAGAAAGTTATGGCCATTTTTCCAACCCCCTCCAAGGCGCATCCGAAATTGAAGACTCGATTCTACAGCACTTGCGATATTGTCATAAATCTCTCTTAGCATGCATATCACAAATCATATCAGCTCAGTTGTTTAAGTACGTTTTAAAGCATGAGCGAGATGATGTTTTTGTGTTATTTTAAAACTTGCACAGCAAAGCTGTGGCACTGTGTCGTTCAAGTTGCGCGCGTTTACACTCGGCTCTCTGTGCTCTTTCGTATGTCATTTAGAGCTCATGACGTTAATAATAATAATAATAATAATAATAATAATAATAATAATAATAATAATAATAATACCTGAGGTTTTACATACCAAAACCAGGATATGATTACGAGAGATGCCGTACTGAAAGGCAGTGTTGCCCTTCCGGAATTGGAGTGACTCGGGAATAATTCCACATTTTCGCGACCACAGAATAGAATGGGAATTGAATTAAGGGCCTTCTAGATAGAGAGGTGGGCGAGTTGTATTTGAGGCTTCTTGTACAAAGTCAGAGTAAATAGGGCGGAGCACAAAAATAGAAGGACACAGTAGGAGCGCCGTGTCCAGCCCTGTACTCTGCGCTCGTACTTCGTCCTTCTATTCTTGTGCTTTGTCCTATTTGCGGTGATTTTGTATAAGTGCCCTTTGCACGAAATGGAATTGGAATGAAATTTTTTCCATTCCATTGAAGGCCTTTTTCCAAAAATAGAGCACGTTTTCATCTAAGCACTGTTTTTCAATTTAAACAATAGTAAGTCAGAGCCTCGAATTGAACGGTAAAGCAGTATTTTTAAAATGGCTTGGCACATTACAAGAACGGTCCCTTTATGAGCAATGAGTACTACAATTCCGTCCCTATATATAAACTGCTACTCTGAAGTTAGTCTATTCTTCGCGTAACCGCAGCTCTGTGCCAATGGTGTCCGTCTTGAGGAATGTTATGCTGTCATATAGTGACGATAATGTAGGCTTTTGATGAAGTCAACACCAAAGAGCCATACAGCAGATTCTCTTTAATACGGGGGAAACAGCCATAGAAATCAATCTAGATTAATAAATGCATAATGCAGTTAATGGCCTCTGTTTTTAGCAGTGAGAATATTTAGAGGACATTTGTCCTGTTACTGAGCCATACCACAGAGGAGAGTCTGCAAACTGCACATCTGAGGGGGTGTAATAGAACAATTGAGGGGGTGTAATAGAACATTACAACATGTATATTATACTAGCATATACACATGTATCAACATGGTATATGTGCGCTGTTCTGTGTGCAGCTGTGTTTGACACAACAGAAGTCTATGGCTACGAGAAACCATGAGAAAGACAGTTTCTGTAGTAAAACGAAGCATTGGCCACAAATTCAGACTAGGGAGAGTGGACAAATTCAAAAGTTCTAAATTTTCTATCTGGTGACTTAAACATCAACATCAGGACAAACATAAGCGAATCATAAGTGCACGCACAAAAACGTGTTCATTTGCTTTAATTGGGACACAAGGTAGTGCAATATATTCTATGTTCATGGAAACTCATAGGGTAACACAAACTGTGTTGCAGGAACCCTTGTCCCTCGGAAGTTGTATCATCAGCTGTGACCCGGAGCTAAAGGACTGTTTCGAGATACAGGAGTATACATCGAAGGAAGGATTTCTTTTCAAGGTAGGCAAGAATCTGTATAAAACTGGTTTCTGCGACTGTACTGGTGGTTTTCCATTGCAGGCCGAAAATAGTATGGAAACACGAGAGTGGCTGAAGCAACTCCGGTACCATGCCAAAGACCTTGGTTCATGGCGCAGGAGGCGCAATGGCATGGCCAACATAATGATCAACGGCATGGACCGCTACTGAGACTGCAGCGCTTGCTGCAGGCACTGCCAGCTCCCTGCTGTGTCAATCTCCAGGGTTCCCTGTTCATATTTGTGCAAAAAAAATGAGGAAGTGCGTGTGAGCCTTTGTGGTGTAGTGTCAGAAACTGCAAGTGATAATGTCTGCAATGGCTCGGTGCATCTACGAAAAGACAGCACGCCCAAAGTCACTTGCGGGACTGGATGAACTTCCCTCCGAACTGTGTTGGGCGACATGTTATCGTTTGAAAGGTTTAGTGGTGGAACTCTTTTAGGCCAGGAGCATCCTATGTATAGCTGTAATTGCATACTCCAGTGGAGTCACAGTGAACGTCTGCGATGTGATACACCTTGCGAGTAGTCTACAGTGTTCAGTGACCCAAAGTGCACGCGAGCTGTTTTCATGCAAACACAACCGCCCAGCATTCAAGTCGCGCTGTTTGTTCCAAGCATGAAACTGTCTTTGACACAAGAAGCACAACGGCTCGAAGTCAGTGGACAAGACCAGCACGCGTGTTGAGTGCTTTGCTGTGGCAACTAAGTCCTAGCTCATGTCAGAGGTTATATTGCATACAATACGCAGAATAAATCTTGACTAGAGTTGTGAACCACAAATAACTATTCACAAAATTTATGCTTTGAGGTGTACCATTCATGAACCTTGTTCAAAAGCTTATTTTATTTTTCATTCTTCTGCAATGTAAGATACTTTCAGATATAAGTTTATGTAAGCTAAGTACATGTAGCACTTAGAAAATAAATTTTAATAATAAGCACAACAACCTTGTATTTTTTACACAATGATGCATCCAAACGTACCTCACAAAATGGTCAGCTGCCATTTCATGGATAACTCAATAAAATGCTTTGTTGGGCACGTTGGTTCATTCGGGAATGAATTTGCGGATAAAAGGACGGGACATAGGAAAAATATGACAATGTTCACATGATGTATCGATTTATTGTGCACTGTAAAACGTGAGCTCATGCAAAACAAACATTTATAAACGAGTGCTCTTTCAAGGCATTGTCAATTAGTCTTAAAAGGCCAGCAGCATTACAGAGCATTGCTAACTTCCTTTGATTATTTGCACAGTATCCTTTACTTGCACAAAAAGGCAGCAGACATTGTCTGCAAAACAAGTGCACTCACACACAAGACAAAGAAAAGCACCTTAGAAGGCATTAAACAATATTCAGCATGCTCAACAACAGCTTCTTTAAAAACAGGCACATAGAACATGTCAGATGGCTTCACACATGTAGAGTGGCTTAGCTCAGCTAAGGTTGAATCTACCAAGACTTATGACCATGTGCCTGTATATGTTGGCAACCAGCCAAAGGCACTGTGCAATCACAGAGGCAACACACACACACACGCATTCGACACACGAAAAAATGTCAAATCAATGGACTAGAGAAAGAAAACATGTCAGCATACGAAACGACAATGCCCTCTATCGAGATTACACAAATCCACTTCTCTGCAGAGATACTACCTAGATGCCCCAATGTCATGATAAAAGGGCCAAAAGATACACGAGAAAGAACCTAGGACATAGTGGAATAGCGAGGTTCCCAGGGGCTTGTGGAAAGTTAAAAGGGCTTCAGCTGTTTCGAACCAGCGAAACTCGCTTAAACCACAAGATGACGCTTTGGGCTTCTTCAGAGCAATATATAGAAGGCGCAATCATGGATAGCCTAGATTGACCTATCCACTGACCCTGTGAAAGGAGCTGGTTGTATCAGGCGGCTCTGACATGCCATTCAGTACAAAAAGAAACAAATGCATTATAATACGATACGGCGTAGTACAAAAATACGGTCCCTTCAGTACACACAACTTGAGATGGCGTTCAGCTTATGAAAGTGCCCTAAAACCGGTAGCAAGCAGTCATGTATTGGCTTTGCTTTAGTTGTACTTCTCCTGGCTCTTTTGTGACACCATGCTGCGTCCCAGATAAACAAGCGAGACATGTTGCAGACTGCCCTTTTGTACGCCCAGACCTCGTCAAAACATGTTAATACTGGTAATCAAAGGGCCTCCATGTATGTGATTTAGCTAGTTATGTGGTTCGGCTGCACTTGGAACTTGTCCTGCTAAGAGAGTGCTATAAATTTGCAAATGAGAATGAAGAAAGCAGTTAACTACAGTTTACATGGTACTGTGAAGGAAATACAGTCTTCCTGAGGCACGGGCAACTACTTTAACTTCTTAAGCCGAAGTTTTTTATATAATCTATCAAATTTATGGCGTGGCTGGCTCACATTTTCCCCCTGTACAACTTGCTGCAGTAAAAATATTTTCAAGAAAGCTTACGCTATCCGACATTATGTCAGAAAAGGGATTCTCTCAGGCGTGTCATAAGAGGCTACTTTAGAATGGTGCCAGCTTAACATACAAACCATCACCTTGCAAATAGTAGGCCCTGTATTCTGGATTCAGAAAACAGTTGTCAAAGGCTCTATTGCAATCAGTTTTCAAACGACAGAGTAATACACAACAACCAAATTCATCGCATAAGAACAATCATCACCAATGAGACAGAGGAGGCCAAATGAACGCAGAAACTCGCTATAAAAGAAGCACTGAAACATAGTCCTGAACATAGTAAGGAAGTGTTCAGATTTGTTGTCAACATGTTCATTAACACGGGACCTAAACACTGTTTCATTGAATGCAGCAGGGAGTTAAGAGTATCTTGTACGGTAGATTGCACGTCGTCTCCCGTGATTTTCCAAATCGCCGGATTCTTTTTTACCCTTATGTAACATTGGTGATGTCTCTACATGAGGTTTGACAGTCCACAGGTGCCACCCATTCGGCATGCACGAGTAAACACTTCCAGATTTTGAAGGGAACATGGAAGCGGCATTTGTTAATGCATTTTTTCCAGTTCATCACCCCTCCTTTGTCAACCGTCAATTTTTTATGCCAGGCATCCGCTTTGAAAGGCTACCTTAAGCACACTATGAAAAGAAAAGAGAGAAGCAATAGGCAGCGCACAAACTCTGTGTGCCCCTTTAGCTGAGAAGGACTGGTGTGTTGAGGGGGAAGGAAAAAGCAAACACTCCATTTCTATAAAGCCCACATTACTTATCTTAGAGAATGTATCTCTTGAAAGGCATCTAACCCATTCCAGCTTGGCTTGCTTGCTTTAAAAAAAAAGGCCTCTCAGGGCACCTTCGAAGATTGCTCTTAAACTCAGGCATGAAATCTACGAGTGTACATGCCATATCTAGCATGACAACACATGTGTTTTGCAATCAAACTTTGACCCATTCAACAACCACGCTCAGCACCAGTGACCAGCAAAACTTTCACAAAATCGTGTGAAAGCGACAAAACATATGCCCATCTGTACAATTCTGCAGAAGAAGCTACTTTGAAGAAAGCTTTCTGTGAAGCAAGTTTATGTATGAGACTAGCTAAAAACACAAGTGTCGCTTCACATGACAGTATGCAGTGTACGTACACATCATGAACATGTCACAGCGACAAATGTGCATCCTATGCAGTCTTTTACTACCATCGGAAAGAATGCCACATAGAAAGCAGCGTTCAGTGTTTTCAAGAAATACCCACCACTCCGCACCAAAGTCAAACAGACACACTAAAGCCACAAAATTTAAGATGCACCATATTTACTCGCAATTAGGGGCACTTTTTTCCCGAAAATCCGACGGCAAGTTTTATTTCCAACTACTGCATAGACCGCTGATAACGTAAGTTGCCGAAGTCACAAATATCTGCACTACAGCCAGAACAACCTTCTTCATAGGCTACGCTAGCGCAAAACGTGTTGAGCATGCTGTCTCGCGTGACTAAAAGAATCGAGGCATCGATTGACTCACGTTACCAGCAAAATGAATGCGAAAAAAAATTCCAAAAGAAAGCGCCATCGCAAAAATTCGCTGATTATGTTTCAGGCTACCTAGATTATGCGCATTATCACGATGGAATTTTTTTTCTTCTGAATGGTACTGATCGATCATTTGATTTCACAGGATCGCACCTGATATCTAAAGACATTGCAATCGAATCGCAAGCCACCTATTCCAGTGTTACAAGCGCCACCTATGCCCCCTTTCCTTCAAGTAGAGCCATCTTAAACAGCTGCGCTGATTCCGTACAAAACTACAACTTTGATCGCCCGCTATCACCTCCGAAAAGCAACCAATGCTGGTTAGGCCAAGCTCACGGTTCAGCATGTTGTCACGGGAAATTTGTACAAGACAATCTGATGATTCAGCGTCAAGAAGATCACACTTAAGCACTGATTCAAGAGCAGCATGCGTGATATGATGTTTAGGTTCGTGGCTGGGAAATCAACGGCAACAAAAAACCGCCGAGATTGTGCAAGTTTGCGCAGACGGCAACAAAGGCGTAAGCTCGTGTCAGAAAACCGAATTGCAGGAGGAGGTAGCAAACACGATAATGACGAAGCTGTTACCGACAGCAAACTCAAAGCGCACTTGATGAAGACGCAATCCCATGTTCTATACGAAGCGCGCACGGCCGGAGCCACGCCTGCACTTGTGCGAAGGTTACTGCGATGCCCAAGCAACCACCCTTTTCTTTCTCCTCACTCCAGTTAACGTACGAGAGTGGCGAATTGCTACCGTGCAAATACAGTACTGAACTACCGATTACGGACAAGTTCAGGGTGTGCCTATTCAGTGGAAATTTTTTTTAAAAATGATTTCTCTCGACCAAACTGGAGGTGTGCCTGTTATGCGAGTGCGCTTATTATGCGAGTAAATATGATACACATATGTTACAGGGGCTTCAAAATGTTGGGCTAAATTTCTTGGCCAGGTTTAATAAATTAAAGTGGCCCTTCAGAGGCGAATGTTTTATCATTTTAAGAACTGCAAGACTCCAGTGTCAATTTTATTCCCTGGATTCAATTAGTGTAAAGACAACATATGAGCCTTCGATTCTAGACTCATCTTTAGACAACAACCTTACACAATCTTAAAAATCACTAGCCCTCTTCGTGGTATCCCTGGAAGGCTTCTGGTACCAGAAAAATGACAAGAAGGGCCTCCACAGCGTTAAAGGACTATATATTTCATGCAGCAGTAAATGTTTGCTGCCTACAGCAGCACCCTATTTCACGTAGATGCGATGCACGTCAAGTTAGCAACTCTCAAGATCATGGCTGTTTCATCACTTTCTGGCACGGCGTGCATGACGAGTGTACCAGAAAACAGTCAAAGCCTGTCAGCACCAAATGCAAATACTGTTTGTTTGATTCTGCTAACCAGCTGCATTATAAGAGTTAATCACAAACACTGACAGTTTTCATGCGTTCTCAATCTCCTGCACCATCGAGGTGTGATGCTAGCAATGCTGCTTGTCACATCTATCACCACTGTGTGAAGCTGTCGATTTTTATGGCATAAGACAGAAAGTGAACGAACACTTTCCATTAAAAATTTCGCTAAGAAAAACTGTTTGGGGCAATAGGAAGTAGAAACAGTTGCCAAGGTACACCAGAAGAACCTCTCCTCCAATGCTAGTTGAAACTACGCATTAATAAATGCAGTACAAGCATGTTCTGTACTTCTTGACAAATAGCATGCACACAATAAAACCTTGACAGCAGTAGAATATAGTTTAGTTAAGGCTGTGATATGCCCAGATTGATGTGAAGCAAAAAAAAAATACAACTGGCTTGAGCCGTAAAACAAATGCCCAAATGTCTTCCTCAACAAAAGTTCCGAGACAGTGAGTTGCGTTCTTCTGCAGATATATAAATGCCATGTGTCAGTGATGTGAGAAATACCCCAGCCATCCACAATTACCGTTCAAAAAAGATACTTAACGTGTTACCCCTTAGTAATGCATTTGGTAAAATAAAGGTCAATGTGAAGTGTTCTGTAAGTGCAGCATAGAACACCTGCTAATTTATTATTTTAATTTTCAATAAAAACTAAAATGTGACAATTGAGAATCACAAGCATAGGGCACCCTTCTGCTAGCTGAAATGGAGTCATCAAAGGGTGTAAAGTAAACGTGGTCCCATTTCAGTACACTAACTATCACGATGTCAAACAAGCCAATGATCAAGTTCCATTCATTGAGAAGGACAGTTGATTTCTTGAAAAAAGGAAGGAAAGAACAAAAAAAAGACAGAAGCTCAGAAATACAGTGACCACAAATAGCCATAAGCTCAACATAACAGACGTTAAAAACACACATTATAAATGTTTTGTTACAAAGGGAACAAAAAAGGCTTGAAAAAAAAAACCTAGCTTGAAAGAATGACATGAGTTACTAACTGCTATCACTAACTAACAAGCAGGGGTGTGTGAAGTTTTTATGGCTCAAGTCAAGTGCTAGTGCAAGTTACTGTCAACCTTAATTCAGCTTAATTCAGTGAAGTTTCACAAGATCTGGCTTGCAGGCAATCATTAAAGTACACTGTAGTAAATTGCAAAGCAATTACCACGTGTGGCTAGTCCTATGAAATGCTGCCTTCAACACCTCATCGCGATTACATGATCACTTAGCACTGAAAGGTGCCTAACACGTGAACAGGACTTTGCCTACGTACTTCTCACTTGTGTCAATGGGTTTAGAATACTGATACAACATGAGAAATAGGCTGGGCATGTGTGTCACTGCTACACGCAGACTAAAGACCACATGTTTAAGCATTTTAAGCACAAAGGCATCAAAAGCAAAGTAGAACTGAACATTTACAATACTGTGAAGCATATAGCGAGAGCACAATCACCTGCGAATGTTAATCTCTATGTGAAAAATAAAGAAACAAATTGCTCATTTCATGATAACTAAGAGGGTTAGGCTTCACTTCCTAAAACAGGACACACTACTGACGCCATGCAGCACCGTGAATAGAAAGAGAATCAAAATGCCAATAAATCATCCAGCTCTTTCAATGCACCCATACGAAAAATAATAAAATACCTGCTGTGTTCATAAATAAGTAACAAAGAAAAGCAATCCAGACCAAGTTGCATGCGCTTCATACACATATTTATTAAGGGTAGGCGAATATTTGAAATATCAAGTATTCTTTCAACAGTGTTTGTTATTCGATTTGCACTGGAAATTTGACTATTTAGTACTATTCAAACTTCCTCAAGACAAGTACAGTCAACGGTCCGATTGGAAGTGATTTCCGATTTTCAAGCATGCTTCACCTCATTCCAATCATTTTGCAGGCAAAACTGCCTTTCAAGCTATGCTACAGTCTATTTACTAAAGGCTAGGCTTGTGAGAATAGTGTATTTTAGGTTCTATGTGAATTCGAAGCGATTAGCGGTTTTGGTCGAATGATTTCAAATCAAGTTCGAATAGTATATACGACATGTTATAAAAGAAAATGGGCATATCTCCAATGACCTGTCTATCCTGCACAATGTACACATATCATTATAATAAAACAAGGCCTGAGAAAATGCCATTTTTCGGAGGTTCAAAGGGAGGGGGAACAACTTTGAATAGCAGCAGGATTTACTTTTGGTGGAAATGCAAATTATAACCTCTAAAATATGTTACGTTTTATTATTTACTATACTTAGAGCATATAAGCCGGTCCAGCATTTTAAACATCAAAAATTGTGAATAAATGTGAGGTTTATCTATTAATTTAACCTTGAAACTGGGGCTTCGCAGCAGGGTAAATTGCCAAAAGATGTTTCTATGGCTTAGCACCACCTCACTGCCCTGAAACCCCATTTACAAAAAGTTGCATGCGAACTAATACACATTTTAATAGGCCCTTTCCTGGCTTAGCACCCCTTCACCCCAGCAAAACCAACTTTACAAAAATTACAAGTGGAATAATATACAGCTATTCGTTCATTTCAACTACCTGGAAATTTTCAATAATATAAACTCATATAAAAGGAATTCGAATACTGTGCTATTCGTTCAAATATTCGCACAAGCTTACTAAAGACAAATAGAGCCATTGTCTCATTAAAAATGGCTCCTTCAAATTTACAATATGCTTCACTTCATGACGCTCATACTGCAGCTAGGCTGCATTTAAGCTCCACTACGGTCGCAAATGCAGGGTATAAATAAATATCATCACTGAAAAGTAACACACAGGTATCGTTAATAGTGAATTTCAGTTTGTCCATAAACTTTTTTGCGCTCGCGTAAAATCGAGTTACTGCCGCCGCAACAGTGAGAGGCCGGATAGGCGGGGCCAGAAAAACCCTATTTGTCCACTCTTGTGCATTCCCTCTACCGATATTCCACAAACCCCTTTACGTACACCGGAATGCTGTTCACACCAAAACTCCCTAATATAGCTAATTGACACACACAAGTGTGCATGGCTGAAGCATGTATCCCCGGGCACCTTCTCGTTGCTACTTGGAACGACATCCATTTTGGTATCACTAGTTTCGTTTTGCAAAAAGGTTGATCGAAGCAAGAATGATTTGCAATGTCACAAATTGTGGCGATTCTAAGCTCCAGACTGTCGCATTCAAACCCCAGACTACACTTTTTATGGCAACGACGGCAATGCTGGTGACAATGCCTGACTGAATGTGTGTGCCTAGCAGACAAGAGAGAGAGAGAGAGAAAAGAAAGGCTGGGAGGTTAACCAGATATTGGCATCTGGTTTGCTACCCAGCGCTGGGGGCGAAGAAATAAGGGCAAGAAAGAGGGGGTAGATAAAAAAAAAACGCACGCGCACTCATGTGAAAAGGAAAACACACAGGAAAGGCGTCCTAGCTACAACCGTTTAGTAAGGCCGGTCGATCGCAAAAAATGTAGTAGCGCTTTCAGGGCCTTCTTCTGTGAAGTCGCATCTTGTCGATATTGTAGAATTCCCTGCTCCGACAGAGGTTGATCATCTAATTTGCTGAGTTCCTTGCGAAGGCATAGTCGTTGTTTACTATACTCTAGGCAGTCACAGAGAATATGTTGGATCGTTTCTTCTTTGCCACAGTGGCCACAGACTGCGGTGTTGGCCATCCCAATGCGGAAAGCGTAGGCGTTGGCAAACGCAACGCCCAACCACAGCCTACATAACAGGGTCTAGTCTGCTCGGCAAATCCTCGACCGGACTTGAAGACTTAGCGTAGGGTCAAGCGAGTAGCCGGGCATGCTTGAAGTGTGGCTGATTCCATTGTGATGTGGTTTGCTGGCGAGCAAGCCTGCGGAGCTTTCGTACAGCATCTGTCCTAGAAAGTGGTAGTCGTAGTTTATGATCTTCTGTGTGGGCTGAGCGGGCAGCTTCACCGGCCCGTTCATTGCCGATGATTCCCCAGTGACTGGGTAACCACTGAAATGTAATATGGTGCCCTTTCTCAGTCAGGGGGTGTATAACCTCTGCTATCTCTAGTACCAGCTGCTCGTGTGGTCCACGGCGTAAGGCTGATAGTAGAGACTGCAGTGCCGCCTTCGAATCGCAGAAAATAGTCCACTTGCGTGTAGGTTGATCAACGACCGATTGCAACGCGGCACAGAGTGCTACCGATTCTGCTGCCGTTGATGTTGTTGCGTGAGATGTCTTGAATTTAATTGTCAAGGCCAACCTTGGTATCACTACTGCTCCTGTAGAGCTGTCCGGCTGATCCGATCCGTCAGTGGTATTTATGTGTAGAGTCTTGATATTTCTCATACAAGAGAAGTAGTGTGAGCTGTTTAAGAGCCGGTGACGACAAATTGGCCTTTTTCTGGATGCCAGGTATGTTAATATTAATCATTGGTTGAGCGAGGCACCATGGCGGAGTCACAGGTCTAGCGGCAGGAGAGAACGAAGTTGGGATCGACTCGCCATGTGCTAGCAGACAAAATGTTAGTGGAGCAGCTGGGCCTCTGATTCTGTGGATAATGTGAGGCAGCTGACCACTCCATTCTGTAGAGAAGTGGCCAGCTGCGGCAGGATCTGGACATGACCCTGGGGAAGCGCTAAAAATAGCAGACTTGCCGGTCGTTTTGAATCGTGATAGATACCGGTGATATAAATCAATAAAAAATTTCACAGCATATCTACAGAGTGAATGATGATGAGCGGGACGAAGTGTCTGTCTGTGTGTCTGTCTGTGCGTGCCTCCGTCCATCCACTCCTATCACACTAAGGCACACATCGGACGGACGCCCCACTCATCATCATTTACTCCGTGGATATGCTGTGAATTTCTTATTATACGAAAACCACTAACGACATCTAGTGATACAATTTCCACGGACATATACCGTATTTACTCGCGTAATCCTCGCACTCGCGTAATTCTTGCACCCCCCAAATCGCCCTAGAAAAATAGAATTTTTTTTACCTCGAGTAATTATTGCACTCCGAAAAATTGCCGCAATAATGTCGTCTGCTTGTTCCAGCCATTGATAATGATAGCGCATGCCCTCTGGCGCCATCTCTTAAGCATCAAGCGTACTATTATTGCATGGAGATTATACAATTCAAGCTAAGCCAAAGCGGCAAGTGCGCTTTGCGGTACAGTGGCTAGAATAGGGAAGTGTGATGAGCGGCAAGCAGCACCAACGGAGCGCACTGAAGCCTCTGAGGAGGAGCGGCGTAGGGGCGCGCGCAGTCGTTGGCGCGTTCGTCCTTCTTTTTTTTTTTTTTTTTTTTTTTTTTTTTTTTTTTTTTTCCGTGGCACTCTCACAGAAATGCTTCTGTATGCATTCTCATGGCGCGAAAATAAAGTCATTGCTTCGTTCCGGGGTGCACTACAAGCTACTAGTCAGGTTGTTCGGCGTTAGTAAGAACAAAGCTCTGCGCAGTGGCGGAGAGCGATTCCGCGCGCTGACAAGCCGCTTCAAGAAAACTTGGCTGTGTGCAAGCGGCACTTCGACGAGAGGTATGTACATCTCCCGGCACTTCGAGCTTACTGTGAACGGCGAAATGGTCCGCATAGAAAGGGGTAGGCCCATAGGCGTGCTTGTCGTTCGGGGGGGGGGGGGGGCAAAGGTTCGTTGCAGTGCGCCCCTCCCTATTAATTCAATGTATGAGGCAGATTTTGCGCCCCCCCCCCCCCCCCTTTAGATGACTTATAGTGCGCCCCGCTGCCTAGTCAATGTATAGAGCAGATTTAGCGTCCCCCTCACAGGTGACTACGGGGGGGGGGGGCGCTCACCCCCTTTGCCCCCCTTGTGCGGACGCCTATTGGTAGGCTTTTCGGTGAAGCTCTTCGTATTTGTAGACGCCCTTGAAATCCCTTTTTCAAAGTGGTTTTGCTACAACGAGCTTCACAGTGACAGCTTGAAAGAGCCTTTTTTCTGATTAAAAAACAAAAACAAAACAAAGATGTCACACTGGGCTGCACACAACATGGTTCGAGCCTCACCAATCAAGTGAACACGTTTTCTTTCTGCTCACCCATTTGCGTCTTTTCACAAAGGCACTCCACAAGGAGCGAGCATCTTCCCGTGAAAAGAAGTACCTGAAGCCCAGGCGCGTCATCTGCTCTCAGTCCAAAGGAAATAATGTTCTGTGGGGTGCTTGTGAAATATAAAACTTTTTTTTCTTGGGGATAAAAAAAGACGCGCGACCAATTATCAAGTATGCATTGTTGTAAACAGATAGCGAGTCACTACTCGGAAATGCTTTGTATGGCCAGTGTGCAGAAAATAAAGGGTTTTCATTAAGATACCACTCGGGATTCTCGTCCCTGAAATGATGGTTTGCCGTAGAAGGTGTTGCAAACAGTGGCTCACAACCTAGTCCATCGTTCCACTCTTCTACCATTTCACATCAATAAAATGTTTCAGTGCCGTAATGCGCTCACTTTCGGCACCCTGTCGATATCTCAGTTCAGTCGCGCACCCGCGTAGGCATCCAGTAATTCCGGAAGCTTATTAGCATATTTTCTCGGTCGCAATTTGAAATTATGCACGAGCAACAAAATATATTTTATATGTTTCGCATTGCCCGCGCACGTGGTTGATTCCCGTCTCATACATGCGCAGCGCATCGCCAGATTGGGTGACGTGCAAACGTGTGCCAGCGCCATCTGGCGGTTTCCTCCCAAGGCGTTACGTGCTAGCCGGGGCGTTCATCACACTTCCCTATTCTAGCCACTGTAGTTGCGGCGTGTTTTGTATGTTGTGTCGGTAATCTTGGCATGTTATGGGGTGATACTGAAGCTACACGGCTGCTTTCAAGTTGGCAGTGATTGATCATGTTAAACAACAACAGGGCCACCAGTAGGCCCTTCGGAGTCGACAAGTTTTGTGTTCGCTACTAGTGATGGCAGCTGAAAGCCACCAAGACGCGTTGGGCCTGCTGTGTGCCTAAGACTGTGGGATTGATGATAAACTTTATTTCTTCAGAAGGAAACTGCGGACAATTCTGTTAAATAGCCATCAGCCGAACACTGACATCCTACGCTTAGCTTTTGAGGGCTCCTGTTGAGTGACAAACGCTACCGCTAAGCCTGCAACGCCCACAAGCTTTGCGTATGGTGTTGTAATTCTCTACTATTTGCTTGCACTTTTTGTGTCTCAAATAAATCTTGCCTTGTGTTGAACCTCTGCTTTTATTGTTGAGGTAAAATTTAAATTTAATTAGCACTTCTCAAAGCTTGCTGTTAGTTCCTGGTGTGAGAATCTCGATTTGCGGCCACTTCGTTTTCTTTTTCCCCCTGTACCTTTTTGTGGAAAGTTTTCTCCGCGTAATTCTCGCACACCCCAACTTTGCATCGGTTTTCCACCGAAAAAAATTCGAGAATTGTGCGAGTAAATACGGTACACACAACGGCATCTTCTGAGCAGTTGTAAAAACTAACTAGAAGTGGCTACTACAACATACAACTATAGTGAACTAGATAGGGGTAGTGGGACGACCAGAGAGTGAAAGTAAGCAGCAGCAGCGAGGCGAAATGCACGGATGTCTTCGCGCACAGCATGGTTGCACCACTGAGACTTTCTCCTGACGCCTCAACCCAGCAACGTGCATTCTGACGACAGGCACTGACAATTGTAGGCACGTGTGCAGTGATATATTTGGTGGTGTGATGAAAGTAATGTTGAGTTTGATAGGAAAATCCCTCAGTAAAATAATTATTTTGTGCCAGGTTGTAAAACTGGGTTAGAAAAGTGAAAATGCTGTCTTCTGTCTACATGAAGGACTGGAGTGGTCGTTAGTACCCTTCACAAGATTTGTAGTAATGGCTTGGCAAGTATCGCACTGCAGTAGTATCTCAGAAATACTTCTGAGTTCCTTTATCAAGATAGATTTGAAAAATGTATTTATATCACAGTAGTGAAATACTTCTCCTATGTATCGAATATATCGGAAATACTACTGTGAAGACACGGTTATCTCGCTACTCTTTTGTTAGAACTGAGGCAATGTATATCAAATAGCAAAAAAATAAACCTCGTATGAGCTTTGCTGGGCAAAAGCACCCCACCAGACAGCGGCACATGAAGATCAGCGAAGAATCCCCCACCTGCACAGAATGTTCTATGTAGTTACGTATTTGACGTGACTGACGGCAGAATTGAGGAGGCAGTGCTGACGATCTTAGGTCCCTCTGCAGGCCGGTGAAGCACTGCCAGTTTTTTTTGTGAGGGGGGGGACAGTTTTGGTATTTAGTAGTTATGTTTGCCTACAATAATAGACAGCCTTTTCTATATTGCCAGTCTTTACTTAAAACTGAACAGGCACTGTCTACTGACAGCCTATATTAGATGCTACTGTTACTTTAGTGTAATTAGCATAAACCTTCTCAGTAAAACGAATCGATCACTCGCGTAAAATGAGGGCATACTTCACCTCACATCAGTGCTGTTTGTTAGTGAGTCGAGCGATACGGCCGACTTGCACTCTGACTATCTACAGCATTATCGACAATGTCACAGTACACTTAATCAATGTACATGCGGAACATCAACACCCATGTAACTTAAAGATATTTCAGTGTCCATATTGTTGTATATGTGTATTCCTGTAATTGTATTCCAGGATACTTTTTTTCATCTTTTTGCAAAATTATCTTCATAATACCATGTTATATTTTCATACATATATGTTTCTCAGTACCTGCATTTTTAGGTTTCCAGCACGTGAATTTCCGCATTTGCATTTCAGAATACCTTTATGAGTATCTCAACCAAGCCCTGATTTGTGCATATTTGTAGACGCACTTCAGAATATGTACGCTGAATGCTTCATTGTCTCGGAGCTAAACACGAACAGCATTTAACATTTTGTCTCTTGTGAAGAACAGCCTACTCTGCTCTAATGTTATTCTATGCGACACTCACAAGAAAAAAAAAAACACGAGAATTGTTTAGCCTGTGTCTTCACGTATCTGCGCTTGGACAGAGAGCAAATCATATCAGTAAGCTCAGTCGAATGACCTAGATGCATGGGTTTGTGTTCGCACATATAGTTTTTGAAGAATGTTTTTGTGTTGATTAAAATGGTTTGATCCATTCTTTCAGTTCTTTATCTGTCATTCTCTTGAGGGTTGGTTTTTTTTTTTTTTTTTTCATGCACGGCATCGCCTGAGCAGGAACACATTCGTTCTGTCCAAGTAGCCATGTGCAATTCCAAATCCTCACTGACAAGCTTGCCTCTAAAATCTCTTGTCTTGGAACTTTCAAGACAAAACTATTTATGCTCTTTTAGTTGAACAGTGTACAATTTAGGCCATCAGGAGTCAAGCATAAACTTTAAACATATCGCAGTCATCATTTGAAAATGCTGCAAACAAGCAGCCACATGCGGTGTGCCTGGCGATTTCTGTGCAAACGTCCTCACCAGGAGGACCGCCATCGTCCCACTATCCCTATCTATTCACTATAATACAACTACGAGCGAACGACCCACACCTACGCCTCTAAAATAAATAGTTATTCGTCCCTCAGTCGGGTTATAGGTCGCTAATCACTACTAGAGGGTCAATAACAAATCGTGGATGCAAAAATCTTGCTATGAACAAATTTGATGTCAGTGCTCCTTTAAGAATGAAGATGCCAAATTATAGACTATGTAGTGCTGTAGCACCATTTTTAGCCAAAGTTACAGATCTGTAACACTTTAAGTGCATTTTTCTAGTTTGATGATTCTGCTCACTGTATTCATGGTTTAGCTTAATTTAAAATGATAAGCTTGGCATCATATTACTCTTAATAAAATTGGCCAGGAAGTGATGCGATTTTCATTGTTACAGATTCATTTTGCTAATTACAATTAGAGGTAATAATAAAAAAATTTAAAGATTATTATGAACATCTATTTTATTTCTCACCTACAGATGGCATTCACTAGCTTTTTTAATTTAGCAAGACAAAATAGCCAAAGAGCCTCATAATAAGTAGCCATTATTACCCTTTTCAAACCTCCATATTTCCTGGACCAGTGCACCTACTAAATATACTATTTGCTAACAGAAATCAACATGAAAAACTGGTGAGAACATGAAGCTCAGTTTGTGATGAACCAAAAAAAAAAAAAACAAAGCTTTTAAAACCCTTACGAAATGATATCTTTGACATCGGCCGTTAGGCCTAGACATGCCCTAGATATGTGGCTTAAGCAGTGATGGCAACAGTAACACGCTTTAGCACTTCGCTTGTTCCAAATTTTCCTTCTTACTGTTACATATTGTTCTTTTCAGTAACCTGCAAAATTACAAGGACAATAACACAACGAATTCGCTTGTTGTTTCAATGTTTCCAGAAACGACATCCAAGACCATGCAAATAAACATCTAAGGTATAAGATTCGGCATGTTGGCGATTCATTCTTGGGTACAGCGCAAAGAATGCAGGATGCAGATGAATAAACAGAACAAGGTGCTTTGTCTTGTTTACTCATTTGTGACCTGCATTCTTGCTCTGCACCCGAGAGATAAACAGCCTTCATTACATTGGGACAAATTCGTACCTATGAATTCAAGCCGTTTTTGTATGCAGGGCACTTGAAAAGACTGACACGTAAGTGTAGATTTTTCTGCATGAGCAATATTTCCACAGCTGAAATAGCTCCGATTCAGGCTCCTGCACCTCGTGACTAAAACTGCCTAGATGCAGGCTCGGTGCAAAGAAAAAAATCCAAATGTGAATCGAGATGTGATGCTTAGTTCACACACCCCTGAAAGCAACGAGCATTGTTGAAAATAGTACTGCAGCGAACGAAACGCTGAAAAATAAAATATTGAAACAGATACGACACCATTTCTCCTACTTTTGTTTTCTGATCGCTCACTCTGATTTGGCCCCAGGACGGAAAAGATCCTTTTCCAGCTTGTGACTACTATCTGGCAAGTTGGACACTAGATTCCTCTGTTTCAGCAACACTCGCAGGCTCTGACATGCCCTCAGCACCGGTATTTGGAGATGCTAGTGCTTTCGTGATGGACTCGCAGGGATATAAGAGCTGTCGCTCCTCGAGCTGTGGGCAGGTGACAATGCCAGATGCTCGTCACCTGCACAGACAAAGGCCAGGGAGGTCTGTTACTGTTGTCGAGGGCAATTTCCGGGCAGCTTCATGGCTGTTACAGAAAACTGAGCTGAAGAGAAACACATGAAACCCGCACCTTGTTAAACAGACTTGCAATGTTATGGCACTAATTGAAGTATCCCTTGAAACCATAGTCCAGACTGAGAGTATTGGTCTATCTGAGAACTTATAGTTATATCAATAGTAGAGAGCGGTCCACAAATATTTGGTGCGAATAGCTGTTTTCCATTTGAATTTGCTACAGGCAGTATGCTACCACTGCACAGACAATCACAAATAATAGAAGCTCGAATGATGTTCCGAATGGATAAGTGCATTCAGGAACATGATCACAAACACTAGAAGCACTTCAATCGCACGGGCAGTATTACCGACAGCCATAGTGCATCCAGTAAAGTTTCAACCCCCTTTCACACTAACCTGAAGAACAGCATGGGGCAGGTGATGAAGGCAGCATACTTTGATGAGAATCTGCACTGGCAGCATCATTTATCGTTGACCTGAAAAATAAGGAGGCTTGGTATAAAAAATGCTTGCAGTTTACACTAAATGACACAAAATCACAGCAGAGTTGGTGGTTTCCTAGCCTCAGTTTGGGTAAGTTATTGCTGGGTCATGCTAAGTTGTTGGTAGGTTTTACAGCAAAAGCTGTTATGAGAACACAACTCGAGTCACGTGCAGCTGTCCACCGCCAGCAAAAGCTGTTATGAGAACACAACTCGAGTCACGTGCAGCTGTCCACCGCCGCCGGTGTCCGCAACCACATCGCGCGAAATTAGAAAAAAAAAACCTAGCACAAACACACACGGTGGGGCTCGAAACCCGAGTCTGCTGGGTGCTAGCCCAATATTCTACCACTGAGCTACGCCGGTGCTAGTGACTTGTTGGCAAACCTAGCACCAAAGGCACAGTGGGGCTCAAACCTGGGTCTGCTGGGTGCCAGCCCAGTGTTTTACCACTGAGCTATGCTTGAGACTTGTTGGCAAACTTGCCTTAGGCAGGCTTGATGTCGAGAAAGCGATTGCGTCAATACGACTAATAAGGCGTTTTGAAACAGCGAAAGTGCAACCAGTCATCGCACGATGAGAATAGCGTAACGAATGAGCCATCCAATGCTCCAACCCATTACAAAAGCATTACAAAACTGTGGTGCATACCCGTTTCAGCCATAATTCCTCATCGTAGTCAGCCACTGCATGAACAATTGGCACGAAATTCCTTGCAAGTGTTTAGCGGCTACCACGCATCTCAGAAGAATGACGAAAAGTAGCATAGCGAACGCCGGCCTACTACTCCAAAGTTTATTAACAATGACCTAGTGGATATCAAGCAAGTGTGCTTGCAGTGGTTACCCAATGAGTGTTTTGAAAAGGCTCTGAAAGGCCGCTCTTCTAGCTTTCGCTGTGACTGTGCTGCGCCTCCTGCGCAGGCCTGGCATTTTTTTTCTAAGGTACGGCATGTTGTTGCCAGGTTTTGCTAGCTTATGCCACGTTATTGGTTGATTTTGTAATGAATTGATTATGAATCAGTATCTATTGACTATCAATTAGTATCATTTAGTTATCCTTCATTCTATTTATCTCCATGCACTTTTCACACGAAGAGATGGCTGGCTTGTTTTATCTGTGTTTAAGCAGCACTCATTGGCAGAGCTTGTATGCTTTCACTCGCACCTAGAACATAAAATGTGCAGGCGATGTTACCAATTTAGACTTTAGAGGGAAGATGACGGAGACAGTGACGGAAAAAATTCCCTGCGAGCGTCCATTAAAGGAAAGCCAAACAGCTGTGGTCGAAGATCACACAAATACAAGAAGACAACCTGAACTTATGCCATGTTTTCTGCTTTGCAACATAGCATGCCTAATACAGCAAGTGCGACTTGCACCTTTTGGTTGCTTCTGTGCATTGCTTCAACAGAGGTCCGGCATTTCGGCTTTGACGCCAAATATTCACATCATGAGCTGGCAGCTGTGTGGCTAGTGAGTACAAGCTGCTAAAAAAAAAATTGATCGAATGCTTGAAATTTGTTGGAGCAATGCTCTCACCAGAGGGAGGTGGTCTCGCAATAAATGCGCCTGTTAGCAGAGTTGTACGTAACTTGTTACGGGTAATCGATTACTTGTAATAAATTATATATTTTAGTAATCTTGCAATATAATCAAAAATTTTTGAAACTGTAACATTCAGAATAACTCAATTACAATTTTTTGTAATTTATCACTGATAATGAATCACATTTTCTTTTTCAAAATACAGTTGTAACCAGACTTTCACAACAGCTCTCATCCTGAAAAATATGCGCCCGCTCTGTAGAACCCTTCCCGTCGACAGGACGAATCGAGGGGGGGGGTCTCTTCATAGCTTAGCTCATTTTTTTTTAACTTTTTGCTTGGCCCTCCCTGCAACGCCTTATCCATTCGCCAAAAACAGCAAAGCACTGACACTTACATAGAGGGCTCTTGGACACCAGCATCGAAGCACTTCCTCGAAGCACTATATTAAGCTTGTGCGAAAAGTGTTGCTACATTATACCTCCCTTTCCTCCAGCGCACACATTGAGAGTGTTTAGTGTTGCAGATGACCTCTTAACGCAGAGACGAAAGAATCAGCGATGACAACATTGAAAAACAAGTCCCGTTAAAAGTTAACATGTGACACTATATCACAGAGGCCACAGTCAGCCCCCCAGCTTTCACTCAAGCCTCCAGCCTTCTCTTGAGATCCAAGCCACGGCATATAGTTTGTTGCAGTTTGAGCAAACTTGCGTTGCTGTGTTATGGCAAATCGCAATAAAATTTTGAAGAAAAGTAATGGAAAAGTAATCAATTGCATTTCTGTAGTTAGTTGTTTTTATGGGGCTGTAACTGATCACTACAATCAATTACATTTTAAAGGAAGTAATTGTAATTGTAGAAATTTATCTAGTCAGGGAAGTCTAGCTGTACTGTTCGAGGAACTAGAGGGTGTTAAATGAGATATAATAGGGCTCAGTGAGGTTAGCAGGACAGATTAGGCCTATACAGTGCTACAGAATGGGCACGTCCTTTGCTATCGGGGCTTGGCAGACAGAAGAGAACTGGGAGTGGGGTTTCTAATTCACAGAAACATAGCTGGCAACATAGAGGAACATATAGCATTAATGAAAGGGTGGTAGGTATCGTAATTAAACTGAATAAAAGATACAAGATGAAGGTGGTACAGGCTTACGCGCCTACATCCAGCCATGATGACGCTTCAGTTGAAAGCTTCTACGAAGACGTGGTATCGGCAATGAGTAAGGTAGAAACACTGTATACTATAGTGATGGGCGACTTTAATGCAAAGGTAGGGAAGAAGCAGGCTGGAGACCAGGCAGTAGGAGATTATGGCATCGGTATTAGAAACGCCAGAGGAGAACTACTAGTAGAATTTGCAGAACGCAATAATTTACGGATTTTGAATACCTTCTACCAAAAACGAGGAAACCCCAAGTGGACATGGAGGAGCCCTAATGGCGAAAATAAGAACGAAATAGACTTTATAATGAGTGCACACCCAGGAATCGTGCAGGATGTGGAAGTGGTTGGCAATGCAGTGACCATAGAATGGTACGGTCTCGAATTCACCTACACTTGAAGAAGGAACAACAGAAACTGATACGCAAGAAGCCAATCAATAAGCTAGCACTGAGAGGGAAAGTACAGGAATTCAGAGTGTCACTTCAGAACAGGTACTCGGCTCTTAGTGAGGAAACCAACCTTAGCGTAGATGCAATGAATGATAATCTGACGGATTATCATTACGGAGTGTGCAGTGGAAGTTGGAGGCAGGGTAGTTAGACAGGACACTGGCAAGCTTTCCCAGGAAACGAAGAATTTAATTAAGAAGCATCAAATCATGAAAGTATCAAGTACAACAGACAAAATAGAACTGGCAGAGCTTTCGAAGTTGATTAATAGGCGTAAGGTATGCGATGTAAGAAGGTATAACATGGAGAGAATTGAACATGCTCTGAAAAACGGAGGAAGCATCAAAGCAGTGAAGAGGAAACTTGAGATAGGCAAAAGTCGGATGTATGCACTAAGGGACAAAGAAGGCTAAATAGCTACCAATATGGATAGGATAGTTAAAATAGCGGAGGAGTTTTACAGAGATCTGTAAAGTAGCCGAGACAACCACGACCTTAATACTATAAGAACTAGCAGTAACCCAGATGACACCCCACCAGTAATGATAGAAGTCAGAAAAGCTTTGGAGAGCATGCAAAGAGGCCAAGCTGCTGGTGAGGATCAGGTAACATCAGATCTGCTGAAAGATGGAGGAAAGATTGTGTTAGAAAAACTATCCACCCTGTTTACGAGGTGTCTCCGGTTGGGAAGAGTACCAGAGCCTTGGAAGAATGCTAACATCATCTTAATACATAAGAAAGGAGATGACAAGGACTTGAAGAATTACAGGTCGATCAGCGTGTTCTCTGTAGTATACAAACTATTTACAAAGGTAATTGCTAACAGAGTAATGAAAACATTAGAATTCAATCACCCAAAGGAACAAGCAGGATTTTGAAAAGGCTACTCAACAATCGACCACATTCATACTATCAATCAGGTAATAGAGAAATGCTCAGAATATAACCAACCACTATACATAGCCTTCAGAGATTACGAGAAGGCGCTTGATTCAGTATAAATATCAGCCGTCATGCAGACACTGCGTAATCAGGGCGTCGATGAAGTATATGTAAACAACTTGGAAGAAATCTAAAGGGGATCAACTGCTACCAGAGTGCTTCATAAAGAAAGCAACAGAATACCAATCAAGAAGGGTGTAAGGCAGGGAGACACAATCTCCCCAATGCTATTTACCGCGTGCTTACAAGAGGTTTTCATAAGCCTAGAATGGGAACAGTTAGGGATAATAGTTAATGAAGAGTACCTTAGTAACCTGCGCTTCGCCGATGACATTGCATTGTTGAGTAACTCAGGGGACGAATTGCAACTCATGATTACGGAGTTAGACAAGGAGAGCAGAAAGATGGGTCTTAAAATTAATTTGCAGAAAACGAAAGTAATGTACAACAACCTCGGAAGAGAGCAGCACTTCGAGATAGGTGATAGTGCACTTCAAGTTGTAAAAGACTATGTCTACTTAGGTCAGGTAATAACTGCAGAGCCGAACCACGAGATTGAAGTAACTAGAAGAATAAGAATGTGGTGGAGCACATTTTGCAAGCACTCTCAAATTGTGACAGGTAGATTGCCACTATCCCTCAAGAGGAAGGTATATAACAGCTGTATCTTGCCGGTACTTAGCTACGGAGCAGAAACTTGGAGACTTGCAAAGAGGGTTCAGCTTAAATTGAGGACGAGGCAGCGAGCGATGGAAAGAAAAATGGTAGGTGTAACCTTAAGAGACAAGAAGAGATCAGAGTGGATTAGGGAACAAACGGGGGTTAAGGATATTATAGCTGAAATCAAGAAGAAGAAATGGACATGGGCCGGGCATGTAGCGCATAGACAGGATAACCGCTGGTCATTAAGGGTAACTAACTGGATTCTCAGAGAAGGCAAGCGAGTTAGGGGGAGACAGAAGGTTAGGCGGGCAGATGAGATTAAGAAGTTTGCGGGTATAAATTGGCAGCAGCAAGCACAGGACCGGGTTAACTGGCAGAACATGGGAGAGGCCTTTGTCCTGCAGTGGACGTAGTCAAGCTTATGATGATGATGATGATGAATTGTAATCGGTCACTCATCTTCTGTAACAGGTACAAGTCTACCTGTTAGTTATGACTGCTCTCGCCCGAAAACCCAGACTCAAGAACAGCATCTTCGGAGCTCGAGATAACAGAGATTGAGCTCTCCAATGTCCACCAACAAGCGGCAGATCAGGCAGATCAGACTGGCTTGGACTGGCTTGCAAGATATTAGCCATGTCAGTGGCACAGACTTCCTGAATGATGATGATTGCTCGCAATTTAAATGAGAGCTTGTTACATCTACAGCCACCACCTGAACAACCACTCATGTGTGTTACTCGACACGCATTAAAAACAAAAAAATCACAGCATATCCACGGAGTGAATGATGATGAGTGGGGCGAAGCATTTGTCTGTCCATCCGCCCATGCGTCCGATCGCGTTCGAGAATGCAGACGGCACGCAGGTAACACCAATGAGACGCGAGCCAAGGAAGCCGAGTGCAAGCATCTGTAACGCGCCCGCCGCTGTGCTCCCTCCATGGCCCACCAACGATGCGCCACGTACAGCGACTATCCAGGAGACTGAGAGGGGCACTCGTTCACGCGCGCGGATAACACCGACGATACGCGAGCCAAAGACGCCGAGCCCAAGCGTCTTTAACACACCCGCCACTCTGCTACACCCATGCTGCACCAACGATCCGCCACGTACGGTGACTGTCCAAGAGACTGAGAGGGGGCACACGTTGGCAAAGCACGTGCAGCAGCCAATCGGAGAGTTGTAGCAGAGTAACACAATCTAGGAAATGAGACGAGAAATGATCACCCATCTCTTTTGCCTTATTTTCTTTCGCGACTCTTCTCTCAATTACGCATGACTAGTCACAAGGTTAGACTTATAAGAAGCTTCGCCTTATATCGGGTGCTAACGCACGGCACGTGCAGCATGGAATACCAAACTTACAGCAGTCCCAAAGCCTCAAAACAAAACTGCACAACACGATGTGCTATCAACGTTTATAGATATTTTCTATAAATTTTGATGAGTCACGATTCCCGAATGCCTTGCATAAGCCAGATGCTCTCCAACTCCACCGCTCGGAAGGCTAGGGGAATATCGAGGTGCCCCCATTTCCGACAGCTGCAGTGGCCACTCAATTTGAAAAATGCAATCATGAAATCTCAAATCAGTGTTGCACAAAATGTTTTTTTTTTCAATAAAGTTACAACAGATGTTCCCTGATGAGAGCTCCAATTCCCTTAATTTGCCCTGAGTACAGCCGGAATATCTAAAATTCCTGAAAATTCCCAGTTTTCCCAGTTGAAAATGTCCCCAGGCACTAAACAAAAAAGCTTACTGTTTTGAATTTAAAGCAATATTTTTAAATACACCATGTTACCGTAAATTTGAGAAGCCTTATTGGACTGAAGTGCATTGAAGCATTCTTAAAGAGGTTGTTAACATGTGTAGTATTAATAAGATACTAGAAATTAAAACAGAAAAAAAGGTGCAAGTTTTTCAACTCACTCAGAATCACAGCCACGTTCAAAACGACGCTGGTCTTCAATCATCTGCATTCTTGACAGCTCTAATGCAATCATCAGATCCATTGAGAAGTCAACCTCATTATGTAATTGATGAAGCTCTGCAAACACATCAAAGTAAGGGCTCAATATATCTACAACCAAGTTAGAAAAAGTAGCCAAGAGTTCAATGAACGCTCATCTGGTCAGACATTAGATAAGATGAAACACGATCACTGACCAAGTCTGGCAAAATTATTCTACGTTTCGTAGTTGCACATGGGTTCCTCGTACACTCATTCAGAATGAATGAGGAACTTGTATGCGTTTGCGAAACGTCAGATCACTTCATTCGACTTGGTAAGTAAACATGTTTCACCTCAAGTTACAAAAGGAGACAATGTAATGCGACCAGATTACTCAAGCTGCAAAGCGGTACAGTGAAATGATTAGCAAAGCAATTGCACAGGTTAAAGAGGTTGTACCATACAGACACAGTGCACAGCAGCCACTAACTCTGGTGCGAGCGCTTTGTGTTTGGCGAATGCTTTTACTTTCTCGTCTCATGCAGCACTGCTAGGACGGACTCCATTCTGAGAATCACCAACTGTGCATGCAGAAATATACAACATCCAACTTGGCGCAAACAACTGCATACATTTTCCTTCTAAACATAACGTCCCACTGCTTTTGCTGTGATATACTCATAGACATTACAGTTAAAACAATGTTAAAACAAGCAAATTTATAGCAAAGAAGGGCTGATGAGATTAAGAAAGAATAAATCATATTTGGGAGGCAGTAATTTGCATGAATATTAAATCATACAATGATTTACTGCCAAAACTTATGCAATTGGCCACAGCTTTACATAAGCCCAATTCTGCATCTCGTCTACCAGCATGCCAACTTAGTAACGCTCTCCTTAAGTCGTTACCATCTTATCACAACCGTGGCGTACAACATCACATCAGATTGAACTTGGTCCCTTCATATTAACCAAATAAGAAGCAATGTTAACTGAATGCTCAGATACTTACAATGTAATTTTCTTCTCCAACCTCATCACTAGAACTGCTACTTTAGAAAGCATTAATCTGCTCACTTGAGAACGGCTACGTTGTATGGGACCCGAGCTCTGCCAAGCTAACTGATCTACATGACCTTGTTGAGAATAGCTCTACTAGATTCATTCTCTACAAATACAAGCGAACTACCAGTATCTACTTCACAAAATGAACTCTGATTTCATCGTCACTTGCTTCTTGCCGTTGTCTTACCCGCCTGAACCTTTTTCACAAAATTTACTTCCCTACCGTAACAGCCATCTGCGTAATGAACTAACCTCTAACCCACTGTGTTCGAAATACAATGAAACATCGGAGTGCCGCCGCCACACAATCGCTGCGTTGAACTTTGGTTCCTTTGCTCCTTCAGACCACTGGGTGGCAGGAGCAGTCACATGGCTCAGAGCCTGAGTGGCCGACAGCCGGGCAGGCCGTCGCCGCCACGTTGCGCTCTTGTTTTTATTCTTGTGCCACAATTGGCTATTCTATTCTTGTGAGCAAGCCGTGAAATGGGCAAGAACTATTCTGTGCCACAGTACAATTCTGGCGACAAGACCTGCACTGAAAAAGTATCGCTTTTTTGCTGCATACTGAAAAGCGAATTGCCTGACGGTATGGCGCCTTGTGACTCCACACAAGGACCGTGTTCTTGTGAGTGCACCATGAAAAAAGTCTAGCTAAAAACACTACGCTAACGAAGTTTTCAGATTGCAGTGCTCACTGTAAAAAAAAATAAAGCACCTGTGGATCGTTCCAGTCATCAAACACGCTGTGTCAGCCTGAAAAATACAACCAGATTTCATGAACTTATGCCAATGGAGATCTAGCAGGCGTGCGGCATGATCTACGAGACATACGAAGCTGTGTGGCATCTGATGCCCCAGAATTCGATGCGATGCCAGTCATAGTGTCAGCCACAAGTTGGATCGATAGTTTTTGAGAACGACAGTGGCGTGTGCCTTTCCTAACAGCAGCCTGAGCTCAACACAGGGTTGACAGTGATGGGTTAAGAACAACCATGTTTTGTGAAGTTTTCATTACTAGTGGTGAGGCAGCTATGCAGCAAGATGATTCTGCAACTGGTGCAAGCTGATTTTGCTATGCTTCTCCCATGCGCATCACCATGAAAAAAGTTCATTGATTGATTGATATGTGGGGTTTAACATCCCAAAACCACTATATGATTATGAGAGACTCCGGCCATTTCGACCATCTGGGGTTCTATAACGTGCACCCAAATCTGAGCACACAGGCCAACAGCATTTTTGCCTCCATCGAAAATGCAGCCGCCGCAGCCGGGGTTCGATCCCTTGACCTGCGGGTCAGCAGCCGAGTACCTTAGCCACTAGACTACCACGGTGTTGCGCCATAGAAAAAGTGCTGACTGCTGATGAACAACTGAATGTAATTCTAGCTCTGTAGGGCAAATGTACACCCATTCAATACATCCCATCTCTTTGCTACGTCAGTAGCAGCAAATATATTGAAATGTTCGTCAGGCGAGTGAGTGCGATTAGCTTGTCTGCCGGCAGGTCATCTCTACATCGCTGCAAAAAAAATGGATCTCTACATCACTGTAACAAAGTGGGAGGCTTTTGAGTTCATCCACACCATGAGTAGGTAATTTTCTATGAACCATTCCAGCCTGCCTGTGCCGTCTTCTCCCCGTGAGAGAGTTACGCGTGTTTATGAGAATATCTGGAGTTTTACGAGCTGAAATCACGATACGGTTATGAGGTACGCTGTAGAAGGGCTCCAGGAAATTCGGCAATGTGGTGTTCTTTAACGTGCTCTGACACCGCACAGAGCATGGGCGCCTGGCATGTAGCCTCCACTAAGATGAAACTGCTGCGACAGAAATGGACCGTATGTTTTTCTGTTGTAATACTACTGCCAATATGTTATTTTTGTTTCTGTAAAGATTACTTCAAAAAAAAAAAAAAACAAGACTAACTTCTCTCATTCTTCAACACGACTTTAATGCCAAATATTTAAATGCACAATTTCACATGTCCGAATCCGGGAGCATCCGCCTTTCGCAGGCCAGCAAGATGGTGAATTTAACATTTTACACAGATATCTGTGGCTGTATTATCGAAATTTTGCAGTTGTTACTGCTTTTGCTAATTTATTTTCGCGCTACATTTCGAGCGGCGTCCATGGTCCCAAAGCGACCATGCATGATGGCTCGCCTCGGCTACGGTTAAAGTAGCGCCATCTCAAGCCTTCTCCACAAAACGAGCACGAAGTTTGTTCGTTTCCGTAGGCACCGTTGGTCCACCTATATACTTTTAACACCATGCTCTAACCAATCCTATCACTCTGTTCGCAATGACCACTCATAGAAAGTTGGAATTATTTAATGTCTTACTGATTACTGTTACCAAACTTTTATCACCCACACCAGGAGCGTAGCCAGGGGGTAGCACACCAAGCACGTTTCCTCCCCCCCCAAAAAAAAATTATTTCTCGCCATAGCATAAAGAGCGAAAAATGGACATTTTCACGGGTTGCCCCTCCCGAAATCAAGGTGGTGCCCCCCTACGAAAAAAATTTCTGGCTACGCACCTGTCCCACACATCACAGGACTGGAAAAACTCTCCTGGAAGCATTACTGCATTGAAAACCATAAACTTTTTTTTTAAAGATGCACTACATAATACTGTATAATTGGAAGACAAACAACATGTATCTTAACTGTTTGCTGTGCTTTTTATAGCTTTTAGTAGTAAGTCGCCGACCGATTTTTCGGACCTGGCGGGGACCGAAAAAAAGTACGAAAAATCGAACAGTCCGAAAAATTTGTTTTCGCCAAAAATCTGAAGTTTATTGCATCAGGCAGGTTTAAAAAAGTCCTTGATGCTGCCTTGCCTCAAACTACGCTTGGAGGCAATTTGGTTTGCCCGTATTTGCGCCAAGGTGACATCGTCGCCGTAAACGCTCGACAAAATTGTCACCGCGTTGGCGATATCCGACGGCTGCGGGCGGTCGTCGTTGTCATCCGACGACAACGACGACCGCCATCCGGCGTCGACCGTCATCCAGCGATATCTAGCTGCGAACGTCCACACTCTATTAGCTTGATTATGGCAGCTTTCTTCTCCATCGTCAGGGTCGTATACTTCCCACGCTTCTTCACACCACCTGGCTCCCGCGATGGCACAGATAGCGGAGCCATGGCACCGAGAACACAAAATTCGATGCCCCAGATAGCCGCTGCGAAGCACACAACGTCTCGACGCTACGCGACACAACACGTGCAGAATGGCGACTGTTGTTGTTAGTGGTTCATGAGGAAAAGGAAGAAGGCACCTAATTTCTGTCTGCCTACAGGCGACACGGCGCAGTGCCTAACTGAAATAAGCTGCAACGACAATAAAAGAATCCTTCTTTCGCCTCCTCCCAGTGCGATGTGATGACGATAGTGCTGACCGAAGACGAAAAAACGGCGTCCATCACCGCGTCTTTTAAAAAGCAAACACGGCCTCCGAAACTTAAAACATGGCGTGCGCATTCCAATCTCGGAGGCAGGAAAGGCATCTGAAGACCAAGCTTAGCCAAGCCGACAGAAAATCCAACATGGCGGCGTTCACAATGGCTTGGAGCGTGGCACAAAACGAGCGATTTAGTCCGAAAAATCGAACTTTCAGGGGCAAATTCGCCCGAAAAATCGGTCGAAACAATGCATTAGCTCTATGGAATCCCTGACGGTGCATTTATGAAGTCCGGAATATCCAACAAGTCCGAATTTTTGGAGTCCGCAAAATCGGTCGGCGACTGTAGTTATCTTTTACTCGCTCCCCTCTGTAATGTCAATGGCCTTGAGGGTGTTAATAAATGAAATTGCGCGAAACTCGGTGTCTAGAATTCTACTCAAAGATACGAATGCCAATTTCTCATAATAAAGCCATACTTTTAATCTTCTGAAAGCACAGCATATTATAACACAAAATCTCAACCATTCTCCAAGCTTCTAGCTTGCAGGAAAGGGGTCCTACTGAACACCTCATTCCTAGTGGCAGTCATCGAGAGCACACACCAAGCTCAAATGTTGATATACAAACAATTAAGAACATATGAAATTTGAACAATCGCATAAATTCCATGATACAGACACTTTTTTGCCCTTGAGACCAGACACAAAAAGTGCTAATTAATTAGAGATGAAAACGTTGCAGCTTTCTCCTGATATATCGCTCACAATAATAGTGTAAGAATGATTAGATTTCACAGCTACAAAGAAGCTTGTGTAGTTGGGCATAAACAACCTTCAATGCACATTTGAGCATATTATCTTCATGATTAGTACCCTTACACGCACACCAGCAGTCCATACTTACATGCGCCAAATGTACCTTCGCTCGAAATCTTTTCCATGGTCCACGCCATGCAGTCATTTTCCTCCCTCCCTTCTCTTCTTGAGTACACGATTTACTCTGACTCTCACGCCGCCATCCGTCACATACAGAACAACACGTTGCCCTCTGCTCTTCAACAGGAGGTCGAGCGAGCGGTCTCTGCTCTTGAACCCTCCACTAGTTTTCTTCCGCTGGGTTCCTGGACATTCCGGTATTAACGGAAATGAGCTGGCTCACCAGCTTGCCCACGATATATTGCACAGGTCACCGTTCATTCCCTGGCCCACACTTTCGAAGACAGTGAGAGCTTCGCGAATAACGATGGGTAGATCTCCTTGCGTCACACTATCAAGGAGGTATATCTCCAGCTCCGGCTCGACAAGCATCTCTACCCTCCCCCTCATCCATCACTCACTGCGCTCGGAGGTCAAACTCTACGGCACATCCAAATGAAATGCCCGATAATTCCCCTCTCGCCTTTCCCTTTATAAATATAGGTCTAACCCCTGCTGTCCCGATGGCTCCTCCCCATATACCGACCTGTCACACTGCCTGTTTTACTGCCCAACTGCTCAGCAATCCAGCTATTAACCTCCCCCATCCCTTTCCAGCACCCCCTGGCTCGACTGGAACGGCGCCAAAGGGGAAGAAGAACAGCGTTGACTGGTCACACAGGTGGTCGAAATGCTCGGCTTGTAAATTGTGGCTGAATAAAAGTCTATTACTACTACTACTACTACTTTCCAAGGTATTTAGCAACACTTGAGAACGAAACAGCTTAGGATTTTGGCTTTAGATTGAAAGAAGTGTAGTTGCCCCTCCTCATGCTGCTGCCAATTTATGCACAACTGTGAAAGTCTTACCTCCGTTATTGTGCTTTGTCTGGCATCTGAGAGAGCAGTATTCGTGAAGTTTTTGTGTTCTGGGGTTTCGTGCACGTGGTCTTGTACAACCTTCTCGTGAGCAGACACCTAATTTCAAAGAAAAAATTAATAAATAAATTGTATTTCACGTGCACTTTATGCAAATATGCTATTAAGTAAACCTTCAATTACCGGTATTTTACTCTACTTGCCAGTTTGGGTTGTTTTGTTAGAATCAGCATCGGCTACAACGAATTGAGCCAAGTTAAAAGGTGCATAGATAGTGAAATTTTATCGCAAGTCGAATCCGCATCGAACAAAGCTGAATGATGGCCAAAAGTATGATATCAAACCTAATACTGAATATTTAGGTGTGTGCACACATGGAAATGAGCGGAGCTCCCGGCAGTGAATGGCAGCGATTTCTTCATTAGGTACCAGAAGTCGAGGAAAGAACATCTTTTTTTACTCTTCAGCACGTTTTTTTTTTTCCTTCTTCCAACGACCATAGGCTACTTACTGTTGTGTTCCATCATTGTGCTTCACTATCAAAAGTGTCATAGTCTAGGGGAGACGCGAGTCGAAAAACGCAACTTTTCTCCGAAATTATATATATTTTGTTTTCGTATGCTTTCACAAGTTTACTTTCTCTACTTTCACGACAAAAAAGTGAACATTATAATTAACCTCACTGTAGATAAAATCTCTTCAAAGAGCACAAGGCGGCTACTAAAAACTAAGAAGAGCTGGTTGTCTAAAGTCTTCTGAAGATTGTCACCTGGCTGCTTGCCATTGTATTTCGCATGAGGAGTTCACTAAGTCCACATGCTCAAAATAATAATAATTTCCAAGCTCTCATCATAAAGAAAATCGTATAAAAAACGTATCTTTTCCGTGAAGATGAGCTTTCACTTACACCTTTGAAATGCACTTTTCTTAAGATCCATTTTCGGGCAACTTCTTGAGTTTGGACATCATGTTTTTGGTACTTCTGATAGCACGGTCAGGATGAAGTATTGCCCACATATTTGTTAACATGTGAAGGGTGCAAGTGTCTCTTAAAATTTTATATCGCTTGTATATTTATTACGAACCTAAGGTAAGGAATTAGCATTGGTTGAGGATTCTGAGAATTCTCGCATTACAATTTTTCTTGTCCATTAAAATGTTTTATATGCACTTTCTTTATAGTTATTTGCATTTTACAGTTAATGTGGAGCAATATGAGCCACTAATGACTCAGAACCATAAAATTTTAGTGGCATAACAAGTTTGTCTAAAACAAGCTATACTTTACAAATTGTCATGACACAAAACAAAAAATGTATGACTTGCTATAAAACTGATTACATATTTGAAATCAGAATAAAATCTTATATGTACAGCAAGAACTTCATTGCCCTATGCGACATATTAAAGCATTTTTTTTTAAGTTGCATCTCCCCTTACAAAAGAAAGCTCGTTTGAGTCATGATCACTGGTGATGGCAAACAGCTGCGAAGACGAAGAAGCAGGCCAGCATACTAGTGTGACAAGCAGTGAAGCTAATCAAGCCCTGTTACCAAATAAGGCCACAAAACATAAGCAGCCTGATTAAGAGGTCTGTATGTGATTATGTAACAGGTCTGTATGTGATAACAGGTCTGTTATGTGACCACATGCCACTGTAACAAGATGGGAGTTCTTTGAAAACTGTTCGCCATTATATACACCATTTATCACAAGTGTGGCAGCATTCAACAGAATTGAAATATCGTGCACAATGTTATAAGGTGCAGCTAAAAAACCTTTGTTAAAGACTAATACCATTTATCAACTAGAGGCACCATGATGTTAACATAGAAATGCCAAAGCTGATCAACCCCTCAATAATGCTTGTCGTTGCGAGAGTTAGTCATACATCATTAAACAAGAAGCTATGTAAAAAACAAACAGGGACCAGAAGAAAAGAGAAGCTGCGCCCACCTTCATTTGTTTCTCATCACTGTTACTTTTTGCACATTCGCTTGTTTACTGATCCACCCTCTTTTCAGGAGTATATAGAGAAACATGCTTTCCATAAAGAGGCATGTAGTCAGTGAATGACAAAAATAAAGAAAAAAAGTTAGTCATTCAAATAACCTTAAATACAAATACAGTCGAATCTCATTATTTCAAACACACTGAATTCGAACTTCCGGTTAATTCAAAATCACACTGAGGTCCTGTCAAGGCTATGTGTATTCCAATGGGCAAAAATGTCCTACAATTCGAACATGCAAGCACTTGCGACGATTCATTCGAACGTACAAGCACTTGCGACGGTTCATTCGAACATACCGCGCTTCGAAAATGCTCTCAGCTACCACTCCCAATGCTGCGGCGGCACCTCCGACACCTCAACGCTGCGCGCGAAGGAAAAGAAAAGGAAACAAAAGGCGGAATGGCGAAGGTGGAATGTTTGCTCTCTTTCAAATGCCGATCTGTGCGACGCGCCTGTGCCACGCTTCTCTCTTTTTCGTCCCCGCCACGTAGAGACCCTTCTCCTTTCAACGCCGCACGTGAAGAGAGAGAGAGGAAAAAAAATAAAGCTGTCACAGAGAGTTGGCTCTTTCTCACGCACCGGTGCCACGCTTCCCCCTTTCCCATCCCTACCACATAGACCCCTCTCCTTTCAACGACGCACGGAGAGAAAAAAAATATCTGTCGTGGAGTGTTGGGTCTCTCTCAAATGCAATTCTGCTTCTCTCCCCGTGGAGACGCTCATCCTTTCTCATCACTTGGTAGCCACGCAGCGGCTGCATAGCGAAGACGCAGTATTTGTTGTCCTCGTCTTTAGAAAGCGTCGGCGCTGGACATTGCCGCGCGCAACTTCTTTTGCCAGGAGAATGTTGAAGCAGAAACAGAAATGCTTTGCAAGCTCAATGCAAAGTTGACTCGCTGCAAGGCAAACGTGTGCAGATGTACATCACCGATTACTTCAATTATAGACGAATGTCCTGTGATTTGTGAATAAATGTAAGTCTTCTGAAACTTCCCCCTCGTGTGTTAGCTCAATGCATATGCGCCACTGCAAGGTGAGCCCTCCGTTCATTTAGCTTTCATTAACTTGAACTTCTTTTAATTCGAACAAATTTTCGGGCCTTTTTAAGTTCCAATTATCGATATTCGACTGTTATTCAATCCTTCGAATAACTTTTCAAAGAAATAATTTTAATGCTGGTTTACTTACGAACCCTTCAACCAGCCCAGCAATGTTTGCAGCTGTTTACGGGTGAAATGGGAAAGTGCTGAAGCATCATTGGACTATGTGAAACTACTGTATTTACTCGCATAATCCTTGCACCTCGCACTCTTTTTGGCGGAAAACCGATGCAAAGTTGGGGGGTGCGAGAATTACACTGGGAAAACTTTCCTCGAAAATGTACAGAGCGAAAAATAAAACGAAGTGGCTGCAAATTGGTATTCTCACACCAGCAACTAACAGCAAGCTTTGAGAAGTACTAATTAAAAGTTAACCCAACAATAAAACCACAGTTCAACACAAGGCGAGATTTATTTGAGACACAAAAAGTGCAAGCAAATAGTCGAGAATTAGAATACCATACGCAAAGCTTGTAGGCGTTGCGGGCGTAGCGGTAGCGCTCATTGCTCAACAGGAGCCCTCAAAGTAAGAGTAGGACGTCAGTATTGGGCTGATGGCTATTTAATAGAATCATCTGCAGTTTCCTTCTGAAGAAATAAAGTTTACCACCGATCCCTGTTTTAGGCGCATGGCAGGCCCAACGCGTCTTAGTGACTTTCAGCTTCCGTCACCAGTAGCGAACACAAAACTCGTGGACTCCGAAGGGCCTACCAGCAGCCCTGTTGCCGTTGTTTAGTGCATGATCTATCACTTTCAACTTGAAAGCAGCTGTGTAGCTTCAGTATCGCCCCATATCCTGACAAGATTATCGATACAACATACAAAACACGCCACAATGCACACTTGCCACTTTGGCTTGGCTTGGATCAGATTAGATCTCCGTGCAATAATAGTACGCTTAAGAGATGGCGCCAGATGGTGCGCGCTATCATCATCAGTGGCTGGAACGAGCAGACGACATTATTAGGGCAGTTTTCTGGGTGTGATAATTACTCGAGGAAAAAAAGAAATCGCAATTTTGTTGCGCAATGTGGGGGGTGTGAGAATTAGGCGAGTGTGAGGATTACGCGAGTGAATAAGGTACAATGACCCTCACTCTCAAATAGGAGTGTGGTACAGTTGAACACTGCTTAACAGCCACTCTTAGCTATCTATCCTCTCAAATTGCAAAGACGATGGCATACATTTTTGCCCAGCACTTGTTTGGCGGGTAAAAGCGGCATCTACAACTCACCGACAGCCTGAATAAGTGCCGACTTGCGGTCCTCATCCTCTGTGTCCGAGAGCTGCTGCCGCTAGTGCTGGGATCCCGGGGCCAGTCGAAAAGTGCTGACAGGTTAGCATGGCATCCACGGGCATCTTTGACCCAGGGGTCCTCCATGGGCCCATCTCCAATTGACTCCAGCAGCAGCTATCATAAGCTGTTCCTATAATGCAAAAAAAAAAAAAAAACTGTAGAAGCATTTAGCCTAATGTTGGTCTTTCTCTCTCTCTTTTTTTTTTCATGACCATTTTTCTTTACCTTGAAAATATACTAAAAACTAGCCAATGTGGCTAAAGACACAACATTGCTCAACGTCCTCAACAGCTAGGCAATAAGTGAACATTCACTACTCGTGGCTTGAACACAGCATAGGTTTCGGCCCACAAAGCTTGATACCACAAACCAAGTGTCAAGAGGAACAGACCCAGACAGCATGACCTATTAGAAGCCAAAGTAACTAAGCACTGTGCACACTGGCGGAGGAATGGAGTCAAAATAACTTGATTTCGGTCTTTTGGGGTGTGAACTTGTACATAGCAAGCTACTCCCAAGTAATGTCAGGTGGGCCTAGCCTCGCCGCCAAGTCCCGGGCACGTTAGACCGTCCATAGTTGTGCTTTGAAAATCCGAGCTACAAAAGGCAGCACCCCGTTTCCCACTTTACAACTCAGTAATGTGGTCACCCATATCACGCTTTTTAATAAAAGTTTATCCAAAAAAAAATTAAAGTTTATCCAATCCAATCATGCTTTTTCCGGTATGCATTGCCTTTGGACATCCCAAATGTTGAACAACAAAAATCAGGCTCTACCCTTCCCCTTCCATTCGTTCAACTTTTCTACTCCTGTCTACAATTACCGATTAGCATTTACACATTCAGCATTAATGAGCATGCATACATTGGTCTCCAAGGCTACGCAAGTCATTAGCAGTTGTTCAGGTCAGAGAATCACTAATGTACCAAAGAAAAAGTGTGCAAGGGTGTGTCTGCACATGTGTTACGTGTGCAGAAGAAAGGTGGTAGCTCACATTTTCCAACCAAAGTGTTATACTTTGTGAGTGTACACCTATGTTCAAAGAGAGAGAATGATAATAACGAAAACCAAGCCCATTAAGTTGGATAGGGAAATTAATAACTGCAAGATCTGAGAGAGCGTACGTCTTCTGGAGGATCAAGGCCAAATACAGTCGGGTAACGCCGTCTCCGGGTGCGCCTCGATGACGGTGGAGTCTCAGGAGGAACAAGGCCACGGGCTACAGCCTTCAGGAACTCCTCACGCTTCCTAAGCACCCTCTCTGCACTCTCCACGATTGTGCGGTGCGAAGCTCGCAGGCGTGGTGTTGACAATATATCCGACAAATTCTTTGCTGCCTCTTCCAAGTTACTCTGAAAAGGAATCATAAAAAAAAATAATAAAGTTCCTCTTAAACCAAAGTGCCATACAATAACCATAAAGCAGGCACACACCATATTACAAAATGAAGGTGATCACTGCACTTTACCTCACTTTATGCCGGCAAGTTCTTTAATTGATATAATCCTCATCTAGGAACAGCAGTCATTTTTAGGAACTAATAATGTGTCCAACAGCAAGTAACAATCAAATGCAAAGAAAACCAGAAAAACAGACTGATTCACTCATGACTGTTCAATATACCGCAACTTTTGTCCATCATCATCATCATCATCATCGTCGTCGTAGTCATCATCATCATCATCATGATCATCATCCTGACTACGTCCACTGCAGGACAAAGGCCTCTCCCATGTTCCGCCAGTTAACCCGGTCCTGTGCTTGCTGCTGCCAATTTATACCCGCAAACTTCTTAATCTCGTCTGCCCACCTAACCTTCTGTCTCCCCCTAACCCGCTTCCCTTCTCTGGGAATCCAGTTAGTTACCCTTAATGACCAGCGGTTATCCTGTCTACGCGCTACATGCCCGGCCCATGTCCATTTCCTCTTCTTTATTTCAACTATAATATCCTTAACCCCCGTTTGTCCCCTAATCCACTCTGCTCTCTTCTTGTCTCTTAAGGTTACACCTACCATTTTTCTTTCCTATGCTCGCTGCGTCGTCCTCAATTTAAGCTGAACCCTCTTTGTAAGTCTCCAGGTTTCTGCTCCGTAGCTAAGTACCGGCAAGATACAGCTGTTATATACCTTCCTCTTGAGGGATAGTGGCAATCTACCTGTCATAATTTGAGAGTGCTTGCCGAATGTACTCCACCCCATTCTTATTCTTCTAGTTACTTCAATCTCGTGGTTAGGCTCTGCGGTTATTACCTGCCCTAAGTAGACATAGTCTTTTACAACTTCAAGTGCACTATTACCTACCTCGAAGCGCTGCTCCTTTCCGAGGTTGTTGTACATTACTTTCGTTTTCTGCAGATTAATTTTAAGACCCACCTTTCTGCTCTCCTTGTCTAACTCCGTAATCATGAGTTGCAATTCGTCCCCTGAGTTACTCAGCAATGCAATGTCATCGGCGAAGCGCAGGTTACTAAGGTATTCTCCATTAACTCTTATCCCTAACTGTTCCCATTCTAGGCTTCTGAAAACCTCCTGTAACCACGCGGTAAATAGCATTGGGGAGATTGTGTCCCCCTGCCTTACACCCTTCTTGATTGGTATTCTGTTGCTTTCTTTATGAAGCACTATGGTAGCAGTTGATCCCCTGTAGATTTCTTCCAGAATGTTTATATATACTTCATCTACGCCCTGATTCTGCAGTGTCTGCATGACGGCTGATATTTCTACTGAATCAAACGCCTTCTCATAATCTATGAAGGCTATGTATAGTGGTTGGTTATACTCTGAGCATTTCTCTATTACCTGATTGATAGTATGAATGTGGTCAATTGTTGAGTAGCCTGTTCGAAATCCTGCTTGTTCCTTTGGTTGATTGAATTCTAATGTTTTCTTTACTCTGTTAGTAATTACCTTTGTAAATAGCTTGTATACTACAGAGAGCAAGTTGATCGGCCTGTAATTCTTCAAGTCCTTGTCATCTCCTTTCTTATGTATTAAGATGATGTTAGCGTTCTTCCAAGACTCTGGTACCCTTCCCGTCAGGAGACACCTCGTAAACAGGGTGGCTAGTTTTTCTAACACAATCTGTCCTCCATCTTTCAGCAGATCTGATGTTACCTGATCCTCACCAGCAGCTTTGCCTCTTTGCATGCTCTCCAAAGCTTTTCTGACTTCTTCTATCATTACTGGTGGGGTGTCATCTGGGTTACTGCTAGTTCTTATAGTATTAAGGTCGTGGTTGTCCCGGCTACTGTACAGATCTCTGTAAAACTCCTCCGCTATTTTAACTATCCTATCTATATTAGTAGTTATTTTGCCTTCTTTGTCCCTTAGTGCATACATCCGATTTTTGCCTATCCCAAGTTTCTCTTCACTGCTTTGACGCTTCCTCCGTTTTTCAGAGCGTGTTCGATTCTCTCCATGTTATACCTTCTTACATCGCATACTTTACAACTAATCAACTTTGAAAGCTCTGCCAGTTCTATTTTGTCTGTTGTACTTGACACTTTCATGCTTTGACGCTTCTTAATTAGGTTCTTCGTTTCCTGGGAAAGCTTGCCAGTGTCCTGCCTAACTACCCTGCCTCCAACTTCCACTGCACACTCCGTAATGATACTCGTTAGATTATCATTCATTGTATCTACGCTAAGGTTGGTTTCCTCACTAAGAGCCGAGTACCTGTTCTGCAGCGACACTCTGAATTCCTGTACTTTCCCTCTCAGTGATAGCTCATTGATTGGCTTCTTGCGTATCAGTTTCTGTCGTTCCTTCTTCAAGTCTAGGCGAATTCGAGACCGTACCATTCTATGGTCACTGCATCGTACCTTGCCAACCACTTCCACATCCTGCACGATTCCTGGGTGTGCAGTCATTATAAAGTCTATTTCGTTCTTATTTTCGCCATTAGGGCTCCTCCATGTCCACTTGCAGTTTTCTCGTTTTCGGTAGAAAGTATTCAAAATCCGCAAATTATTGCGTTCTGCGAATTCTACTAGTAGCTCTCCTCTGGCGTTTCTAGTGCCGATGCCATAATCTCCTACTGCCTGGTTTCCAGCCTGCTTCTTCCCTACCTTTGCATTAAAGTCGCCCATCACTATAGTATACTGTGTTTTTACCTTACTCATTGCCGATTCCACGTCTTCATAGAAGCTTTCAACTGAAGCGTCATCATGGCTGGATGTAGGCGCGTAAGCCTGTACTACCTTCATCTTGTATCTTTTATTCAGTTTAATTACAATACCTACCACCCTTTCATTAATGCTATAGTATTCCTCTATGTTGCCAGCTATGTTTCTGTGAATTAGGAACCCCACTCCCAGTTCTCTTCTGTCTGCCAAGCCCCGATAGCAAAGGACGTGCCCATTCTGTAGCACAGTATAGGCCTCATCTGTCCTCCTAACCTCACTGAGCCCTATTATATCCCATTTAACACCCTCTAGATTCTCGAATAGTACAGCTAGACTTCCCTCACTAGATAAGGTTCTAGCGTTAAACGTTGCCAAGTTCAAGTTCTAAAGGCGGCCTGTAGTCCAGAGATTCTTAGCACCCTCTGCTGCATTGCAGATCTGACCGCCGCCATGGTCAGTTGCTTCGCAGCTGCTGGGAACTGAGGGCCGTGAGTTATTTGACGTATGCATGTGGGAGGTAGTGGCCAGATACTCCACCAGGGTGGCCAATCCTTCTCTGGTGAGGGGGTGCGTTCCCGGCGGTGGTTACCGGTGAGGCCGCACCTCAGGCCTCTTAATGCAGTTCCATCAACACGCGGATTTTTTTTTTTTTTCCGGTTGGTAACTGCGCGGCACCGGGATTTGAACCACGGACCACTTGCATGCGAGGCGGATGCTCTAACCACTATGCCATCGCCGCACCCGGATTGTCATGTTCTAAATGTAGGTTTCAGCGGTGTATCAGTCAAGTTTGTGGTTGTTTTTATAAAAATGTTTTAATGAAATGAGATTTCTGCTGATTACCCCCTTAATTAAGGGTCTAGAGAGTACGGAGTTGGGCCTCCGATTAGCCTATGGGGTGCTGTTTATTGATATATTAAGCAGACAAAATTTTAATTCGTTTGTGAGGTGATGTTACCAAATTAATCTTTTTTAGTGATTAGGATCAATCTTGGTCACGAAATAGTTCCGGTACTAATACTCCTGTCCTGATGAAACCTGAGCGGCGACAGGTCTACAATTAGGGCTTTGCACTGTATGAGTTAGAAGTTTCCCGGTAGGTTATTAGCAAAGTTAAAAACGATCGTAAAAAAAAAAACACGTGGTTTAAGACTTTGATCTGACGGGCGTACCTTTCTCCCGAGCAGTGAGCCACCCTCCTCCTCTGAGCGAGGGAAGGCGCAGGTGCCACACGTTTATTAGCGGTTTTCGTTATATTCTTTCTAACTCTGTATCTTCCGGTTACCTTAAGCTATCAAAATTATTTTTACACAGAAAAAACCGGACTGTTGTGTTCTAAAAGAAGATATTAGCTATTTTTCGGTGGCGTTTGTAGCTCCTTTTGAAAATTTGTTTTAATGAAATGAGCTTTTTGCTGATTACCACCTTAATTAAGGGCCTAGAGTGTACGGAATTGGGCCTCCTGGTAGCCTATGGGGTGCGGTTTATTATTATATTAAGCGGACAAAATTTAAATGCGTTTGCGAGGTGATATTACCAATTTAATCTTTTTAGTGATTAGGCTTAATTTTGATTGCGGAATAACTCTGGAACTATTAAACCTAGCCTGATCAAACTTCAGTATCGTCAGGTCTACCCTAAGGACTTTCAACTTTATAAGTAAGAAGTTTCCCGGTAGAATATTAACGAAGCTACAAGCGATCGTAAAAACACGTGGTCTGACTGTTGTTGTTTTCACAGATTCACACTGTTTTCCGCTCCTAAAATTTAAAATTTTCGTTTGTAATAGCAGTATTTGTAGCGGTTGAACTCCTTGTATCTTCACGAACAAATAGCCACCACTCTGACCCTCCTAGAACCAAAATTGCTAACGTAATAGGCAGATATGTGCAGAGCTCACTTACACGTGCTGCTGACGCGGCCGCTCCCGTGGCTCCATTTGGACTTTTTTTGAACCCATTGCCATTTGGACTTTTGTCCAAATGGGTTCAAAAAATCCATTCTTGTTATATTACATACAGTTCTCAGTTCAGAATGTTGTTCTTTGCCGATTTATTTTGTAACCCTCTCAATTGAGGCAAATCCTTGCTTCCTCAACCAACACTTGAAGTGAAATACTGAAATGTTTGATATTTTAATGACTATATATTATACTGAAAAAATCAGAGCACGTTTGAAATCTGTGCACAATCCACATAAACTATAAAATTTTCATCAATGTCAGTGAAGAATTTAAAACAATTATGAAGAGCCATATGTTACAGACCAGCATCAATTTTAAGGGGGCTATGGTAGGTAGGGTAGATAGACCAAAAATGCAATTTTCTTTTATTTTGCTACTAAAAAAATATTACACACGCTGAAGTAAAATTGTGATTTGGCGAGTGCATAGGAGCACTCAAAGCCACTTCAAAATGGCACCAATAACCATGCCTCCTGAGATATGCAAGGGCTTTTGTCCAAGTTCTTTTCTATCATCCTTTCTGCATGTATGTATCTTTTTTATAATAAATATGGCTAGACTGGTTAAATGTATTCATTTCCTGCCATTATCATAAGCTTTGGTGACAAATTTACTGAGCAGTAATGCTTTGTAGCTTATTGATTGGCTTATATTTCGAGCACTTTTTGTGCGTGTTTTTCAGCAGAAAGGCAAGTATTTATTACAATCAGTTTACTGAAAAATTTTTCAGATTATACTTAAATTTCTTTCACACAGTCTGAACCTAAAAACTTTGAAAAACTATGGCATTTATAATTCAGAAAAAATAATTGGAAAGTATCTAATGGCACGTGACATGTGAGGACTCGTGTTGTTTTTTTGTGAAATAATTATACGACCCCGGTTCTAGAGCTAGGGGCCAATGCCGCTACCATGTGGACTTAGCATGCAACATTTCATGATCATACTGCTTTTTGTTACACACATGGGTGTGTTGGTGGAAAGAATTACGACAAATCTCTTCTTGATGAAGATTCAGAAGATCTAGTTGTATGACTCAGTCAGCTGATGGCGCTAGTGTGAGTGACAAACAAAGGGACGAATGGATCGACAGTCGGGCAAACAGAAAGACAGACAGACAGATGGACGAATGGACAAAGGCATGGACGGACGCACGGACGGAAGCATGGACGGACAGACAGACGGAAGCATGCACAGACAGACGGATGGACGGACAGAAGCACAGATTCACGGATGGACGGAAGCACGGATGCACAGACGAACAGACGCTTCGCCCCCCTTATCTTCATTCACACCGCGGATATGCTGTGATTTTTAGGGGCGAAGCTCTTTATGGCGTGGCTTGTGCGTCCCTCGTGGTAGTGCATAACCACTGGTGGCACATACCCGATAGAGTGAACCTTAGAATGTCCGCTGGATGGCGGCGCTTGTATATGATGAATACATGATGAAAAGATGCGAGATGGCTGTACTTGGAGTGTTCACTAGAGAGACGGATGGACGGACGGACATACAAATGGACGTATAGACAGACAGAGGGCCAGATGCACAAGCAGATGCACGGACGGACATACAGACACATGAACGAATGGACAGACGGAAGAATGAACTACCGATGGATGCATGGACGGACGCACTGACAGACAAATGCACAGGCAGTCACACGGATGAACAGGCACACGGACAGATGCACGGACGGACAGAAGCAAGAACGAATGGACGGACGGAAGCATGGACGGACTGACGAATGCTTCGTCCCACCAATTATCATTCACTCCATGAATATGCTGCGATATTTTTTTTCTCGTTTAATCCTCCCAAGCAGAAGTTTCCTTAATATGCTCAAAAAATGTTTTATGGCCTTTTTAATAACATTTTGGCAACCCAAACATTGACAAGATCCAGATAGCATAATGCAAACAGAGAAAAAAAGACGGAAAAGTGAGTACACTGAAACCTCATTATAGCCAAGTCACGTCTGCCACAAAAATACTTTGTTATATCCGAAAATTCCTTATAAACATATACTTTTAACACTGCATCTATGACAAGATATTTTGCACTTTGTTATAACCAATAATTTGTTATATCTAGGTTCGTTATATCGAGGCTACAGCGTGCACTTTCGTTTAACGGAACCTGAAGGCACCAGAAAAATATGCTCCATTTAACTGGAGTTTTATTTACCGAGAGATGAACAAGAGTTGCAAAATACAAGTTACTAAACCAATCATATCATAGACAGTCACCTATTCCATTTAAGCAATAATTTCGTTTAACAGATTTCCGTTCACTGAGTGTCTACTGTATATGAAGAGGCAGAAAACAGGAGTGCCAGTTCTACAAATTCTGTATATTCACCTGAAGAAGCTCGAAGACTGTTTTGGCATATCCCTCATCCTTCATGTAGTAGCCATAAGCATATGAACCACACAGGATTCTGCGTGCTCGCAGCAGCTCCCATGCTGCGTCTCCAAGGAAGTGAACATTGGGCAAACCATCTTCACCTTCACCAAATTCACGTACCCAGCACCCTTCTTTTTCATTGAGCCGCTTTTCAATGAGAATTTCATTCTGAAAGAGAAAGCAGATTGGAAGGACAACTTTCAAATAGTGAAGTTGAATGCTACACCTAATGACCATGAGAACGAGAAGCCCCGCACCTTGTGTCTCTTTTCGTGTTTCTTGAACAAAGTGTAGTAATGGGCAAACTTCTTGAGTTCTTGCATTTCTTTGTTTTTGGTCTCAGCCTGTCATGGACACATAAGTAAGGTCAATAACGGCCAGAAAAAAGCCAGCAACTCATGGCACCACCGCTGCGTATTTTTCGAAAGCTTGGTTCCATTCTTGTTCTTAATTAACAGCATCGAATCTCTATCCTCAGCATTTTACAATAGAATCTCTTGGTCTGTATTAAACAGCACCAGGAAAGCTGTACGTAGCTGCCTCCAGGCTTTCTATGTTATGAATGTGAAGAAAACATTTGACAAGTTTATGCAACACACAACAATATCCAACGTGCACTCATTGGTGACAACTAAACCAGATGGACATCTTGTTTCCTCAGAATCGGAAGTGCAGAAATCTGCGCCTCTTTCTGAGGATTAAGCAATCTTACAGTCCTGGTGAAGCTGTAAGACAATATTAAAGACATTGTCTGACAATTTCTGATGAGAAATGTCCAAATTACATGAAATGTGGATCTCAGCAGAGCTACAACAACCAACGAACAGTGGTACGGAACCTTTGTCTTGAGCATAACCTGTGATAGAGTTTGCATACTCATATTAAAATTCTCATATGCATATCAGAAATCAATCATGCTCACTTTTCAGTCAGAGTGTTCTACATCTTGCTTCAGATATGCCTCTTATATGTTCAATGTTTTGACATATTAGGCCTCTTGAAATCACTAAACGTGTGCTTTTTTCATATGGTCGTTTCACATCTACGAGGATAAGGCGCATTCAGGTCATCGCAGGTTTATAACATCGTGGTATTGCTTAATGACTCCTATAATTTCAAGCATATCTGTCTTGTCCCTACCATATGCCCGATGCGAGTGCTTCATCTGAAACAACTACGTTGCTAAAGAAATTGGGTGTCTCTTCTGAAAGGCAATAAAGAGAAATGTGATGTATGCTCTAAGTTGTGCATGATCTTTTTAAGCAGTGTTTCCACAGTATGTTGTAAATCAGTTCTGCTGAATCTCACAAGGTCGTCAAAGAGTGAAGATTTGAAGGAATGATTTTTTTGTGACTTTGTGCTACAAATGGATGGTTGCAGGTTTCCCTTATTTCAACAATACATGTTAGGCAAAGGTGTTGATGCAACATAAAAAATATGACAACTGCTGTGTAGTAGTAGAAACAGTGGCCTAGCAACTACAAGGTGTCTCACAACACTCTCAACAAAGCTAAAGGAAGCTGAAATTAGCACTCTCTCAGCAGTTTAGTATGAAAATATTAGCTATACCTGTATGTAAAAAAACACATTGTGAAAATTTAAGCCATATAATGTCTAAATACAAAAAGGCATGATACTATACAAAACATGTGTTTTTACCTCACTAATAATAGCACCAGCATGCTCCTCCGCACGATTCACAGCTTCAAACCTGTTGCAACGAAAGTATCCACCCGTCGCAGAGCTGTGCCTCTTCCATGGTTCTAGGCAGACCCAGCAAAAGTCATGCTTGCACTGAAACAAACATAAACTTATATTATGCAATTGGTGACAATATTATTATCTAAGTTGGTATGCCATAAGGCCCAGCCAAGGTGGTAAGCTCAGAGAAGTACAGTTAAACCTGGTTATAACGACATTGATGAATTCCCAAAAAAATGTGTTCTAAAGAGAATTTCATTATATGCAGGTCCGATTCAAAAATTCGAAAAATAAACGTACAAATCAAACGAAAGAACTGAAAGCCGAGTTAACCCAAAACACTTATTTAGCGGTAAAAAACTGCATTATGATTGCAATAGTAAGTATATGGATATTTTCGTCAGGATTTTGCCATCACCGCCATGTTACGTAACAAGTCCAAATTGGTAACATGGCCCCCACGCATTGTAACTTCTACGAGCGGGTAAAAGCGCGCAAACACTACTCAAGTAGAGGTCAATACTTCATTGGTATCTTTTCATCGCAGGCCCCATCACCAGTCAGCAGAATACACCATTTCTGCCACAGCAGTCTCACCCGCTGATTCATACAAATATCTTGGTGTCACATTTTCAAGTAACATTTCCTGGTCAGCCCACGTGACTAACATAGCCAACTCCGCGAATCGCACTCTGGGTTTTCTACGTAGACACTTAAGACTTGCGCCCCCATCAGTTAAACTAATATCGTATGTCACACTTGTTCGTCCAAAATTAGAGTATGCATATTCTGTCTGGGATCCCCACCAATCTCACTTATCCAACATTCTCGAATCGATTCAAAACCGTGCTGCGCATTTTATCTACTCTGAATATACCTACAATTCTAGTGTTTCCAAACTTAAAACTCGTGCTCACCTTTCTAATCTAGAATTACGACGTTACATATCTCGACTATGCCTTTTTCACAAATTTTATCATGCCCCCATCGAAGTTCCAGCCATCCTGCCAGTTTATCGCTCATCAAGCCGCACAAACCATTCAAGCGCAGTGTATCCTCCACCAGCCCAAAGCACCGCACATCTTCGCTCCTTTTTTGTGACAACCGCACAGGACTGGAATCGTCTGCCTACAACTACCGTGCACCACTCCGACCCGCATCAATTCAAGATTGACCTCGAATCACTTTTTTTACTCTGTAATTAATACCCATCCCTCATGTAATACCCCAGCTGGGGCCTTTGAGGTATTCAAAATAATAAATAAATAAATAAATAAATAAAATGAGCTGGCTCATCTCAATCGACCGAAGGGTGCATACCATAACATCCTTCCACGTGTTAGAACTGCCAACGAATGCTAAAACAAAAAGAAGCCACCAGTCTTAAATGAGCATGAAAAAACGTGGGGAGGGGAGGGCGTTGTTAGAGTAGCAGTGGTGAAATTTGACTTTAGAGGAACAGTGCCATCAACTTGACGCATGTTAGGTTTTTGCATCAGTGCATAGTTATAGATACCCTAGTAACGATTCGGTACTAATATTACAACAAAGGAACGAATTAATATATACAATATCGATTAGTATGTCCAGTGTTGAACCCAATTCAAAACGCGTGCAAAGCCCGCCAATTTTCAGCGCTCCCATACGGTCACCTCCAGCGGTTCTACCCCATCTGATCACGTAGCCACATGAAATGGTGACGCGAGTTTCAGTAAAGGAAAACTCTCGATCACCCCATTACGTGAAAACAAAGTAAAAGAACACTCTGAAGAAAACCAATTAAAAGAAAGCTCTGAATCATTCTTGTGTGATCTTCAGAAAGTACGGTACCTTTTCAATGAAAACGGCATACAAAGGCCAGTATAAAAGTGGTCTTCAATGGCTTTTGCATAAAGTAAACCCTTCATGTGGCTGCAACATTGACAGATGCGTGGGACAGGTGCGTGGGACACACCATACTAACCTTGTAGCACTTGATGTGGTTGCATCCCTCGTTCTTTTGAATTGGAGACTTACAACAGGGGCACGGCTTTGAATTTGTGACCATCCAAAGGCAATTGGCAGCTTCTTCCGTACGACTGCAGGCACTCTTCACTGCCATGAAATAAGTTTGCGTCAGGCATTGAACTTGTGACTTCACATCAGCAGTATACTTGTCTTCCTCAGTTTTAGCCCTGAGGAAGACAACCCACTAGTCAAAACTTTGGCTCGAGCACAGAACCCGTTTACAGATTTTTTTCATTGCAAGCTTGCATCTTCCCCTATCTGCTGCTTTTTAGTTTAAAAAGTAGCAAACAAAAAACAACCAGGGCTGCGCAGAATGGGCAGCACCGTCACGGCGTAAGCTGGGAGAGTGGCTTTCCAGAGCCTTTTTTTTTAAACACTCTTTGAGTAACAGCTGCAAGCACACTTGCAGGGCACCGTTGACACTATTAATCATCGTCACTTTTGTGTAGTAGGGAGGCATTCAATATGCCATTTTCTGTCATTCTTCAGAGAACTATGGCACCCGCTATGCACTTGCAATTTCGTGCAATTTTTTGATGCCACGGCTGACGACAAAGAATTATGCCTGAAGCTTTGTAATCGGTTGGAGCATTTAACGACTTACTCGTTATGCAATTCACATTGTGCGATGCCCAGTTGTTCATTTGCTGTTCTGAAACGCTTCGTTACTCATAATAACACAATTCCTTTCTCGACATACAGCCGAGCTAAGGCCAGTTTGCAACGCAGTCTTAAGGGGGGAGGCTACCCTGGAGACCGAACTTTTTTTTATTTTTTAAGATATCTGGATGAAACTTTCAGGGGTTGTTCACTACAATAAAACTAGCACAGCTGCTACGTTTCACGAAGCTGTGTTTCTTAGTTACAGAGTTATTGAGGTTTAACTGGGTGCTTCACATGGGTGCCTGAGGAAGAGTCGTGAGAAATCCCAGGACATAGCAGAAAGCTGAAATTCATTGTGGTCATTCCTTGATAGCTATCCCAGGGCGCTACAAAGCCGTTTTTTTTAATTCCCCCCCCCCCCCCAAAAATTTTTCACACAACTTTGAATTTGATGTAACCAGTAATGACCAGATTCATCAAAAATTAATTGTTTATTATAAATTAACAGCACCAATTTTCAAAAAAAAAAGGAGCTTGTTACGCCCTTGCAAGGTCATTCAGGAACATAATAAAAAAAACGGCACACAAATCTGATGAACGGTTTTCGAGTTCTTGCTTTCCTCAGCACCACAACTAGCAAAAAAATCCGTTCTGAGAAAACAGGCCGAGAAAGTTCAAAACACGTGTTTTCTTCAAAAAGCTCCAGCACAGTAGCTAGAAGTGTCCTGGCGCACTCTTTTCTTTTTTTGCCTGGCCTCCATCTTCTCTTGGTGTCTTTTAGAATTCTTTTTTAGGCATAAAGCGTCTTTTTCACGAGCTCGCTGGATGGCCAGATGACCTGGTTGAAGTCCAATGGAGTCCGCTATCACTTGGGTTGCTTTGCAGCAGCCGGCATTGTAGCCCAGCACTGCTTCATGCAGTGCTGTTTCTACCGCGATCAAGGATGAGTGTTGTTCCTTCGGCATCAGAGACCACAGAATGGAGTGGAATGATTCTGATGCATTTTGCGTCTTCGCTCCCAGGCAGCGCTGAAGAAGCGACTTTTGTGACAGTCTTTCGTAGATGGGCAGCATAGCTGCAGCGACATAGTCCGGTAGGCTGTGTTTATGTTTTGGCTGTGGCTCACACTTTGCCTCTGCAGCTCTATGGCGGCACCACAATTGAGCCCCCTCTGGGCAAAGTTCACGGTGAGGGTCCTGGTCAGTCGATGTGACGTGGTGATATGTTGCCATCACTGCACGCTGCATGGCTGTTAGGTCAGTTGAATTGTTTCTCAGGGCCCAACCATAATATCCTGTCAGCTTTTCAATGAGGGCTTTAGTCAGCTTCCCCTTCCCACTCAGTGGCTTATCACTTTTCTGCACAATGTTTCGAAGAGCACTTCCAATCTTTTTCTGAACATGGTTCAGACATTCTTCTTTTACAATTGGCACTAGCCCGTACACATTCTCTTCTGTGAGGGCAGCGAAGGTACGGCTGTCTCCGTCGGACACAAGAGTGGTGTACCGCAGGCCATGCTTGGATACAGACCGCCAAAGAGAGTCAAGCCTGCCTCCACTTCCATGCTTCCCGATTTTGCGTCTGTGTTTTTCTGGCAAATGTGGTGCTTCTCCCAGCTTTCGTATGCTGCATCTCCAGGTTTGGGTCCTGTTTGGCATCCAAGGCAGTGGTTTGAAAGAACTACAGCATCCAAGATGAGACCTGTAAAGAAGTCAATTACCGATCCCACTCCGATGTGTGATGTGTGACCCCGCTTATGCCATGTGCCATCGTACACTACGGTGATGTCCTTGCAGAAGCTGGGGTCCATTTCTTTATATGTTTTGATCACTGCTGTGGCAGAATCAGCATAAAACTTCTCCAAAGCGGTGGCCTCTGGCTTCCTGAACGTCTCTTTCAAGTGCTTTTGAAACGTCTTGTGGTTAAGACCTCTGTAAGAGACGTTCATGGCAGCCCAAAAGTCATTAAGAGCTGTTTGCCCCTTGCCTATTTGCTTTATAGCCATTATGGCGCGGACATTTACATCGAAGGCCTGTGTGTCCTTTTTGCGGGGTGATGTCCATAATTTATCGACGGTGCCACAAGAGGCGCACACGACTTCAAGTTTTGTTGCAAGTCCAAGCTTGGTGCTCTCTCGGACAGTCATAGCACCTTTCAAACATTCTTTGCACACTGTGCGGCTGAGCACGACGTTAAAGATGTTCATTTGAACGAGCGAAAAATGTTCGCCCTCACTTGTCACTGCAGGTGCAAGAGCCGGCTGCATCAGTTGAAATTTCTTCTGCGTCGCCGGCGTAGACTCGAGTTCAGCGCGAACGGCGTCACGACGTTTCGCATTCGCATCGATTTCTTCCTTCGTTAGGAAACGCGTCCGCAGATGAAGCGACGGTCCACTCACGCTCGATGGCGGCACCGATTCAGACGAAGTGCTGGGTCCGGCGATATCAGAAGCACTCGGTGTCACACTGGATGGCATCGATGTCGAGCGCGGCGATCTCGGAAACACTCGGTGCATTTGCGGCTCCAGCCACACTCGATGTGTCGGATTCTCGACTGGCGACAGCCGACAACACAGTTCCGTCGCTGCAAGCGTCTACGCAGTCGGCACCCGCAGCAGAATAGCGGAATTTCGATGATCGTACAAGCCGCATAGCGCGCCTCCGCGCACCGGACTTCCGCACTGACTTCGGCTTCGTTGCCAGCATCGCCCGCAACAACAAAGACGAAAGGCACAGAACTAGTGCAAAAAGAAAAAAAACGAGAGAAAATGATCGAAAAGATAGCACAAGGCGAAGAGCGGCTCGTAAGCAGACGTCTGTCAAGGCGGACGGAGCAGAGAGCAACAACAAAGCGAGCGAGCTGGACGCGCCATCGAGAGGAGCGACCGTCCCCGCTGCTGCACAGCAGCCAATGGCGGGCACGTTTTCTCCCGCTAGATATGAATGCGCTGCTCTAGCCAATCAGCGCTCCGCATCGCATCGCGGGAAAACGCCAATAGCGTCTCAACTGTGCTGCCGACGCCATTTTGCAAGGCGGCGAACGAGAGAGAAAGAATTCACGGTCAAAACAACATCAAGATGGCGCGGGACGACCGCATGGTCCGGGAATGGCGCGCGCGAAGTTTGGTTTGATTTCGGGATTTGCGCCTGTTTTGGACGCCGCGGCGGCCTCAAAAATAGTATTTTTTTTGCACTTTGCGGTTGAATTAGGTGCTGATAATTACAGAATAGGTAGTTTATGAGACATACAACCCAAAAATGTGGTTTTTCAAAAACCGACTTTTTCGCGATTTTTCGGTTTTCAAGGGCCGCGTCCCCCCTTAAGCACCCGCGCGGCTCTGAAGTAGAATACTGGGCTGGCACACAGGGGACCCGGGTTCAAATCTCATTGTGTTCTTGATGTTTCTTATAGTTAGTTTTTTTTTTTTTTTTCTTATTGAGCGATAGCTGTTACAGACACCAGCAGCGGCGGCAGACAACTACGATGCATGCGACCCTTGTTGTGATTCTATAACAGCTTTTGCTGTAAAACAGATCACAAAATGCGACGTCAGCATACATAGATTGTTGGCTCTGTAAGAAACCATTCTGTTTTTTCACTCATCACCGAAAGTTTAGCGATCATTGTGTTTGCACACACAACAATGAAAGGACAAGTTGTGATCAACGAAAAAGAAAAGGAGAGAGGAAGAAAAAACCAAGCAAGCCTAAGTGTAATTAGGAACAATAGAAAGATGACACCACAACTCACATTCCTCAGGTTTAGCCTCGGCCACCTTCTTTTGCCACTCCTCCCATTTCTCACAGCAGCAAGGTGCATGTGCTGTGCCCAGACATTCCCTGAAAATGATGTCAGGACACCCACAAATCAAGAGCCACAAACAAATGTGAAACGGGGTTCAAGTTTTTATCACAATGCAGAAGCTATCGTCAACAGATAAAAATTCAGTGGTGGGACCAGTACTGGGGGCTTTGTATGACAGCAAATTCCCATTATAAGTGTCATGCTTCACAAATCAATAACTCTAAAGTATATAGTATGTAGTTTGCACAACTTAAAAACGAGTTGTTACCAAATTACCCAAATATTCCATTATCTACTAATACTACTGCTTCCACTGCTTTCATGTTTGACCAACTGACACAATACACAATTATTAATTAGTTTTAGGTCCTCTAGCCATTTTTATCCCCCTACACAGTCATAAACTTTGATAGAACAAAATTATGTCCAACACAAAACTAGCTTCAATATGAGCCGACATTCATTTCAAGTACATGCTCATCACAGGATTGTACGGGCAAAAAACCTTTCAAGCTTTGCCTGGTAATGCATCCTATTCATATAGTTTATATCAGCATTCATAGAAATTGTCAATTGTTATTCAGTTATTCAGTTTATTCATTCATTCAAAATACAAAATTCGTAGAATGTAGTATGCAGACAAGGGTCCCAAAGTCAAGCGACTGCAGTGGGACCCTCGGTTAACAATAACAATAAAATTATTAATTATAACATCACGTAAAATACGTAACACATGTGAAAAGTAAACAGTGAACTTACATAAAATAACATCAAGTAAACAAAAAAAGGCAGTCAGAATGCGACACAAGAACAATAATAATAAGTTATATAAGTAAAACATAATCACGCCATAAAGCAATAACCTAAATTTGCAAAGTCTTTCCAATTTCATGCCTGGATACATAAGAATCCTTAAGTAATCATCATTGTCAACCTAGTTATGCAAGATGAAGTTTTTAAGATCACGTTTTGAATGCATGAAAAGATGACGATGATTTTAGTGTATAGGGAAGGTTATTCCACAATTTAATGACCGCGAAGGCGGACGTCATTTTGCCATAATTGGTGTTACATTTAGGTAAAAGGAAGTTGTGACTGTGGGCGAATCTAGTGCTATTGGTGTTAGTGAGTAAACTAGCATCGATTAAATCAAACACAAGCTGTTTGTTAAGTTGTTTATATAACAATATGATTAAGTGAAAATTAAATAAGCCAGACACAGTAAGAATACAGTTAGCCTGAAGGAGTGGGGTAGCATTAGAATAAGATGAACTGTTGGTAATAATGCGAATGGCCTGATTCTGAATGTGCTGTACAGACGAAATATGAATGTTATATGTATTTCCCCATGATGCAATGCCATAGGTGATGTGACTATGTATGAAAGCAAAGTATAAAGACAATAAGGCTTCAAGTGAAAAAAAAGGACGAGATTTGATGAGTGATCTTATACCAAATGCTGTTTTTGTTTGACGTAAAGAATATGATTGGTGAACTTTAAATGAGGGTCTAATTTTTACGCCCAGAAAACACACACAGTTAGACGCAGGAATGAAATGATTGTCAATGAACACTTGTGGAATAAAAGGTAGCATTTTTTGTGATGTTTTAAAAAACCATGAACTGAGTTTTGAGCGGGTTTAAAATTAAGTTGTTTAAGCGACACCATTCAACGACATTAGTCAGTACTTTGTTCAACATATTGATCAGAGTAGGTAATGATTTATGCGAGATGGAAATGGTCGTATCATCAGCGTAAAGAATAACTTTAGAATCTCCAAGGCAGTCAGGCAAATCATTAATATAGATACAAAACAGTAAGGGTCCAAGAATAGAACCCTGTGGGACCCCTTGATTAATTATTTTAACATTAGACTTATCGCCCCCAATGCAGACTGATTGTTCACGATCAAGAAGGTAGTTTTTTATGAAGGTCAAGGATGGGCCAGTGATACCCAAGGACTCTAATTTGCTAAATAAAATATTATGACTAATGGTATGAAAGGCTTTCGTGAAATCAAGAAATACAGACCCTGTGAAATTACCGTTGTCGATGGACGTTTTCAAGAAATCGATTAATAATAGCAATGCTAAATTCGTAGAACTACCAGCCCGGAAACCGAATTGACAAGGCTTTAGCAGCTTAAATTTATTGAGGTACTTGTTAATACGTTTCACAAATAATTTTTCAATAAGTTTGCTGATGAAAGACAAAATAGAAATAGGGCGGTAGTTACGGACATCTGTCGTATCACCTTTTTTGTGTACTGGGATTAACTTGGCTTTTTTCAGTGAGCTCGGAAATATACCATGTTTAAAAATGACATTAATTATATTGCTTTAGACTTCTGAGATGTCTGGAGCAGCAAGTTTTAAATGAAACGCCGATACATTGTCTAGTCCAGCGCTAGAGTTTCTTTGATTCAGGATTGTAGAATAGACTTCGTCAATGATAACAGGAAATAGAAAGAATGAATGGCTACAGCGGGTAAGGGTGTACGAGGATACTTTGGGCCTATCATTGTATACTTCATAAAAGTAATCACTAAAAGACTCGGCTATGTCAGAGGACTCAGCACAGATTTGCTGTTTATACCTAATTTTATCAATGACATTACTAACCTGAGGAAAGTCATTGAAAAGTTTCCATTTTTTCTTTGGGTCATTTCTTGCTTTACAGAATTCTTTTTCATAATAAAGTCGTTTTGATTTTTTCAGCAGTTTATTCAACATCTTACTATATTTTTATACCTAAGTCTCAGATTCACATTAAATGGCTGTTTTTTTGTTTTCCTGTAGAGATTATCTTTTTTCCGCATACTAGTTAACAAGCCTTGAGTTAACCAGGGATTACGTTGAAACCTATATATTTTCTTGCATTTAACAGTTTTAGTGTTTGCATGCACAGCTTTAAGAAATAGGGAGCAAAAGTTGCCTAGTGCTTCTTCAGGATTTTCTAAGGTGCTAATGGAAGACCACTCGGAGCCTTGAATTGCCTTGATAAAGTTTTCCTGATCGAAGGTTGACGTGAAATGGCACGTGCTAAGGCGAGGTAGATTTACGGCGAAAGTTACAAAGACAGGATGATGATCAGTGATGCACACATCGATGACTCCTGCGCTAGGGGTTGGCGAAAAAGAACTATGTCTTTAAAATATCACTTGTAAAGGTGATTCAAGTATATTCCAGATTACTAAAATTCGAGCACTTCGAATATTCAGACAAATTTTACAGTAGTCAAAATAAAGTAGTTTGAATTTAAATTATTGAAAATTTCAAATTATTTGAAACGAGCAAATCAATGTATATTAACTGGATGTAACCAACTCCCCTTGTAAAGGTGGTTTAACTGCAGTGAGGTTATGCTATAGTGCAAACACTTATACAGGGGAGATTCGCACTGCCACGAAGCCCCACTTTAAAGTTAAATGAATATATTAGCTTCCCATCGATTCATCAGTTTTTCAGTTTAAAAGCTTGTTGTACTAGCTTATATGCTCTAAATATACTGAATGTTAAAATGTAACATACAGGTCATCACATGCATTCTACCCAAAGTCAAATCATGCTACTATTGAAAGTTGCTTCCACTAACCTTGAACCAGAAAGAATGACATTGGTACATGCCTTGTTTAAATTTTTTAAAAAATATTGTGCGTGTTTGGTTGGGTTGTGACAAATATGCTACTTTTTGTTTATAATATGCGATATTATGCCATTCGAATTCCATTTGAAATTATACGACCAAATCACTATTCGCTTCAAGTTTACTTTGAACCTAAAATTCACCATTCGCACAAGCCTACAGGTTACACGTTTCCAAGCTAGTATACATGATCAGGTGAAAGAGCAGTTTAGAGCTCAGAGAGTTCAGTACCACCGCTTACACTCACTACCACGCAATGATGCTCGTGTGATCCATCAGTTCAACACTGCCAATTATAAGCACATACATGGTATCATGCTGATGGTTGTAAGCACAAGCTCTTCATGAAATACCGCCTTTGGGAGCCAACTGGTTTTATAGCGGCAGCAGTTGTTCAGCTAGCAAGCCAACTAAATGATGCACAACAAAGTTGCAAGTTGGGCTAGCTGGAACAAATCATTCATAATGGTACTGAACGCAGACATTGCAACGCCCCTATTTTTTTTGTCCCGTAACTCACGTTTGCATTCAGTGCCATTATGAATAAATGAAGCTGTCCATAGAAGCTACCCTTTAGGAGGTCAAATCACAAGCTATCATAATGCCACCCACAAGTAATTGACCCACCAGAAGACCTAAAGTATGTTGCAAAGAGTGGAAGATTTTATTATGGGCTTTCTCTGCGAACAAACAATAAAGTGTGTATGTAAGCCCACTGATAGCATGCTGCACTGTGGCTAAGTCTTCCAAAACAAAGCTTTGCAAATAAGTTAGCTACCCTCGCAATTTATTCACCTTCTCATTTACCTTGAGAGCCTCAATGCCAACCAAAAGAAGGCTTCACGTAGCTGATCTGTGCACGTCAACAGACAGGCCTCGCTCCCCCATGGAGTGTATGTACGCATGCCCTCTTAGCGACACCGCGCTAGCAGCCCTAATTTCTCTTCCACATTACTTGGGTTCGATGCATCCTTGAGTCGAACACCCTAGCTGACCGCATTGTTGACTGCACAGAATTTTGAGAATCGTGGAGATCAAACGTGCACCTCCACATAGAAATTCTAATCCTCACAGTCCTGTTTCTATCACAAGAATTCAGATGTTTCATAATGAGGCAATAATCAGAGTCTGTGCACTTGCAGCCTTAGTTGCCTTCGACGCACAAAGTGCACATCCACCAGCGTTCCTAGTAACAGAAGTGGTGCAGTGACGCTCACAAGATTATGTAAAAACTGGAACCTAGGTTGAAACAGAGTATTACCACATTGCACAAAGCATGGCAGTTCAAGAAATAAAAGCAAGTACTCAAGCGAGCTTACCAACAAAAATAGTGGCGATTTCCACAATCCACAGAGTGTGACATGGGCTCTCTGGGAGTGGACTTGGGAAGGCGCAAAGGAGGTGGGTCAACTGATTCCGGCAAGTGCACTGCCCTCCCACAACCGGCCCATGGACACCACTTGAAGTTAGGGTTGCTTTCCACAAAGGCCTGTCACAATGATGGATAGGTAACAGCATTGTCTTTTACCTCAACTATGCCAGCTTCCCAAAATATGTGATAAGCCAATGCACTAACACAATAATTTTACAGGATCAACTGGTGTCTGTTGTAATCACGACACAGAATGTCCAAGGACCAATTGCGTCCCAGACTGGCATAGCTCCATATACACCACATTTTTCATCTGAAGATTACCTTCGACATGGAGCATGACTTGTAGCGTCATCCTGTAGATGATTGTTGTAAAGTGATATTGCACCGCTGCACTTTTCTGCACTTCTTAGGATGCCGATACAAGACAAGAGATGAGGAGACATTTTCTTGCCACTGTTGCTCAGCTGCAAGCCAATCCTAGTGCTATAAAAGCCATTCAAGCTCGATTAATAAATTAACCTAAATCAACTAGTCACAGTCTTATCTTTTTTATGAGCCATGCCACTTATACAGCCATACTACTGCATTAAAAATCAACATAATACACATGTTCAAGATGACAGCAATGACAGCCAACTGCCTGCTTTTTCGTGAACTCACCACAATGTCAAACTGTAGATATCGGCGCACCATGTCGGGGCTGACAATGTGCTCAATGATGTCCACAGGAACAAGCTGAGAACAGCCGACGGCAGGACACACAATGCTGTGCACATCCCCTTCCTGAATCTTGATTGTGAGGTAGCTACATAAGATGGCGAGAAACACAAGTTGAACACAACCTATCAGCAATCCATGCTTGGCAAAATTTTAAAGACTGATGCTTAACGCTTTCCTCATCGCGCCCATACAGTATTATTAGCCCCCAATCAGGGTTGAATTGTCGCTATCCAGACATCTCACACCGTTCACGGACACACTGCCCTGTCCATCGTTACAAAAAAATATAATTTTTTCCTTTATGTAGTTGGTTTTCTTCACCCCGTTGCCTTGATTTTTTAACACACTCTAAAGCTGCATTATCATCCATGTGGAAAGTGAAAATGGCTGTCGCCGAATGCAACGGGCACTCATGCTTCGAAAGATAGCAGATGTCGGCATTCTGGTGTCTTTGAGGCTCATTTTATCTACTTAACGAGCAGCAGCGAGTCTGAAGATGCTGATTTTTTTTCTTAGTCTTCGACTCCAAGAGCAACAACAATTCAAATGAGCCTGGAACGTCAGCCAGTCTCTCTTTCTGCTTTGGGCAATCTCAGTATGCGCTTCAACACCAGCCTGCCTGCTGTAGAACACCACCCCTCTAGCGCTTCACCAACATAGCCCAAAAAAGGTGTTCTTGTGTTTTTGAGGCTCACAAATGTTCCCATTTTATAAAAGTATGCTTCGAGATCTTATGCAACTTTTTTTCTGTAATTTTGCTTTGAATTATTAAAAAAATATTCCATTTACAGTGATGCTACTGAGATCTTCTGCTTTGGAACAATTCTTGAAGCAGTAAAATTTTCATTTCGGGGCACTTTTGAGCAGCATAACTTTCAATTTTGGAACACTTTGGAGTAGCAAAATTTTTCATTTTGGAGCAATCTGGAGCAGCTAACTTCACATCCTGGAGGCGAAGCAAGTTGCATTTACATTCAATGTCATGAATAATTATTTTGGGGCTCTTGCGAAAAGCTAAAAATATTTCTATTCACTGTGAATTTCATGGCGTCAATCATCTTAGGAGCACTCCCTATTTTAGTTGATGATGCAAAAATAAGGGCCTCATGCTGTTGAGAATTCTGGAAAAACATGTTCAATGATTATTTTCATAGCAAATAAACACAATAAACAATATTCCTCTCATGCAGGCCTACGCGATAAGCCGAATAATATACATTTCCTCTTACCTCAAGTGAATAAGCTCAGAAAAAAACTAAATCAACTGCATGATACGAAAGGCTTTTAAGAGAGCGATAGGCCTCCTGACCAATGCGAGCACGGGAAGATTTCTAGAGCTAGGACTTCACAACTCACTCGACGAGTGAATTGAGGCCCATGACGTTGCACAATACGAACGCTTAACAAAATCAGATATCACACTCGGCAAGGAGAAAAAATGAAGGTACTGCCTCAGTCCGCGACCTGCTTGATCGTTCCGCCGATTCCTAAAGATATGCACACGACGCACCACGTGGGTTGGCTTAACGAGCATGCTAGATAGCTTCAAAGAAGTTTGATAATAGTATGGACGTGGTATATGTAGATGCCGCGAGATATGGAGAAGGGAGAAGAGTCCAATCAACTGTGGTCCGTTGACCATCAGGGCAACTGCCTCGCGAGCGCCATGGTGACGACGGGACACACGAGGTGGCCGAAGAAGCCGCAATAGCCTTATCACTCGCCGCAGCGCCCCATGCTGAGATTGTGATAAGCAACTCGCAAATGGCAGTCCGCATTTACGCGCGCGGCCGTGTCTCGCGGGAAGCGGCGCGCATCCTTCCAATGTGCGAAGATAGCAACTCGACGTAGTGCTCACAACCCCAAATTCCAACGGTTTTCCTCCTATGGACCCCAGCACACACCAGAATTCCGCTCGCGGGGAACAAGGCGGCCCATGCCACGGCTTGGGGTCTCACTCGCCAAGCCGCGGCCCACTACGTGGCCACCGCCTCTGACTCCGAGAGCGGGGCGATGCATCTGCTGGATCAAGACCCTTTGATAGGCACGCAGCAACAAGATTCAGAATGGCCATGGGGTGATCGTCTTACAATGTTCCGTGACATCACCCAACACTATAGGCTCAAAATGCGTAGGTTCCCGCCACCACACGAGAAATTAAACAGGCATGATGCCGTAAGCTTTCGCTTACTCCAAACCCACTCCTACCCTAGCTCGGTCGTTCTACGCCACCTCTACCTGAACCTATACCCCACCGATATGTGTAAAGCATGAGGGCACAGAGCAACACTGAGCCACATGCTCTGGGAATGTGCCGGCGACGACAGTCGTGAAAACGCCACCAATCGCGATGCGCCTATAGCGGCCGTCAATACCAAATCACAGGGAGCCTCGAGCTCACTCGTTCCTGTCGCCGCTCCGGCCTGCGGGAGTCGTGGGGGACCTTCGTCGGCGTCACCGCTGCTGGGAGGAGGCCCTTCGAAGCCCAGAGCTGAACGACCAACTCTGGGCCGTCCAGCAGGCCGAGAATGCCGCCCGAGTACCGGGATGACAAGCCACCCCCTAAAGCCACCGAGCCCAAATTTCCGGCCCATTGTGTTTAATAATGTCTTTTCTCTCTCTCATGAAATAACATTCTAAATACACGTATGCGGTCATCAACAGGTATGGTAGACAAACGCTGTGACGCACAATGCTAGAGACTCTCGCAGAACTAACTGTATTTCCCTAAGATGACTTCAAGGATAAAGGAAAGGTTCTTTTTCTTCACAACCGATTATAGTCCTGGGCACAACATGACGTCATTTAGCTAGTCTCGGAAAGCCTACCTCGTCTGGCTGAAACTACACGATTTAACGAACTCCAGTTTCCTTTTGCAGTGATGGTTTATAAGACTAGAGTGTTCTGTCTATACTTTGGAAACCACCTATACTCTCCTCTAGAAAGCAGTGCATAAGGAAAAAGAACCTCACAGGGTACCTATGCGTACGCCTAAGAAGACTCGAAGGCAAGAACCATTTTCTTTTTATTGCAATAGCAATTATATGAACATTCTCGACTGGTCTTTGCCGTCGCCAGGGGCATAGTCAATTTTTTTTTTTTGTGCACCTTCATCTAAAAGGGTGGGGGGGGGGGGGGCAGGAAAATGGTCATTTTGCGCTATACATGCCATTTGGGATGGGAAGCACGTTCCCGTTGTGCCCCCCCCCCCCCCCTTCCCTGGCTACGCCACTGGCCGTCACCATCATGTTTTGTGCAACGTCGGAATCGATAGCATCCCCCTGCGCATAGTGTGTTTTACACGCGGGTAAAAGAGCGCGAGCGGAGGCAACGAACACGGCTAAAGCAGAGATACAATTAGCCGACCTATCTCCCTTGCACAGAGGGTGGATGCGATAACATCACCCCGTGTGCCAGGCCTGTCTTTTAGGGCCTTTTGGCGCAACAGCGATTACAAACATGAATGTGCTGGTGAAAGGAATTACGAAAGACCACTTCTGAATGAAGATACATGAATAAACTATTAAGAGAAAAGTGTCAACGCGTTCTCACCGCTCACGTGTTGTTTTGTGGAGGCGAAGCACGAAAAATTAGATTGCTATGTTCAGAAATAGATGTGACAGAGATTCTGGTGGCACACGTACAGTTATTACATTAATTACGTGCCACACATCTCTTCACATGAGCTATCATCAGTGTTCCTAGAACAGTTGACGTCCGCGTTTCGCCGTTAAGTGGTCTTGCACAGCAGAAGTTGCGTCAGCACCAAACATAGCATAGTGGATGACTTGGGACGCACGCGCGACTGCTGTTTATTTAGTGGAATGATTCTAGGTACGTGATTGTGACTTTATTTATTGCGATGCTACCAAATTTTACTTTGGCACAGTTTGGCTCAATTTTTTTATGTTATCAGGACGGCACAGTAAACGTGATTTGGGACACTTTGAACCCAAAATTTTGCTATTCACACAGCTTCAGAAAGAGCAATTTACTAATAAAAGAATCTTTTTCTTGTAGTTAGTGTTCCTACAAACACGTTCTATGTATGCTAGGCTGCACTGCACACTTGCCAGAGCAAGGTGCTGAAAACGCAAACATGACAGGAACACAGGATTGAGAAAAACAGAACACTGTCTATCTCTCTCTGATATTGTTTGTGTACACTGTTTTCTATCTTGAAAACAAAGCAAAGTCACAGCATCTTGGTGATGCTGCTAAACGAATGGGCTGAAGCATTACATCTTCTCAGCGTTCCAAAAAGAGTCAAACAGCAGTTACTACCTGCGCCAGCAGGAGATACAGAACTCGTGCTGACAAGGAACAATGACAGGATCTGGCTCGTGCACCACTTCTGAGCAGATGCTGCACTGCAACACAGTAAAAGAAAGAAGAAAAAACAGCATACTAAAATTAAATTCATGAAGCACAGCTAAGAATACAAGGGAAAAAAAAGAGGGAAATAAAACATCGAATAGCATAAAGAACTGAACACTTGCAATGCATGCAATACTCTATAAACATGGGACTCTCACTTGCTCGGTATAACTGTCAGTTCAAGCGCACGAATAAACAGAAAGGAAGAGAGGACAAGCGCTTGTCCTCTCTTTTTTTTTTCTGTTTATTCGTGCGCTTGAACTGACAGTTATACCATGCATATCCAACTAGCCCAACTTTCGATTCTGTTGCAATCTCATTTGCTCAACAGCAAAAATAAAGATATAACAAGCAAATTAAAATTTCCTTGATTTCATAACGAGGGTCTTGTTATGGCTCACTTGATGCCTTGAGGAGGTGTGCAAGGAATTATTGGTCAGTTGCCATCTCGTAATAAGATCACGTACTGGGTGACGCCAAACAGGCAAGAAGAGTGTTCCCACTCGCCGCCATGACTACTGGCGGTGCTGACTGATGCTCCATGTTTAAATGCACATAGTATATACCCTATAAAGTGGACGGGGGGGGGGGGGGGGGGATAATTGCAACCGTAGCTCAGATCCTGCCAGTGGCAAGTTATCTTTCGTCCACTTTTCTTTCTTCAAGTTTACATTAAAATTACTTCTAATAACATCCCCTCTACTTTTTCTAGAATTCCTGTCTGTTAGAGTTCTCATTAATATTGTGCCTAACAAAGGAAACGAGCCCTTAGGTTTACAATTTCTTTCACTGACATAAGGGAAACTCATTGATGTTACACTTCTGCATCTCTTTGCAGAGCCAAGTGAAAGTTTCAGTCAATCGATTAAACTCAAACCTTTATGGAACGAACCCGGATATAACAAAGTATTAGTTGTAATGAAGTAAACAAAGAGTAGCTCTGTCATGAATACAGTGCTGGAAATATATGTTTATAACGAAATTTCGGGTATAACAAGGTATTCTCATGATAGGTGTGACTTTCTTATAATGAGGTTTGAGTGTATAGGAGTTTTTCCTTCACCTATCATATACTGCGGTGGAATCTTAGAAGCTGCGTTGCTTGACTGCTAACCCAAAGACTGCAGGATCGAATACAGGCTGTGGGAGCCGCATTTCAACGGAGGCGAAATACTGGAGGCCTGTGTACTTAGATTTAGACAAAAGTTCTACTCCAGGTGGTCAAAGTTTCCAGAGCCCTCTGCTACGGGTGCCCCTCATAATCATACTTTGGTTTTGGGACGTAAAATCCCAACAATCGGTATTGCATCATTTGTCCCCTGTATACTAATTAGAAACGCACAGGCAATCTAGCAGGCGAGCGGCCTTGCGGTCCACTCGGTGTCGAAGGTGATGATGAGTTGAGAGAGCCCGACTGGTACTCTTCTGTCACCACAGGATCATTGCTGCGCTCGGACGCGTGCACTGCAGATGTCGTTGGCTGTACTCCTGCAGCCAGGCAGCACCCGACTGGGTCTTGGACCCATGCTTCCAGCAGGGCCACCTGGCTCCAATCTGCAGCAATGTAGGATACACACATCAACATCTCACATCCTTGCTACACGTTCAACGGCTAGAATCTTGCCCACCTGAGGTTGGTCGAATTTACAGGCACAAGCGTACCATGTGAAATGAAACAAAACACAAATACAAAAAATATCACAATTCAAGAAATTACTACAGAGAGAAATTATTGGTGTAATATCATTCTGTAAGTTCACCTACCAGTACGAGTGTCGAGAGCTTCACTACTTCATTTTTTTTAGTGGTACGTCGCATGAATGGGTGTGCTGCTTTTTTATTTTTCCTTTTATACCCTGCACGAATGTGAATTTTTTTTTCTTTTCTTTTGCAATGATACCAGAATTGAGGGCAAACTTCCAATGCTACTTTTCAAATGTTTTATTAAGAGTTTCTTTTCCTATTTTATCAAACAAACAATTAGTTATTAACTTTATTTAGTGCACCAGACACCTCTGTAAATTGCCCAATGAAAGTTGCAACTAATCAAGTTGGCAGATTGCATGCCCACCTGCGTAGTAATGAAACATTTATGAAAGCTGTAGTCCCTGCACTTATTAAAAACAAACCAAGGGGGCCTAGAAAAAAAATGCGCTTGGTACATTACGAAAGCTGAATGCAAGCCCATGCAAGAAGGCACAGCATCTAAAAACAAACTAAAGGGTGAAGTTGAGGAGAAAGGGGCCAGTCAAGCTGTGAAATTCAGTTTTTTTTCTCATTGCGCCAAACCACGTATACCGTGTACTAATATGTACTTGTCGTTAGGTTATGTTAGGTTGTTTGGTTTAATAAACTCAAACAAATAAAAAAACTGACAGGCTGATTGATTGATTGATTGGTTGATATGTGGGGTTTAACGTCCCAAAACCACCATATGATTATGAGAGACGCCGTAGTGGAGGGCTCCGGAAATTTCGACCACCTGGGGTTCTTTAACGTGCACCCAAATCTGAGCACACGGGCCTACAACATGTCCACCTCCATCGTAAATGCAGCCACTGCAGCCGAGATTCGAACCCGCGACCTGCGGGTCAGTAGCCAAGTACCTTAGCCACTAGACCACCGCGGCGGGGCAAAAAAACTGACAGGCTGCATGTTTAGAATTGCATAGAGTGGCAAAGCAATGGTGCATTAAAAAAGTGACAGCTTTTGTTGCTAAAGAAGTATAGTTTTATATAAGCAGGTTCTGTCGTAATATCTGAAATAACCAAAAAAAAGGACCTCTTTAAATTGTTTGCTGACCTTGTACTTTAATTAATCCTCCCAAGTTTTTTCTTTGGCCCAAATTGTCATTTCAGACTGCATTTCTTAATTAGCCAATTTCACTATAAGTGTACTTAAACAACTGAAAAAAAGCTATTTAAAGGCTTTTTCTTTATTAGCATTATAAAAACAAAATATATTTTTTTTAATATGCAAAGAATTCGCCTTGCTGCTCTGAATTACGGAAAGCACCCTAAACTTCCAGGATTTGGTGCAGAAAGTATCTCTGAAATTTAAAAACATAAAAGCACAGAGACAAGCAAGCACATTGAATCATAAAACCTAGGATGCACCAGCGGGTGTTTGCTTCCGCCTGTTAGCATCCACTGCTGATAAGTGGAGATGCACACGTCTGATTGCGATGATATAAAGAAAGCATGCAGCCCTATCTAGTCACTGCCATACTTGTGGGAGAACTGAAATTGCTCTTCATTTGACAAAACTTCCTCAAAAAGGAGTTTATTTTCTCTTACTCACTTACTTTTTTTCTCCACAAAGCAGTTGCGGGCATGCGCAAGCTGTTTGTGCTCATAGAAGGACACCATTGTTTAATTCAGGTTACGCCAATCAAGTCCTTCCTACACCAAAATGCATGCTTTGAGTGCATTTTTAATATTATGCTGTGGCATTTGTTCAAGCCAAAGAGAATTCAGTAAAATGAACTTAAATAGCTCAATAGCAGCACCCCCAACTGCTTATTTCAGGGTGCCCCGCCGCGGTGGTCTAGTGGCTAAGGTACTCGGCTGCTCACCCGCAGGTCACAAGCTCGAATCCCGGCTGCAGCATTTCCAATGGAGGCGGAAATGTTGTAGGCCCGTGTGCTCAGATTTTGGTGCACGTTAAAGAACCCCAAGTGGTCAAAATTTACGGAGCCCTCCACTGCGGCATCTCTCATAATCATATAATGGTTTTGGGACGTTAAACCCCACATATCTATCAATCAATGCTTATTTCAGGGTAGACGACCCCAGCTCCTTTTGTGGGGGGGGTTGTACAAGCCGTGTGGACAACCTTTGCTCGTCTTCGGTGGGAAATGGGTTAGGCTAATCGAAGAGACATTAAATTTGTCCATCTGGCATGGTTGTAGTACTTGCACAGCTGCTCAAGTAACAACGAAGTAATCTCCAGACACTGCGACATGACAAAAGCACAGACATTTCTGATCAACCCCAAGCTAGCATAGCTTATTCCTGAAGTAATCGATGTTTGTTCTTGCTACATGTCAGGGCCTATAGGCTTGTGCCAACAAAAGTGAAAGCAACGCTCCTGAACAGCAACACTTAACCAATTTAATCATTATTTTAAGCACTTTAATTTTTATCATGAACAGATGTCAGCGAGTTGTAGTGAAACAGACTGTACCATGACATCGTAGAAGCGCTTCTGCTGTGAACAAAGGCACATGGAGCATGTCAGATGTTTCAACAAGAAGAAGATCTTTGGCTTCTTGCAATTCTTGAGGTCGCAACCCATCGTATGCCTAGCAAAAGAAAGATTCAAGACATGTAAATGGTAGAACTTTAGCATAAACAGTTCAGTGTAATTTGGTATAATACATAAAAATTCCAAAAAAAAACACATCATGCTGTTTTCTTCAGCAACAAATACTGAATAACCTCACAAACTAAAAAAGTAACAAGCATGATATGTTGCACATTACCAAGTATGCAGTCATAAAATGATGCTGCTCCTATTTGCATTTCCAGATGGTGGCGAAAAATTTCTAATGATGCAGCACGCTAAAATAACTGTGCCCTGTAATGACAAAAGGTGACGACGAAGCTTGGGCACTTGCACTTCACCAGCGCGAAAAGGAGGATGATAAAGGAGATCTTGGAATAGAACAGCTGGCCCAGCAAACGAGTACTATCCCTGTTCGCTTCCTTACAATGGCGTAGTCTGGAAAGGCACCAGAGTTGAGGCAGAAATCACCTGTCCTCATGGGTCTTCGGTGTATAGGCAAAGGGTAGGACAAACATGAATTCATGCATCCTAATGCTTAATTTTCTGCTCAAGGTCATCACGGCTACAGTTTCCTTAGTACTCAGCAGTACAAAGGAACATGCCGTGGGAGACGACAGAAGGATTCAAAGATTCAAACGTATAAGAATGATTGAGTAGCGACTTGTCAGAATAAGGCCATCCTACCCGCACATAAGAAGAAGCACGGGAGGAGAAAAGCTGGGTCTTGACAGAAAGGCAGAGACAAATTTAAAAAGAACTTTCAGTTATTCTAAAATTGTAGTCTATCGTTTCACGCATTTAGATTCTTCAAAGAAAAAAAAACTGCTGTTTAAGCTCCTCTACATATTTCATCATTGCGACGAAGGCAACTGATGAAAAAAAAACAAGAAATAAAAAGGTAACATGCCCCCTTAATAATAGGCATCTTACGTTTACCTCACTACAAAACAGCACAAACAAACATGACAGACACAGGCATCGCCTATTAGGCCCATAGACAGGAATTTTTTCGAGACTTAGTGAAAGCTCTGGTTGCCAAAAAATATATCGATATTTTTACTATTTATTTTCAGTAAAACATCCCTCTCCCCTAGAAATTCGAGGAGGGGGTTCCTAGTGTACCGCTCCCTTGGCTAAGGGCCTGAAGCCTACGCAATGGTAATATTTTCAACTGCCGGCAGCATTGCTCAGTCACAACCTTGGCACAATGGAGGTCTGTGTGTTGTCTGTCTCTTCCAAAAAAGGACGAAAAACATGTCCTTGGTTCAGACGCGCACTTGCTTAAAGCAAAGCAAGAAAAGCGGCACTCTAACAATGCACAAAAGCACTCCAGTTTGTAAAGATGAGTCAGAACGCTATCAGAACAGTTTGAGTACCTTATCAAGCTCAAGTGCCGGGTCCTTGTCCTTTGGCTTGATAGTAACACAGCTCTGAAATTTCAAAGCACAAAAACAAAACATGCAAACATTCAGCTGCATAAAACAAATTGCTACATGTTTCTACGATAACTCAAGGCTGCTGATAGAAACATTTGCGAGTTTGATTGATATGTGGGGTTTAACGTCCCAAAACCACCATATGATTATGAGAGACGCCGTAGTGGAGGGCTCTGGAAATTCAATTGATTGATTGATTGATTGATTGATTGATTGATTGATTGATTGATTGATTGATTGATTGATTGATTGATTGATTGATTGATTGATATGTGTGGTCTAACGTCCCAAAACCACCACATGATTATGAGAGACGCCGTAGTGGAGGTCTCCGGAAATTTCGACCACCTGGGGTTCTTTAACGTGCACCCAAATCTGAGCACACAGGCCTACAACATTTCCGCCTCCATCGGAAATGCAGCCGCCGCAGCCTGGTATTTGATCCTGCGAGCTATGGGTCAGCAGCCGAGTACCCTAAGCCACTAGACCACCACGGCGGGGCAAACATTTGAGAGTTGTAGGAGCTGAAAGTACAAAATTACATAAGCCCACTAGCAATTTAACAATATGAGTTAACTTGTTGATTCACCTTAAAGATCATTGCTGCTTTTGCATTCGTTTGCTGATATATCCTTTCTTAAATAGTTTACCTGAATGAAACACTGCCCCAAAACAATTAAACAGAATGTATTAAGAAACCGTGCAGCTTACTTCTCCATACGAAAGTTCATTAATTCATGACAGCAACTACACATACTTAAAAGCCAACAGCAATGAAATATTACTTGGGCGAATTGACTGGGAATACGTAGTATACGTTGGGTGAGCGATGATAATGACAGTAAAAAGTTTGCAGTCGCATCCTTCATTTATTATCGGAGCAACAATTGTCGGCTCACAGACGATGTGGTGTGGCCGGGCAAATTGGACACGAATGGAAATGACGTCAATCGCAGCTCACCACTGCTCCCAAGCAGAACTCCCTGCAGCCGCATCCCCTCCTGTTCAACATGATGCCTCTCCACGAGCAGCTAACTAGGATTTAGCTCTTTTGTAGTACAAAATGTGGGGTGGTAGGCTGCCAGAACATATGTTATGGCTGGGATCAGTGCACGCTTTTTCGAAAAACGTAAAGCTCGAAAAGCTGTGAGTTACCGGAGTGAGACGAAAGGAATGGGAGGTAGAAGAGTGCTGTGCTTTATACAGCGCACTTCAAAGAGGACGAATATAAACACGACTAGTGTCGTCCAAATGCTGTTAAAACTGAAAAGAATGTCGAATCCTGACGCAGTGCCTTCAAAATTTAGCCACTGTGAACCCAAGATCAGAAAGTTTCAACCATCGCTAAATTATAGCGCAACGCCATTGGAAGGACAAAACCGGTACGTGAAGTGCTACACTAGCTAGGCCATCTACACAGGAGTAATTAAAGCTCCAAAAGCTGATCGGCTAACTTCTAACTGCCAGTAGTCAAAGCAGCGAAGTTCCACAGAAATTTAATCATACTCTGTTCAAAGCAATTCAAGCACATAAACGTATTTTGAAGAAAACAAATTGTGCTACGTTTGGTTAAATGTAAAAGTTCTGGGCACGGTCAGGCAAGTGTTTACAGAAATGCAGGGATGCTTTTGATATGTGAGAGTGTGCCAAACCGAGCATCAGCATCGAAAACAACACTGTCTTACCGTCCGTAGTCTCTCAATGAAGCGAGAATAACCAAAGTGTAAACCAGCAGAATCCTTTATTGCGAACTAGCTAGTTTTACAAGAAAAAGGACGAGATGGTAGGCGCGAAGCAGGCAGTTGTTATTTAGCTAAACACTCTAACAAACTTTTATGATCACGTATCCATGTTTACTTCATGGTGCATGTTTACATATTTTGTTTTTTCATTACCATCTAAAAAAAAAACTTGGGGAGCACCTGCGAAACATATATACCTGGGAGCAGAGCAGACAATTCACCTGCACCCGTCATCTGCCGGGCTGCTACATCACTTTCAGTCAGCCGTAATGGCTTGCATCTTGTAGGTGAAATTTGGCAGCTAGCAGTATCTTTAGCTACATAGCCTATAAATCCGCCTTTTTTCAAAGTGTGCACCATTTCTGTCTAGTTGGCCTTGAAGCACTAACTAAATATTTAAGGATGTTATCCCAGTCCCTGTTTAAGAACCATGGCATCCAAAACTCAGGCTCCGTATATAGTAAGCATTTGCTGAAATGCTATAGTGTATTACAGCGAAAGCCATTATGAGATCACAACAAGGGTCGCATGCGGCGCAGTTGTCCGCTGTTGCCGCTGTCCGTAACAACTATCGCTCGAAATGAAAAAAAAAAAAAAACTAACAGAATAAAAACACCAAAGTCACGGTGAGATTGGAACACGAGTTCCTTGCGCGTGCCTGCCCAGTGTTCTACCACTGCGCCATGCCAGTACTTGTGCAAACTGATCCTAGGCAAGCTTGACGACAGGAAAGGAATCCCGCTAATATAAGAAATAAAGCAGTTTAGAACAGCCATGAAACAATCGAGTGTCAAACATTGCGAATTTCGTAACGAGTGGGTCGTCGAATGCTCCAACCCATTACTAAAGCTTCAGGCATAATTCTTCATCGACGTCAGCCAAAGCATAACAAAAATTGCGCGAAATTCCTTGCAAGTGTGTGGCGGGTACCACACTTTGTTGAAGGAATGATGAAGGATGCCTCCCTGCTACACAATTTACGATGAATAACGGCATAGTGGGTACCTTGCATGTGCGCTTATAGAAGCTGCCCAAAGAGTGTTTAAAAAAAATACTCTGAAAGGCCACTCTTCCAGCTTTTGATGTGACTGTGCTGCCCGTTGCACGCAGGCGTGGTAGTTTTATAAAAAGAAAATAAGCTAAGCACAGGTAATGAAAAATAATGTAACAATTTAATAGGACCAATCACGTTATGCTAAGTGTCTGTTAAATTTTGGCTGTTTGTTTAACATGCACTCCCAATTCTGAAATTTCATGTATGCATACCTACTTTAGATATTAAGAGGGGGGGGGGGGGGGAGGAATGTGCGTGTGGCTTAGAAAGAAAAGCTTACATGCATCATTTATTGTAATATAAATGTGCAAGTTAGTCAATTTCAGCGTCTTCATTTGTCAAAACTGCCATACAGTTATAAGGCATATCATAGTGAGTGACTCTGGAATAATTTTCTTACCCCTTAGGCTTTTTCAACATGCCAAAATATGTAAGAACATGGTTATTTTTGCATTTGGCCACATCGAAACGTGGCCACAGTGCCCGATAATAAAGCCCATGCCCTCAAACATAGCAGCACAAGAATTTACTTGAAGATGGTTTTAGAAACTAGGGATGTCAGAAAAGATGCTCAACAAATTAAAGCAGTGCACTAAATTAATGCTATATTATCTGGCTAACTGTAACATCGAAGCGTTATTAAAATACAGTGGGCATGCATAGTAGCCGGCAGCCATTAGGATGAATAACAGCATTATCATACACATTTCCTGGTGAAACAAAAAGTTAGCTGGCTGGTTACACTTAAGTGACTAAGCGATGCGTTGACCCAACAAGCCTAAGCTATAATCTTATAGACAACTGGGAGGAAGACGAAGTGATTAATTTGCGGAACACACCTTGCTCGTCTTTGTGCTTTTCTGAATTTTTCACTGAAGTTGCGGGGTCTATCACCCCATTCATCGCGGTGATGGATGTCCAATCTCACGGGGGTGCTGTCCGAGTCTGCTTCGACTGCAGGCACTGTTTCGAGGAAGCGAGGAAACGCGTCTAGTGAGATTGAGGACACTGAGCTGTACTTCGCATCAAGTGACGAGTCCTCGGATGACAGCTTCCAACCCATCCTGTACCGCAAGGCTAAACGAAGGATAGTCAATGCATCTTCGGTATCAAGCACTGCCACCATGAAAACTGCCCCTCAGCGATCACCTCACTCCATCCTGTTTGTGCTGCTGAAGGCTACCGACAGTCTGCGTGGGCTGAACAGGCAAGCGCTCTCTGTGTATTTTGAGAATATTACGCAAATGAGATGAAAGAAGTACGACTAAACGCAAGAAGAAACTTGGCAATTGATGTGCTGAACCCAAAGGTATTGAACACTCTTCAGAAAGTAAAGCAGCTGTGTAACATCGGTGTCAAGTCTATAATATCAGCCGATAGCACCACTTCAACAGGAGTTACTTACGACTGCAATTCCAAACCACTGCAATTCCACTGCAAGCCACTGCAATTCCAAACGCGGATCTTCCAATGCTGATAAAACTGGCAAATGTAGATAACGTCATTGTGAATGTGGACCGCTTTGGTAACACACGTTGTATGAGAATTCCGTTCAAAGGGGACTGTCTCCCCTCCCATGTGAAGGTTGGCCACTTTCGTCACTACTTCGCCACTTTCAACCATTTATTCCAAAACCTATGCGATGTCATAACTGCCAGATTATCGGCCATGTGCATTGTGCGTGCAAGAACTCTGCAGTGTGCCCCAAACGCTCAGAACCACACTCTGAGGACAAATGCAGCGCAACCCTAATTTTCAAGGTGCCCTAAATTTTCAAGGTGCTCACAGTACATCCTCCGAAGACTGCTTGCGGATAAAGACGGAGTTTACTATTCTTAGGCAAATGGTGGGAGACAGCTCTACCCACAAAGAGGCCGCTGAAAAAGTCCGGTGAAGACGACGACGTCACCGTCGAAGGCCTTTGCAAAGAACACAGTCAACTACAATAAGCAAGTCAATGCATCTGGGAACGGCGCCCTCTGCAGTGTCCACCGCGACGAACACAAGACGCTGGAAGAGAGAAAACGAGTAGATTTTTTTCTGCTAAAAAGTGGCCGCCCCTTATGAGCATGCGACTTGTGGAAGAACCACAACAGAAGCCGCCTTCATCAGAGCGAGCTACGATAACAGAGGAGCAGCGGAACTTGGATATGCAAGTGGTTGCTCTTCTATGACCCTTAATTAATGCCATTCACACGGGGTTAAACAACTTGCACACGACGTCAGCCAGAAGTGCACTTTACGTACTAAGGGCCCCGAGTCCAGAACCGGCACCTCTTGAGTAGACAATGGCTCACCAGCCACTGTCTTTCAGGGAAGAGGTCAGAGAAGCAAGACTTTTTCAGTGGAACGCACGTGACTGACATCACGCATTGCAGATTTCCGTTGGTTCGTTATCACAAATATGTTCCCCATAATCGTCATATGCGAGCCAAATTTATAGAGCGCTATCAGACTCTCCGGATACGAATCATTTATGTAAGCTTCTTTTAGTGGAAACAGCAAGGTGCTGCTGTTAATTCCCGGTGACCTGACTTACAATCTTCAGTCTGTACCACCTGAGAATGATGACCAATATGTATGCTTAACAGCGAAAAAAAAGGGTCTTACTGTCACTGTTGTTGGTGCCTACCTGTTGCCATCAAGTAGATTTGACCACAGAAGACTAGGATACATCCTATTATCTACTTCTGGCCCATGGGTCGTCATCGGGGACTTTAACGCCCACCATCAATATGGGGGCGAAGATCAGCGCAAAGGGCAGAAGTCTGATAACGTTTGCTTCAGACGAGTTGTGCTTGTTAAATGATGGCAGTCCCACATTTTTACATGGCCCTGAATACAGCAGCTGCATTGACTTGGCTTTTGTCTTTCGAAGTCTCGTCAGATGTGTCGGATGGTTCGCGGACATAGAAACACATGGGAGCAACCACATTCCTACATATGTCAAGATCAGAGGATTATCACATTGCAAGGTACGCGACCCTATCCAAAGAGCGGATTGGAACAAGTTTGAATCTCTCATGGAAGAACTCTGTCAAGAGAACACCTCACTTGACTTAGAAGAGGTGATCAAGTCCACAGTGCCAGACATGGTGTGCACCCTCCCATGTTCTTCGAGAGTAACAGAATTTGAAGTAGAATCAGAATGACCTCCGGCTCTCCGACAGCGTGCGGAACGAAGGTACCGACGCATGTAAGCAATCGACGATTTACGAACCACTAGATGTCTTTAGAAGAAGATACAATGCCTCATAGACAAGCTAGAGTCACAACATTGGGCTACCTTCTGCGCGTACGTTAGATCCCCGCAAGCCTTTATCACACTTGTGGAGGACAGTAAGAGGGCTCTGGACAGTTCCCATTCCGCGGTCTCCATTCAAGGCTCTAGTCCTCTCTCAGCAGAGATTGGAGGTCGACGTGGCAGAAGAGTTCTGTGCCAAATTATCTGGTCAGCTCGCAGATCCCAAATTCCTCATGCACACACTTTGTGGCACGACATCACGCCATCACCGCATGGACGAACTTTTTTCCATTCATGAGATGCGCTTAAAGCAGCACTGGCTTTGTGTAGACAGACATCAGCACCTGGGCCTGATCGAATATCCTACAGAGCACTGTGTCACCTTGGTGAGTGTGCGAGAAGTGCCCTCCTCGAGATATACAATGATTCATGGCAGGAGTGCACCCTCCCAGGTAACAGGAAGACCAGTTGTTTGGTTCCAAGTCACTATTGGTGCTCACATCGTACCGCCCGATTGCACTGGCTGGTTGCTTGGGCAAAGTGATGGAGAGGATAGTGCAAGGACGGCTAGAATGATACCTTGAGCATCAAAACATCTACCCAGACGCTATGACGAGTTTTCGCCGTGGCCGACCATCAACTGATAGCGTCATAGACCTGGTCAGCTACGTGCAACACGAAAAAGGCTGTAAGCGTCTCTGCGCTTCTTTATTTTTTCATGTTAAAGGAGCGTATGATAACATCACTCATGAAGCTGTCCTCACTGCTCTCAAAGAGGTAGAAATGGGCGGTCCGATGTTTCAGTGAGTGCGCAGCTATCTCTCTGAGCGGTCCTTTTTCGCGAGAACTGAGGATGGTGACACTTCAGCTACATTACAGCCACCATGGTGTTCCCCAGGGTGGCTTACTTAGCCCTGTACTATTCAACCTGACACTAATCGCTCTCCATGAGCATCTGCCAAGTAGTGTCAGATTTTCAATGTACGCGGACGACATCTGCGTTTGGATGTCTGCAGTAACACGTCTACAGCTGCGAGCGCAAATTCAGAGAGATACCACTCAAGCTGCTATTTACCTCCGTAAACGAGGTCTGGAAATTTCCACTGAAAAATGTGCACTTGTGGCATTTACGTGCAAACCAATGCAGAACTACAGCGTTCCGATAAACAGCGAAAGGATACATTACCTTGGATCGTACAACTTCCTAAGTGTTATAATTGACAGAGACCTCTCATGGAGCCCACATGTATCATACATAAAAAGGCAGCTGACAGGCATATACCATTTGTTCAAGTTCTTCGCTGGCTTCCTCGCCAGCAAACCACATCACAATGGAATCAGCCGCACTTCAAGCATGCCCGACAGTACTCACTTGAACGTTAAGCCTTTGAGCTTCATTGATGCTTTGCTGAGCAGACCAGACCTTTTTATGTAGGCTCTGGTTGGGCGTTGCGTTTACCAAAGCCTACGCTTTTCGCATTGGGATGGCCGAAACCGCAGCCTGTGGCCACTGTGGCAAAGATAAACCATCCAACATATCCTTTGCGAATGCCTAAAGTATAGTAGACAACGACTATGCCTTCGCAAGGAACTCTGCAAATCAGATAATCAACCTCTGTCTGAGGAAAGAATTTTACAATATCGACAAGATGCAACTTCACAGAAGAAGACCCTGAAAGCGCTACTGCACTTTTTGCAATCCACCAGCCTTTCTGTACGGTTGTAGCCAGAGCACCCTTCCTGTGTGTGTGTTCGTTTTTTTCGTGAGTGCGCATGCATTTTTTTTCCCCTCTTTCTACCCCCTCTTTCGTGCCACAGTTTCCCCCACCCCCAGTGCATGCTGGGTAGCAAACCGGAAGCCAATATTCTGTTAATCTCCCGGCCTTCCTTTTTCTTTATCTCTCTCTCTTATAGCCAAGTGACTCATCTGCACAATAGTCAAAAGTCCGCACGGACCTCAGGGACCAATGCCTTTAAATAGTTTCACATATGCTGTGGGAGTGCCCGGCACAGTACAGACACACTAACGCCATGACCCTTTTGAAGAAGCTTCATGAGGCTCTGCGGAGCCCCGCTCTTGACGAACAAACATGGGCGACCCATCACGCCTGTGAGGCAGCGTCTAGGCAAGCTCTTGACATCTCCTCATGGGAGGCCTAGGCACGGCCACCTAAACCTGCTGGTTTCTCATAATAAAGTTTATTCCTCCTCCTCCTCCTGCTGCTAGAAATAAAGCACTTCCTATGAAAAACTAGTAGTGGTAAGAACTATTCATGCATTTTTAACCACGTCAGTATTTGCTATAAGATAAAAAAAGTGCATTCCAGAGCTCACAAATCATCTCGAGGCATCTTAGCATGTTGTGAGACTGCTTACAGAAAAGACCATCTTTGATTCAAGGTAGTCTGCCAAGCTCTTGAAGCCAGCCTTGTCCGCCATCTCACATGCCGTCTCACCAGCATTATTCTCCTCGAATAGGGACACGTCATGAGAAACAAGAAGCTGAAAGAGAAAGCAAAAGCATGTGTCTCTCATAATCATATGGTAGTTTTGGGACGTTTAACCCCACATATCAATTAAAAGCAAAAAGTATGCCAGGCAAAGAATGAAACAATCCATGCACTATATTCTAGGCTGTACTGTGACTGCACCTTTCGTTTTTCGCAGTATACTGCGAGCTCTCACGAGGTGAAATTTCATGAAACTAGTGAGTGCACTCTGTTTAGCATGTGGCACTAACACAAACCTCTTGTTCTAGCTGACCACAGTAATCATACGTATGCGATTGTGATAAGATGGCCCAAAAAATTTTTACAGACACTAATTGTGACATTTTTCAATCATTTACAAGTGGCGTGGTTAGCTGTGAGCAATGAGGAAAGCCTAACAAGAAAAGCAGCTGCCACGAGAGCTACTACATGTAACACTGTTTTTAAATCTCTAGCTGGCATGAGCGCAAAAGGACATCAAGACACAGATTTTCCAAATGCCAAGAATGCTAGCCAGCTGGCCCTGCAATGTTAATTTGAACTTAAATGCTGCACTGTCAAATAAAAAGTGGCAGTGCCATTAAACAACATCAGAGTGCATACGCTATCAAGAATTCATACAGCAGTTTATGGCTCATTTTCTACCACACATTCACCTTAGAAACTCCATCAAAGACAACAAAAAAGAAAAGTAAACCCACCTCCACACACTTCTTCATCCCACTACTAGCAGCATAATGCAAGGCAGTGTTTCCGTCCTGAGAAAAAAAAGGAGAGAGAGGGGGAAGAGAGATGTCAAAATAAAAGTGCAGCACTGTCTAAGGCTGGTAGTTATGGTTAGTCAAAGGATAGTGAAGAAAAATACTAAATCATACTAGACCAGCGAGTTGAACATCGTTGCCAGCTTGGTTAGATTTATTGTGAGGTCGAAGGGTACTCTAGTGATCTCTATTAAATACATGCTGTGAATGCCGCTTCCTGTCCTATCTATGCCTGCAAATTCCCTACCTCATGGCACCACAAAATACCTTGCAATCCTCAACTACTTTTGGATTTTTCATCCACATTTAACTTTTCTGACTACTGCACACATTTGATTTAATATCTCCTCTTCCCTACCAATTCAAATGAATATGACGAGAGGCTATACAGCAAAGCCTTGATATAACTAACATGGATATACGTAATGTCTTTATGAATAAAAAGAAGAGAACCTGGAACATTTCGTGAGAATATCAGCCTCTTATGACTATTTCCACTATCTAATACATGCATGTTACACCCTTTATAACTGACTGAATGATCAGCTGAATCTGGGTAGGAAAAACAGTGAGAGCTAAACATTTTCCTTCAAGTGGAAATGAATACTCAGCACTCTCAAAAGTTCATTTGCAAAATTAGCACATATTTAATAGTAAGGACCACTATTCAATCCAAATCCCAACAATTGCACACCCCTATGTACTTTCCATTTTTTCACTCAGAACCTGCTAATCTATCACTAGCTGAGTATGTCACAAAGTCAAAACTTTGATTTCGCTAACACTTTACCAGTTACTAACAACGGTATTGTAGCAAGGGAAAAAATGTCGGCTTGCATGTGCCCAGTGTGTGCGTGTGTGTCAAAGAGTGAAGCCAGCCAAGCACTAGCATTTCCCTTTGCACACTATTCTTTGCACAACCATCTTTTAGCTTATGCCAATCATTTGCAAATTCCATATTTTAATCATTGCTTAACTTGGTGACAGCCTATGATAAGACCAAATATAGCTCTTATCTGTTGCTTTAGAAACTTTTTATATTTCCTGAAGCGCCAAAATTCTTGCCGTTAAAATGTTCTGAAATCTCCACGCCTCTACTTCAGAGCCTCACATAGAGACAAAAAAAAAAGTGACGTGAAGCCCCACACAAAGATCCAATTAGTGCAAATCCAATTAGTACAGTCACAGAAACATCATGTATCAAGGAACCGTCTCAGAGCAAGTTTGTATGGCTTCACATACATCGACCAGCTTCACAGCTTTTTAAAAGTCAATGGCCTTTTACATACAAAACACTCGCACATTTACACTACTTATGCAAAACTTGATTAACACCCGTGAATTTAAGCTGTTTGGTAAACATACAGGCAAGCCTGATAAGAGTCAGAAGGCTGGCTTACTATATTAAGCTCAATATTATGCACTTTCCAGTTTTATTCAACTGGACGCTTTTTAGCATGTCTGCTATAAACCACATTGTGTCACACAGACAACCTTTAGATTGCATCATACTCTACTTTCTTAGAAGTGCAGCTAGTCCTGAACAAAACAAGTCCTGACAATGGCTTTTTTATTTAGATTTTAATAATATATTGCCTTCCAGCAGACTTTTATGAAAATTTTACAAATACAGTAAACATTAAATGAGTATGAGCTCGCTTACCGATTTCAATGCAGCCTTTAAAGTCCTACAAACTTTGTTCATCCATACTAACAATTGCTTTTAAGAGACTTCAGTAGGACTCTTCCCTCATTTACTAGAGAACATGTCAGCAGTAACACTGAAAACCCACTTGATGTACACAGTGGGTGGAAAGGGCAGTATTGTGTGAATAACTCATCTACATAAATATGGTTATATTGACACAATGCTTGCATTTAAATTTCTTTTTCTTTTTAGTGAAAAGGGTCTAAAGAAGAAGCACCCACTACAGCCACTGAAAAGCTGACATAACTGTGGCTATAGCAATATAGCGACAACAAAAGCAGTTCAGTTAGTGATTTAAAATCTAATGAAGCCCTGAGGCAAGAAAATAAATACATAGAGCCCCCAAGCTGCCTGTAAAGATATATAATACACAGAAGCTAATCATGACATGACTGTGAGCATTCTACAGCAGCTCCCATTGAATTCAGGCCCTCAAAGCTGCAGTGGCTCACTGTACTTTTTAGTAAATAAAGTAACCTGATTACGTGTCATTGATTGCATAGAATAGCAGCTGGACGACTGCATGCATATCAAATTTTCAAGTTATCAATTAATTACAAAACCATTAAAAGATACAACTGAGCAGGAGCAACTGATTACATGTAATTCACTACACACAAGTTTGTATGGGTGCCAAAGCAATACATTTAGAAACAGAAATGCCAGCGCAACCTCAACCTTGGCTGAACTTTTTTTCCTCACTGCCTAAATTATTTAGGGTTGCCAACAGAAAAAAAAACGCAACCATGACAAAGTGACAGACATATCTTGCTGCAAGCCCAACAGTAAAATAACAGAGCACATGCTCGTAGAGCACACACGCATGCAATCTTCAACCTGTTACATTGTTTGCACTGTTACTTTACACCTGCCCATAATGTGCGCCAGAAAACAGTCTTGCAATTTCGGAAAGTTGTTTCTTAGTGGCTAGTAATAATGCTATACAATAGTATACAGGAACAGCGGATGCTCACATTATCTTTCGCATTGAGGTCTAACGCTTCTCCGTCATAACCCCGCCATTGGATGAGAAGGTTAAGACAGTTCACTCGGCACTCCACTTGTGTCAAGTCAGGACTGCCATGGCTGGCACAGTGAAGTGCAGTTTCTCCATGGCCTGACCTGATCGTCGGGTCCCCCTGCATCTCCCGCAGGAAGATCCTGTTAACACAAACGTCACGTGAAGTTCAGTGCACGAAATCGAAATCCGCATTTCGCGACAAGAGCAACCACATTGTTTTAGTTAGTATTGCTCTCTCCCCAGAGCATGTGACAACTTAAGTTGCTTGTCCGCTCCTCTTTTCCTCAATACCTCCATTAAACCTGACTCTCATGTTCGAAAGCACGAGCGAACAGAAAGCGGCATAATGAGGCCCCCACATTAAAGCGTAACTAAACGAAGGTGAGTTGAATTTGTGAAGTATCACCTTGTGCATAGACACAAAACATGCATATTACTAGAACTGAAACTTGGACAAGTATGTAAGCATGCTCAAGATGTAGGGACACGTTTTTAGGGATGCTCCTGCTCAAGAATGCACTGCATATTATTTCACGATGTAGCAGAAACACACTTCAAGTTATTTGAATTTGTTGAAGATGCTTTCCTTTTTCATCTGGTAGCATTCAGTAAAGAGCAGCCCTGCATCTCCTTCTATCACAGGGCATAATACTACATGCGAATTTCTCAACTTATCTAAAGAAACTGTTATACAATGTTGAAAAATTTGCGACAGAAATTTTAGGTGTTGCCAACAGACACCTTTTGCAACCATGCATGAAATTTATGAAAACCTTCCACCAATAGGATGCTTGATGAATTACCTCACGGACAGCGCACCTTGTCATGCGATGCATGTCTTTTTTGAAGGACTATGCATGCATGAAAATTTATCAAAACCTCCACTAGAAAGTTATCACTAATGAAGGCAATACATCAACATGCATATAAGGAATATTGGCACCCTCATTCCCATGTGGCAGGAAAAAACAAGAGCCAGCCACATTTTCACAGTCCACATTTTCACAGGCCAGCACAACCGATCTGCTATGTAGTCTGTTCCACTGTGAACATTTGTAGAATGCATATGATCCTCTCTATGTAGGTAATGCACTGTTTTGGAAGAAGAAAATCCTGACGCCACTCTTTGTTGTCAAAGGAAACAAAATAAGAGTTATCTTCCATCACATGTGGCTGATCCAATTCCAGACCTAAGGCAGAGGGCACCTGATTTATGTTTCATGATGAGCTCCTGCTTCTAACATCTCAACATTCACATAATCTTAACATTATACTTGTATTTTCCTTTTTTGATTACAATAATTGCCGAGCCTTTTCAGCTTATCGCCATCTTGGTGTGCATGAGACATGCACTTCACAAATGTGGAGTCAAGCACTGGACATAAGAGATATAGGCTTCGACAAATGTCAAGCTATCAGCTCAATGTTTCTTAAACAAACAGTGCTCGTACTGAACATGTTAATGGCACACAAAACTTCCCAAAATTTCATTTTCAATCTGAACTAACTCCCCCTCCTATGATTAGTATTCAGGTAATTATATAATGCAAAAGGAACCATGAGATATAAAGCTGACAACTTCATTAAGGTGTCTCTTTTTACACGTGTTTCAATGCTTTATGTTTATTTTTATTAATACAACCAAACAATTAAGTCAAGATAATTCATGCCAGTCCTGCATGAATACTTTGTACAGAATAAAAAATTGTAACTCCTCCCCCAAAGGATGGCGCAACCTTCCTTACTCATATCGCAATGTCAAGCAATCAGCCAAGCTACATAGACAACTTCGTCCAGTTAAACAACACAACTGTAAAATGATCCAAGAAAGTTACTGAGCATGAGCTAACATCTGTGAAAAGCCCATCTAACAAGGTGCAACTCCGTGATTTCAATCACGCTGAGTCACACGTTCAGTAATAGTTCCCTTAAACTCTTCCGGTGCGTCATTTTTCAAAACCTGCATCGTAAAACTTTTCGATGACACCAGGCCTGTCACAATTGTTGAGCGACCATTAAAAATGTAGGACGCAAGCTGTGTCCCCATGGCCCATTAGATATTTTTTCAATCAAATATAGTTGCAAAAAAATTTTTCAAATTAAGCTTCTTGAAGAAAAACAAAATCATCCAGGACAGAAGGTAGTGTACGTAGAGAATACATGTAGAGCAATCACGGCTCCTGCAATATATAGTAAGTGAAGTGAAGTGTGTGTGTGCGTGTGCGTGTGCGTGCATGTGTGTGCGTGTGCGTGTGTGTGTGTGTGTGTGTGTGTGTGTGTGTGTGTGTGTGTGTGTGTGTGTGTGTGTGTGTGTGTGTGTGTTTAGAATAGCAAACTGGTTGTCCAAACAAAAAGCTATAAAATTTCAGAGCTCCACCGTAACTACGAATAAATGTCGTACTGAGCACTTGTCTTAAATGATTTCAATTATTCAGACATAATGCAGACTACTAATAGTTGAGTGACAAGAATAGAATTTTCTGAAAGCAATGACATAAGAATCTGGGCTCTCACCTGCTACTACATCACACTAGGAAAATGATGGACGCGGGCCGAAATGGGGCAGTAAAAAGCAATGAAGGCCAAGGTAAGGCAGTGGATGTACTATAAGCATCGATGATGTCGCATAACTAACCCCATATATGGTCTCTTTCGGTAAGTAAAACAACTTACTGCTTGTCCCAAACACAGGGACAACGACACTAGTTCACAATAACATTTACGAAAAGAAATATTTCTTGCACATCTCGTGAAGCTTAACGGAAGGAATACTGCTGCTGTTATATGCAGGGCAAGTGAAAAAACGACGTTCTTAAAGAGTGTATAACATAAGGATGGTTTCTGTATCCCCATTGAATGAGTAACGAGCAATAGGATGCCGTCACACTTTGATGTTTACAAAACAAAAGAGTGTAATGCCAAGTAACGTATACGTGATGCGTAAACTTCCGTTCGCGGTAGAGTTGCATAAGTTATTAAATGCAGAAATCTGCCATGTGTACTCCAGCGGTACTCCTCTGAGCAGGCCACTCCCCTCGGACGACCACTTCCCTTCTTTTGCCTGCGGCTTTTTTTTTTTTTTGTCTTTTAACCCTCTACCAACGCAAAATAACAAGTGCAGGAAGCGACCGTGAAGCCACAAATGTAGACGGCACCGTGACTAAAACGGGCAATCTTTCAAGTTATGCGCGCTCTACACAAAACTTCGATAGAAATTCGTGTCAACCACCTGTTCGTGGAGTGCGCATCAATATGTCACGAAAGGTTCGATGTTAATAGTGGAAAAACAAAAAGCAGATGAGCAACTTCGCCCGCGCACTGGGACACTATAAGCGTTTTACACGATTGTGTCACTGCTGACCAGAAAATTTTTTGTTCATTATCCCTAATACAAATACACAGGCACGCAATCGCGCAACAATGAGATATAAAGGGAGCGCATGGGAGTAGAACAAGAAAAGAGATCCGCGCGCAATAATATTAGCACCCCCAGACCAGAGTTTCAAGGAAAGCCCAGTGCGAAGTGATATATATTATACGGCGTAAATTATGTAACCCGAACGCACGCAATAAAAAGTCTCCGTCAGTTCCTACTTTTTGTTTGTTTAGTTGGCATTTCTTACTACAAAAGAACAAAGGCGATCAAATGACTGCCAGCAACCGCGCGCGTGATCTTGCTCCTCGTCTTGCGGCTTCAGATTAACAACAGCGAAAAATATTTGCACGGTCGTACAGGACACGCGTAAGCATTCTTATCTTAAGGTAGCTTCAACAAAGGCGCTCGGCAAATAAGACGAAACAGGCTCCGAATGTGCGCGAATCCAAGTGGGAAAATGAGCATTCTTACCTCAGTAACGGTCTCATCCCGTGTTTGGCAGCTAGGTGGACGGGTGTGCACCGATTAACGGAGTCCCCGTAAAAGCAGTTGGGATCGAGAGACTTGCGCAGTTCAGAGCAGCTCAAGTAGATCTGAAGCGCCGAGTACCCGTCGCCGTTCTCTAGGTGCCTGCGAAACTTGCTCGACGTGCTTCCCATGACCAAGTCAGCTGATCGCCGCTAGCACTCGCATAAATCGTCGTTGCCTCGCTACAGCGAAACAGTTCATTCCCGGCGCGAACCCGGAAGCAAACCAAAAAGCCTAACCTAAGAAAAGTCTACGTTCTGTCTCTTCAAGACATCGTGGCACACTGGAAGCAAAGCTAAGAGACAAAGCCACTCATACTCATTCAACAAAGTTTCGTCGAACAGGCCACTATCTGAACATCGCGCAGCGCCCGCACCTACAGTTCTGCAGGGCTCCAGATCTCATCCGCGTGCTTACACAACACCCTGCAACCTTCTCGGCAAAGTTTCCTTCGAGTAACGTGCTCACGGGAGCTGCAGTCGCAGGATGAACACACAAGCACATGACTAACATGACGCTTCGCCACTCGAGGCCATAACAACCGCACAACGGGAGAAGCGGATGCTCGTATCTCGTGACAAAGTTCGCTAAATTTGACGAGTGAGCGAAAACGAAACCGAAACCACCAGATTTTTCTTTTCTAGCATAACTGCATGTAGCAATACTATGGGCCCTATATTGCCATGTCCAAATTTATTTCCCTGTGATTATGAAGGTCCGCGATGTATAAAGAGTTTTGTTTAAAACCACCTGCGTGGAAGATACTTATCATGTTCAGGAGTTCTGTGCATGTCGTGGTTCTGTGGATGCGCGCTGCAGATTGCAGAATCGAACGTCATAATAACGAGGTGCTGCTACAGATGAGCTGTAAAGCAAATGAATATATGTGAAGGTTTATTGCACTTTGTACGTCTGTCTAATGCAGCCAGGACATCTAGGACAGTGTCAAAAGAGCTAGCACTGGAACTTTCACAGGACTTCACGCTTCAGCCTTTCAGAGCTTGTTCGAGAGCAAAAATTAATGAAATAACACCGACGACCCACTTTCTTCAATATTCATCTCCGATTATTCCAGGTAAAGAGACATCTCAGTCAAATGTAATGGGCATAGGCACACGCACAAGTAGGTCAGGAGGGTGGGAGTGGGACATCCTAATCGAATGTCCTCCATTACGAACTGTTAAGATAATCTCGTCCTTCACTACGATCACGAGCGAAGCGTGCGATGGTAACACGTACTCCAGCAAAGGTACGTCCAGATAGATGCCACTTTACGCGCGCAGTATCCCCGACCCTCCTCTGAATCGGGCTTTCTGTAGCACGTGTACACCCTCGTAGAAATGGTTCACCGCTGTCAGCGACCCAAGTAACTACGGATATCCGCTGGCTGTCCATTCTGAATACAAGTGTCCGGCCGTATGGATATCCATCACGGATAGCCGATAGATGCACTGTGAAAATCAATGTCCCGTGCGGTTGTTCTATGGGCGGCCGAACTGTATGTCCGACCGGACATTAGGTTTTGAACGTTCACTGGCTGTCCATATATGGACATGCCAAGTATATGCCAATACATGTAACTGTAATTATAGTTACATATAAGGACATGCCAATTACAATAATTGATTATCAAATATTGTAAAAGTTGAATGTAGTGAAAATATATATAGATCTGCAGAATCCAGGCCAACAATCTTGTAAAATTTTATTAAAAACGCTACTATAAAATTCAAATTTCGGCACAGCTTTTTATCACAGGATGCCAAATAATCCTGCTTCATGCGGCAAAATATGTGTATCGTATGTCATAAGAAGCAATGTATTTAGTGTTATTATTATCTCATGTCAACTGACCAAAAATGCGTATCGAGCGCGACATAGCAGTCATCAGTTTCGTCGTACAGGCCACTATCTGAACATCGCGCAGCGCTCGCACCTACAGTTCTGCAGGGCTCCAGATCTCAAACGCGTGCTGACACAACACCCTGCAATCTTCTCGGAAAAGTTTCCTTCGAGTAACCTGCTCACGGGAGCCGAAGTCACAGGATGAACACACAAGCACATGACTAACATGACGCTTCGCCACTCGAGGCCATAACAACCGCACAACGGGCGAAGCGGATGCTCGTATCTCGTGACTAAGTTCGCTAAAATTGATGAGTGAGCGAAAACTAAACCTAAAGCATCAGATCTAGGAACCTTAGCCAAGAGCACGATTCCTCCTCCCACCAGCAGAGCGCGTTTAGAACGGAATTTGAACTTGGGTCCGCCCCGTAGCAGCCCAGCATTCGACTACAGAGTCATGCAGTTTTAGGAGCGAAGCTCCTTAAGCACAAAGATGAGCGCACCCGAGTCATTGTCGTGGCCGCGCAGATGCCATGCGAACAGGTGCCTTGTATTAGCAAGCCCTCCGTGGCTCTGTCCGAGAAGGAACTAAGGTTCCTCGAAGGTTTCGGTGCGCACAAGTAGTTATATTATCTTCACTTTTCTGTTTCGTTTTCTTATTGATTTTTTTGCCCTTTTTCTGTGCTTTTGTTTTTCTCTTACTCATGTTCTGCCATTTGTGCCATATGGTTTTTATCACATGGTTACTGTCTCCTCTATTTATTTTCGCGCTCTGCACAATAAACTCAGTTGGAAGTTAGCGCTCGTGTCCTTCTTGTCTCTGTGTCGTCGTTTTGTTCTCGCGCTTAACTATCGTCATGCCATACCAACTAGCCCAAGCTGCCACACTCCTGATGTGCGAGTGCGCGAAGCAGAAGCGTGCCGTGAAGCTGCGCGGCGGCGCCGACAAGATCCCGGCGTACGAGAACGGGAGGCCGAAGAAGCAGCAGCGGCGTGCGGACCCAGCTTCTCTCCACTCTCCATCATTCACCCCATAGATATGCTGTCATTTTTTTTTCCTTTACACCAGAGAGACGTGCCGGTGCTCTAACTTTCCTCACGAAGAGACCCTACAAAGGCGTCCTGTTGGGAAGGAATCGCGTCAACATATGCAATGTAGCATGGTGAAAGAGTAAAATAACCAGTCGTCACGCAATGCGAATTGCATAACGAGTGGGTCGTTGAATGTTTCCGACCCATTACAGTAGACTCTGCTATAATTCATCAGCCAATGACCAACAAACAACACATAATGTCTTACAAATGCGAACCGGATACCTCGCTTCGAACATTATCAAATAATTATTATGGTATAGGTGACTTTCAAACTTGAGAAAAATTACAATATATAGGGTGGTGGGTACCTTGCAAGTGTACGTTTAATAGTAGCCCAAAAAGAGTATACGACGGCCTCTGGAAAGTTCCGTTCTTCCATCTTTCGCCGTGATTGTGCTGCGGTTTTCGCGCAGGCTTGTCCACACGCTCACAATAAAGCTAAATAAAACAAGGCTTGAAATGTTCAAAAGTGGGCCACAATAAACGAGCAAGCTCTAAATTTATTAACAGAAATAGCCAAAAATCAATCGGTACAATTAAACTAAAATCGCTAAGTTTCGGAATACTGCGGCCGATTCCGGCACCGCGCAAAGAGGGCGCCACCGCAGAACACCTCTGAGGGACCTTCAGTTAGGCGCAGGGTCCCTAGAAAAAAAGAAGCTTTTACCGAGGAACCTTAGCCGAAGCGCGCGATTCCTCTCCACCAGCAAAGCGCGGTTTGGCAACGCCTCCTGAAAAGACGGCGTCGAACGCCACGCAAATCCCGAGCTGAAAGGGGCCCTGCAACACTTCTTGAGCATGATCAGAAAACGCTGCCGATCGGTAGTAGAGGCTCCCGACAACACGCGAGCCAAATATTGTAGCGCAGTACGCGGCCTGGAGGTAACAGTAAATTATTAGTACGCTAAATATTGATTTCTCTTCTCTCCACAAATGACGGAAGACGCTCAAAAATCTACCTATAAGCCATTGGCAGACTTTGAACATGGCGCGCTTGGTCGTTACGGAGATTACAGCGGGAGGCCGCCACTTATCCACGCGTGCTATAATTACTGTATATGCTACCTTTAGGTTGCCTAAAGGTAGCATATACAGTAACTCTAACGCGCGCGATCACACTGAAAAAGCCGCGCATACGAAAAAAAAAAATCTGAAGGTCACGAGGCTCACATGAAGCATTCTCTTTGACCCTGCCATCCCTCCTTGCGCTTTCATCAGGACGAGAGAGAATGCAATTGCAGCATCCGACAAATCTTTGTAACCCCACTCGCACTGGACGGATTTTTAAAATTTTTGCGGCAATAAGCTCTTCCAGTGAGCCCCGCCGTAATGGTCTAGTGGCTAAGGTACTCGGCTGCTGACCCGCAGGTCGCGGCATCGAATCCCGGCTGCGGCTGCTGCATTTTCGATGGAGGCGAAAATGTAGGCCCGTGTGCTCAGATTTGGGTGCACGTTAAAGAACCCCAGGGGGTCAAAATTTCTGGAGCCCTCCGCTACGGCCTCTCTCATAATTATATGGTGGTTTTGGTAGATTAAACGTAACATATCTAGCTCTTTCAGTGAATTCATTACATGGTTACTTGAAAAAGTGTTTGAGAGCTCCTTGAAGGCTCAGCGAACAGCCATAGACCGACAAGCAACATTGCTCTGTGCCTCACTAAGTGAAGGCTCAGTGTGCAGCTGAAGAACGAAAGCGACAAAAATTGAAACTGCAGCTCGTCAGGCAGGCAAACAAATCTTAAAGGAGCACTAAAAAGAAAGAATGACATCGTCTACAGTGACGAACTGCACTCTGATTACTAATATAACTAATGCTATATGTTTCAGTATCATAAGTTCATTATTAGCGGAGAAAATCTAAGTTGAAGTTTCATTTTTAAGTTTCACGCTAAGATTTCTTTACATGAAACAAAAAATTTTAAAGTACTTTTTGTATTTTGACAACATTGGCTTAATGAAATTTTCTGAAACAGATGACAATGTCCTTCATTTTTATAGATTAAAAGCTATGTAGGACCCAGTAGGCACCTTCAAAATTTATGCTGTCAAGGTGTTTCCTACCTGCATTTTCTCCCTCTTACCAAGCTTTGTGTTGCAGTAAGAGTTCAGTCTTCGAACCAACTTTCGGAATAGTGAAATTGTTCTTTAAGTTATATGCATGAAATATCTAGCCACAGTATGCCAGATGGCAGCTGCATAGTGCCAGAACAACCCAACCACCTCTCCCGTGCGTGAGAACGCAACCACAGTGTAACATGGTATAATCGCCATTATACAATACTGCACATCACATGTTAAAACTGCATGATAGCGTAATACCCACACTGCAACACCAGTCGCAGCACCATAACAATAGCAAAAATGCAATAACAGTACGCCGCTACTCGCTGGGTACCTGCGCCAAGCACTTCCTCGATTTCATGGTAGTGGAGCTGCTGTATTCTTTAGTTTGCTTTTAAATGGCAACTTCAAGAAGGTTGAAGGAGAGGGGTGCAATTTCAAGGCTCGATTTCCTTGTTGGACACAATATTAATTGCCGAGGGCAACACACTAGGGTAGCCTTCTTACACACAATATCCGGAGGGCATAGAGCTTTGTTTTTGTTGCTTAGGTGATACGGCGCTTTCACTCGCAGCGTTTGTAAATATGCTGTGTACTGTAAAGCACCGATCTGTCGAAGCTTAGTGATCCTGCACAGGAATTACCGTACTTACATTGCAAATCTGCTTTTGGACATGCGTCGTCCAGCCGTGACAAAGGCCTGGCAATTAGGCAGGCAGTCTGAACTAACAGCAAATATGGCAGGGCAGATGTTTTAGAGGACCTTTAAAGTATACACAAAAGCAACAAAAAACGATTATGCCCTTGCTACAGTTTTTTAACGCAAGGAAAACACATGACACCATCGTAGTAAACGATACTGACTCCATCCTTTCTTTTTTATTTCTGCCAAGAAGGGAGGTTGGAATGGCAAGGGCCAGTATGCCAACAGTTGTTCAACCACCCCATATGCACAAGATTTCGTGGGGCACAAAGACTTCTTTCAAACAACCAATGCTGTCAGTTTTTTTTTCCTCCTCTCTTCAATACAAACACTGTACAAATAAAAATAGAACTAATTGCCCAAGCACACAGGGAAAAGGGACGAGCAGGAAGGGTTATCTAGAAAGTGATAGAAAACAGAGCAAGTAAAATACACAGAAGTCGCAAATTGGAGAAATAAGATCGTCAAGGTGAACCACGGGGGAGACAATTCACAAAGATTCAAAAAGGTGACATGCTGGAAATGATGGGCTTCAAACACGATTGTGAAACTAAAACAGTGCTCAGCACCAAAGAAAAGCCCAATTACAAGAAAATCATGCAATAAATCTGCCAATATGTTTCTTTGTAATATGCCTAATCTGTAATTATGATAACACTGTTAAGACTCTTGCCTATGGCATCTCGGTTAAGGCACTTGCCAAATTGACTCATCATTACATTACTTTGTTTCCCCTGAGCTACTCAACAAAATGCAAACTAGAAACATAAGCTAGAGTGCTTTGAAGCTGATTTAGAAAGAACACACACTTCGGACAAGGAGCAAAGCAACACTAAGCTGAACACGTAGATGCTCTGAGAGGGCAAGAAAGGGAATGTTGCAAGCAACATAAGGATGGCCTGACTTACCACACACACTACTTGCATGTGCGCACCATTCAAGCTGCCCGGAAGGTGGTTACACACTGCTGCAAGGATAAACACCCTGGTGTCACTGCTCGTTTGTGACTCTGAGCAGTATTTTTTATTTTATTATTTCCCCCCCCCTTCCTCTCTTTGGTGAAGGAGCAATAGTGACTATTGTCTCCATCAGAAGTAGGAAATATTTTCCCTCACCACCGCCACGCACCCTCCATAGCCTGCACATGTTGCACCCTTCCTGCACCAATGGCTACACCATGTTGGCTAGACCTTGTTTAGCCATTCGCTCAATGTGCATAATTTCAGATCAGGAACTATTTGAAACCTTCCATGTTTCAGAGGGCGTTCTACTTCCCTGCTGACAGAGGAATGCAATCACACCAGCAGCAGAAGGAAAAGCACAACATGGCCGGCTACTTGAGTTGAGTGAGCAGCTTTGAAGGGTACTGTAATGTACACAGTCCTGCATTTACGAAAACAAGAAGTATTGGTTAAATGGCAGTAACACAACAAAAAATAAAGAGGGGGGATGGCGGTGGAAAGGCAGAGGCTGGTGGGCAGCATAGAAAGGTCTAGAAGAGAGCAGCTGTCAGGAGGGACTCCTCGTCCTCCTTGTGTGGCCAACATGTGTCCCGGAGCCCCCCTTTTCCCTGGCGCCATCTGCTGTAGGTGGGAGGGGAGGCAGTAGTGTGTCCCAGAGCAGCCTCCGCACACACCCATCAACCATGCACTGCACTTGCGTCGCACTTTTTCAGCCACGGATTTGAGACAGAGAGAAGAGACGGGGCCGCCACTCCAGGCAGGGGTGACACGAGTGCCAGGCACGCACCCTCCTGGGGGACCCACAGTGGCATGCCCAAACGTGGCACTTATCTGAAACAGAGCAAAATGAAAGGTTGAACCCCAAAGAAAGCACTGTGCCTTCAGAGTGTTTAAATTACTACATCGATCTATCTTATCTTCGTCCTAATGCATAGCACTACTTGGCAAGTTGGTTGAAAGTTTTCCTGTGAAGCTGAACAGTTTCTGAGGTCGGAACAATGACAAATAGAAACACAGCAAAGATGCCAATACACAAGATGCCAATAAGAAGGGAAAAAAAAAAAGACAAGGAAGATTCATGCATACAATTTAAATTGTTACACTTAGGTGTATACAGTTAAACATTGATAAAACAAACTTCAATGTAACTGACTTCCCACTATAACAAAGCATTTCAGTTTTTGAGAGTTATATAAGATATAATACGATAAGATATATATAAGATATATATATATATAAGATAGCATGCCTTAACGAAACAGCGAGTATGTTTACCCGTGATTTAACCGATAAGAGCCGATGAGAACCGATGAATGTTCCAATTACCCGAAACTTTTCATTATGAAATACAGCCGACGTCTAATTTCCTCGACCCTCAAGGGACCCCGAAAATGTTTGGAAAAACGAATGCACACGAAAGGGCACCTTTTTTAACGATATTTTTCACTGACGAATAGGGTCATGGCAGAAGTACAAGATTCGTATTGCAATCCAGTAAACACATATTCAAGTGCCCCTAAAATTAGCCGTAAATAAAAAAGAAAAATCTGATGTGGCTGGTACTATCTCATCGGTCAACACTTCCTCTAAAAAAGGTAACAGATTTTCTTTTGCACGTCGTTCTGCTTGCTTGCGATGATGTCTGCCTCAACTTCAGTAACGTCATGTTGTCGCTATACACCGATGACAGTGTCAATGGTCACGTCAACTCCGAGCTCGTTGGCTGAGTAGGCACTGCCTCTTCGGTCTCGGTGTCGGAGTTGTCCAAATCCTCCGTAACTTGACGAATGATTTTGTCATTGGTATATTCCTCACACCACATGAGGTCTTTGTTAGCGTCAGTGAAGTCCTCAACGCTGACTCGGCTGAAATCGAAACGCCGGCAGCGTGCATATCATTGAAAGCAACGTCCACGGACGAACGTTAGTCATACACGCTGTCCACATCGGACGAGACAGCTGTTTTGGCGTCATTGTGAAGCCCACGTAGCGAAAACAGTCCTGTGGAGTCTCTTGCTTAACCACTTTTAACGATTCTGCAAGCATGCCGATAGCAGACCAGAGGTCTACAGCACAACGTTTCCCTCTGTCGGAGCACAGCACCATGCTGCAGAGCATGCATAAATTCTGAGGATGCTTCAAGTTGCGAATCGCGCCTTTGGTCCATTGGCTGCAGGATTGCTGTGGCGTTCGGCAGCAGAAATTTAAATACAGTTGAACCTCGTTATAATGAGACAGGCTATAACGAAATAATAGATAACGAGCAAATCCTAATTCCCCTTGAAAGTCCCCATACAAACTAATGTATTCAAAACCTCGTTTTACAAGTCAAAATTTGCCTGTTATGGGATATAACAAACAAATTTTGTTAGGAAGTAAAATTTTGAGCTGATGTCACGACAGTGCACAACGCGAATTTGAGACGGCGCACAACACGAGAAGTGTATTAGCAGTTAAAAACTCCCGCCACGCGCCCTCCAGCAACACGCGCAATGCAGACGGCACGCGCTGTTTCCGGAGGAGAGGTCGCTGCACGTGCGCCGCTTGGCTACCACCGACAGCGGAGTGCTCCACAGCTCCGCGAACGTCTCGCCCTTTTCTTTTGTGTCTTCTTTATATTCTCCCTCTCCCCTTTCTCATGGCGCTGAGGCGCGCTTCCTAATCTTACATACCCCCTTCCCCTTGAGTAACCGGTTCCTAGAGGGCAGCGCAAAAGAGCGCCCCTTCTGCCCCTTCTGCCCCTTCCTCTTCACAGTCACTTTCTCTGCAAGTGTTGTCGCTCGCCGACGTGAGCCGCATTGCTTTTGCGTGCGTGCTTCTTCTCTTTTTCGACCGCTTCCGCCTTATCTTTTATCGTGCTGCACTCGTGATTCGAGCAACATGAATGCGCCAGGCGGGAAGCGAAAATGCATAACGCTAGATCAGAAGGCGACTATGATAAGAGCCGTCGAATTGGGGACCAAGAAAGGCAACGTGGCAAGAGACTTTGGCATATCGACGAGCACATTGTCAACCATCCTGAGCAAGCAGGAGTCCATCATCGACGCTGTTGCATGTGGCGTGAAAGGAAGCGCTAAGAGGATGAGGGCACCTGCCTTTGAAGCGGTCGAAAGGGCCGTTTTTAAATGGTTCTTGGACACGCGGGCCGTGAATCTGCCGGTGAGCGGCGCCTTGCTGCAAAAAAAAGCGAGAGCCTTTGCCTGAATCATGGGCTATGACAACTTCGTAGCAAGTTCGGGTTGGCTCCAACACTTCAAGGAGCGCCACGACAATGTCGGGAGAGCGGTCTGCAGCGAATTGCAATCTGTCGACAAAGCAGAGGCTACCAAGTGGGCGAAAGAAAACATTGTGCAGCTGCTAGAAAAATACAGCGCGGAGGATATTTTTAACGCGGACGAAACCGCTCTCTTTTTCAAGATGTTGCCGCACAAGACGTTAGCCCTCAAAGGCGAGCCCTGCCATGGCGGCAAACAAAGTAAGCTGCGGATCACTGCGCTACTTCGTGCAAACATGACCGGCTCTGAGAAGCTGCTAATTTTCGTAATTGGCAAAAGTGCAGCCCCTCGCTGCTTTAAGGGGAAGAGGCAGCTCCCAGTCAAGTACGTAGCCAATCGCAAAGCCTGGATGACCAGGGAGATTTTTTCAAAATGGCTTTGCGAATGGGACGAGAAGCTGGCAAAGGCGAACCGCAAGGTGTGCCTTGTTTTAGATAACTGCACCACCCACCATACCGCTGCCATGCTTCAAAACATCGAGCTGCTGTTCCTTCCTGCCAACTGCACAGCAAAAATACAACCGCTTGACCAAGGCGTGATTATGTCGCTGAAGGCAGGTTACCGCAAGCGTGCGATAGACAAGCTCCTGCTCAACATGAGGATGAAGCGAGACACCGATGTTGACTTGTACGCTGCGCTCGAAATGCTTCAGGCGGCGTGGATGAGTGTGACGGCGACCACGATCGCAAACTGCTTTCGACACGCCTCATTTGCCATTGCACCAGACGCCAGCGATGAGCCATCAGACGAGCCCACTGTGCCGGACGGTTTTGCCACATCAGACGAAGTCGCTGCATCATGAACGGCACTTCGTGACGCCGGTGTCGTGCCTGACAGCGAGTCGTTTTGCGACTATGTGGGTGCGGACTCCGAAGTGGTGGCAACAGAGCAGCTCCTGGATGACGATATTGTGCGCGCTGTCAGTGATCGTAACGAAACCAATTGACGATGACTCTGTCGACGAACAGGAGACAAACGTGCCGACGGCGTCGGAGGCATTAGACGCGGTGGACGTACTGCGCCGCTACTTCGGCACTCACGAGGGCGGCGAAGATGGCTTGAACATTGCGGCCGCAGCTGAGCGAGCCATCGTTCGCATCAGGAAGATGCATCAACGTCCAATTACGGACTTCTTTGCAGCTAAGTCTGCCTGAAATGCAAGCTGTGTATTTTGAAAAGCATTAAAACAGGTGCATGACTTTTTCCTTTTTATTTGGGAATGCAGTTATTTTGTTGCATACTACCGTGCGGCGGGATGCTATTTCGCCCGCTATTTCTTTCGGGTAAGTACAGTGCATAATATTTGCGGTAAATGCCCGCTACGGCTATAACGAGCAAATAGCGGCAACCCTCCAATTTCGTTATAACGAGGTTTAACTGTAGTACAGCTCTTAGGTCCTTAATGTGGCCATGCACAGCGCAGTTATCCACAAACAGAGGAACTTTTCGAAGTTGCTGCACGAGCCTTTTGTCCAGCTTGCGCACGTCCACTTGGAATAGCTGCTGTCACCCACTCCTCCTTGTTTACTCCGGAGAGGACAGAGAGTCACTGCCCCCTTGAAACATCTTGAATGCTTCGACTTCCCTGCTACAAGCAACGGAGGCTTCTTGCTATCCCAAAATGTTTTTGCCAACGAGAACAGTGAGCTGCTCCATGCTACACTTGGCACCGTGGCTGAGGTCACCACCAAACGCAAGCATTTGCTTCGGCAGCAGCTAGTAAACAGTCCGGTTTTGTCTCAGTTGAAAATATCGTCAGGTAGAAACTGCTGAAGAAAAGACTGCAGCCTTCCATTCCAATATTTGGCAACTACGGAATCGTCGACGGTGCCACTTTGCCCACACAACTTGAATTTTAAGTCATTGTGGGTCTTGAAATTGTGAAGTCGTTTATCGCTGAATGAAGTCATTCACATTCATCTGAAGCGCAAAAACCTCCACCTTCTGTTACACGATGCCGCCTGACACTGGGATTTTCTTGGTGATCATGGCATTGAGCTACACGAAAAGCGCTTCTTGGAGCTTTGGGTGAAAACCTTGACTCACATTCTTCTTTGCAGCCCTGGTTGCTTTGGCAGCTACTTCGAAGATCTTCGCCTTGTTCTTCATGAAGTCCGAAACAGTTTGCTTTGTAATTCCGAAGTCCCTCCCAACCTCTTGCTGTGACCCCCCCGGCCGCTTTGGACTTTTTTTATTATGGCGGCTTTGTTTTCTATTGTAAGGTTACGAGGGGGATTTGTGCATTCATATGTGTGGATGAGGATGAAGGAGCAGTTGGCGTTATGCTGTTAACTGTGAATTTGCTTGCTGAAAAGCACAGTGTCAAACAGCTAGAAACTTGGAGGATGCCGGCGTTCAGGAAACGTGAACACTGGAGATAGCACCCTGCAGCACATACATGATCTACCGCAGAGCTGACAGAACAACAATGCATGAACAAACACAGCGAAGTTTGACCATAGGTTTGACTACGCTATGGCTGGCAGTAGATTGGCGAGTGCTAGATTGCAGTGATGCAGTTTGAAGGGTGCGGCAGCTGTTGCACGGTGCTGCTGGC